AATAGAACCACAGAACAAATGAACTACTGCACACCATCAGCTCCACACTCACGGAGCATACCTCCTTGGGGCTCTCAATGTATCTCGATTCCGGAGGCTTCGTCCAACTGGCTGATCATCTTCAGCAATCGGCAGGTCAAAGGCAATGGGCAGTTCGCCATTGCTGCTAGAACTGGCCTCCACCTGGTCGACTTCCATTGACTCTGACTCAGCCTCGCCTGGATCCATCTTCAACAGATCAACATTCACGATCTTCGTGCCACCGCGACCGTGCGCAACGACGACCGTTGAGGATGCCACCACTGCCTCGACCACCCAACCACGCTCGTAGGGAGGCTGGCGCTTCTGCCGTCGGTCCTGGCGTCGCAACAGTACTGGATCTCCGGGCTGTTAGGGACAGGCGACGCGAGATCTCGATTCATCAATGGAGTCAGCTTGCGATAACTGGCCGTCTAAATAATCCCACACCCGGGCCGTCTGCATCTTCAGCTTGTCCACCCAAGCGCTCTCAGATAGCTCGCTGCCGGACCTCTCCACCACCAGGCGCTTCGGCTTCCAGCCATACATCGCCTCGGCCGGGCTGATTCGAGTGACACTATGCGGGCGTACACGGTACTTGAATAGCAGCAGATCAAGAGCCGCTTTCCAATCATCCTCTTCCTCCAACACCTTCCGAATCAAAGTGAGGAGCGTACGATTGAACCTCTCTACCGTGCCTTGACTCTGCGGGTGACGAACTGCACCATGCTGCACTCGAACTCCAAACGCCGCAAACAAAGCCGACATGATAGCGTTGACAAACTCGGTGCCGTTGTCGCAGCACACAATCTCTGGTGGGCCCCACCGGGCACAGATGGACAGAAAGGCATCAGCAACACTTCGTGCATCGTGCCGGGGCAACGGAACGACTTCAGTCCATTTGGTAAATGCGTCCACACACACCAGGACGCAGTGGAACCTGCCATCGCGACTGCCGCCGAGCTCCATGGTGTCGATGAACACGGTGTTCCACGGACCAGATGGCATGGCAGATCTCGTAGCTGGAACACTCTCGCCACGCTGCGGACTGGCAACAGCACAGGCCTGACGCTTGCCAACAAAGTCCTGGCACTTTGCTGCCATTGAGAGAAAGAAGCACCGGCATTGCAGAAACCGCCAGGTTCCCTCCCAACCGGCGTGTCCAGTCTGAAGATGGGCTGCGCGCAACACTCTCTCCTCCAGAGACTCTGGGACTACTGGAACGACTTCTTCTTCACCAGTCGGCACCTTGAAGCTCCTCATCAGGACACCGTCGGCAACACAGAGTTGATTCTGGATCTTCTTGTAGCCAGCAGCGACAACTTCCTGTTCAGCTGTCTTCGCTGCAATCACCGCTGTGATGGCCGCATCACCTTCCTGTTCGCTGGCTATCTCTTGGAGCGACACAGGGCCAAGAGCAGATGGATCGATGCAGGCACCAGACACGCCGACATCGAACTCGCCGACGCCTGACTGACCTTTCCAGTACTGGACGAACTTCTCAGGAACTCTAGTCAGCTCGTCTGCCTTGTTGCTGGCAGATGGAACCCACTCCAGATCAACGCTGAGGTCAGCCGCTTTGATCAAGTCATCGATGATTTGGAGTCGCCGGTGAACCACCACCTTGTTCAGCCCACTGACTTTGATTCGCTTCAAGTGGCCGAAAAGCGAGCTCAGCCAGCCATGAACGGTCTTGGAGTCGGTCAAGACCTTCACCTTGCGCACATTCCACTCAACCGCCAAACTCAGGCCCTTGATGACCGCCTCGAGCTCTGATAGGTTGATGTGGCGCGTGTCGTTCTTCAGTCTCAGCCAGCATTGGTCCTCTACCACTCGGCCGTCGACTTCCAGGGCCACGCCATAGGCGATACTCGAGGCATCACACCAGATCTTCCAGGAGTGTTCCTCGCCGCTTGGGACGCTCCAAGCACCATGAACTGGGTCTTCCTTCAGCACCCGAGCCATGACGTCACGACACAACACCTGCAACTCTTCTGGAACCGGCTCATCCCATGCATCAGTCAGACAGGCCAAACGACGGAGCCAGCTTGACATCGGCCGCAGCCAGCGACACACAGGATGATGCGCCGTCAGGGCGCCACACCAGCGAAAGATGCTACGCTTCGTCAGCACAGCAGGAATATCAATGGATGTCGGGTCACGACGATCCCATCGCAGTTGGTCTCCCTCAGCATCAATCTTCAGGCCAAGCACGCACGCCTCCTCAAGCTTCACAGGCGGCTTCGTTGGTAGACCATACCGTTGCAGAGAGGCAGCCAGCTCCTTGGTCTGATGGCGTGGTGTCAGGATGTCATCCACATAGTTGTCAGTTGCCGGAAAGTCCTTCGTAACCCACCGGACAATAGCATCCATGACTTTTGGTGCGATTGAAAGGCCGAACCCCATGCGCTGCATGACAAACTTCTGACCTTTCCAAGCCACCACCTGAAACCGCTGCAAGGCAGGCTGTACACGCACGTTCAGGAAGGCCTTCCGAATATCCAGGATATCCATAGCATCGCCGCACTGGCGCCATTTCCGAAGCTTCTCTTCACATGCTGGTGCATCCAGGCCCGGATGAGACACAATGAGACTGTTCAACGCGCGATAATCCAGACAGGGGCGGACCGGAGTGGACACTTTGTGCTCTTGACACACTGCCAGCAGAGGCAAAACACCGCCAATCTCGCCGTGCGAGCCTTCGTCATAAGGAACTAGCCATCCTTGATCAATCCAGTTTTGGACCTCGGTGACGAACTTCACCTCCTGATCATCCGATAATCCTTGGCGGGAATACTCGCCGATGCCTGTACCGATAGGTGAACTTGGAGCAGCTCCGTCGCACCATTTCCAAGTGACTTCCCAGAAGCCTTTCTCGGGGTCGAACATCACTTCACAGTCACTCATCTCCAACGTGACCTTGTCTCCATCCTGTCGGACCTGAACGTGGCGTGGCAAGTGCTCTTCATTGCTGATCTTACTCTCGACTGCAGCCACGACTGGCCTCGTTCCGAACACAGCACCAGTTAGCCGGCCGTCACTCTCTGAATACTCCAGAGCAACACCACCGGCCGATGAGATGACATCAAGACCAATCAGCATGTCAGAGCGAACCACGTCCAGAGAATCAACTACCAGAAACTTGGCCTTGATTTTCGGCAGGTACACAATGTTGTCATCACGGGAGACAGTCAGCTCCACAGTGCCAGTGATATCGAGTGAGTTGCCGTTAATAGCCGTGATCATGTCCTCGCCCGACGGCTTGCAGACAGGCACAGACAGTGTACGCACCGCAGCAGAAGACACTAGGGAGCGACTCGAGCAAGAGTCAATGGCTGCCTTCAGCCTGGTCTGCTCTCCATTGACCGACACGAAGACTTTCGGCAGGCCACCACGACGCCTGGCAACGAGGGCAAGACATGCATCATCTTCGCACTCTGCAGCAGCGACATCTGGTGATACTGCAAATGCATTGGCACCTGCACCAGGAGTCCTGCCACTCACTTGTCCTTCGGATTTGGCCTCAGGACAGTGCCTCTTGATGTGACCAAATCGCTTACATCTGAAACACTGCACCTTCTTCTTCTTGGAGCAGTCCCTCCTCAGGTGGCCAGTTTCTCCGCACAGGTAGCACACTCTGCTGTCTCCTGGCTCGGGTCCCACGGCAGACGCGCTGACACCAGGCTCATCCGCCACTGCAAGGAGAGCACTTGCTTGCTTCGTCAGCTGTGTCATCGTGGGATCCCCACTAGCTGCCGCGCTGAGGCGCAGCTGATTTGCAAATCGACGAGGCAGACCTGACAAGAACTGCTCGACGAGCACTGGGTCTTTTCCATCTGCTGCTTCCTTGTGGCCACTACGCGTCAACAAGAGGCGCAAGTCAGATGCATAAACATCAACAGTTTCATCTTCCCGCTTCCGACGTCGCACAAACTGGGAGTACGCCTCCCTCGACGAGCAGGCGAACGACTCCTCAAGCCGTGCTTTCACCTTATCCTCGTCCTCCTGATCCGCAGTAGCCATTTGTCTCCACACCGTAAAGGCATCGCCAGATAGATACAGAGGCACATGCGCCATTCGCTCCTTGCCTGTGCTCCATTTCTGAATTTTTCCCACGACCTGGAACTTCTGCCAGAACTCTTCCAAGTCCTCCTGGCCACTAAATGCGCGCAACGCGCCTTCTGCTTTCGCCATCCTTAGTTCCTCCCCGCAATCCCGGGTTTCGGCACCAGAAACTGTAGTGGAATGATGGCAAAGCCCCTGTGACCCAACCCAAGCGGCCACACAACCAAGACGTTTTATTTAGCTTACATTTGTCACTACAAGGAAAAAAAGAGAACTAACAAAAAGCCATGATCTCGGAACTACTAGTAGTAGTAGTACTTCACTTGACCTAAACCGGAACTAAATCGTACCCGCACGGTACGCAGCGCAGACTGCACGTACAGCAGAACATAACCATGATAACGCGACGCAGCTTGGAAAGCCAGCTAGCTAGCTATGTATGAAACAACGGACCGCAAGCATGACAGCGGGAAATGCAAAGGGCCAGTCGGCAACAGTACACAATGACGATTTATGCTATTGGGTATCATTCATGGCTAGACCTAACACTGTATGCACGTGACATGTCGCCAAGTTATTGTTCTAACCAGAGGAGTAATTGTCACCTTCAGCAGCATGGATCTAAGAGTAAGACTAAGACCGTATTCATCATCAGGTAATCCCAGCACAAGTTGCTATGTCTAACATAGCTGTTCGCTATCATCGCTTCCGCGATGGGCAGGTCTGAGGTGTGCGTGCGTGTATGTGTATGTGTGTGTGCGTGCGTGTGAGTGTGTGTGTGTGTATGTGTGTGTGCGTGCGTGTGAGTGTGTGTTCACTTGGCGTGTGTGTGTGTGCATGTATTTGCGTACGAGTGTGTGTGTGTGTGCCTGTGCGTACGTACGTGTATGCGTGTGTGTGTGTTTGTGCATGTGCAGATACGTAGGAGTGCTCGCTTCATGCTGCAGCACCTGCAGGGCTATGATGTGAACACACAGCTAGTCGCTCATGATCGCTTGCTGCCTCTGGATGCCTATATGCTGTACAAGCTACACGACTTCATCTCCACGGTATGACCTAGTCTACAGTGTAATGGCTGATCAACCTCATGTACATGTACATCTTTCTTTCTTTTTCATCATCAACATCTATAGGTAGTAGCAAGAGTAGATAAACAAGAGTAGATAAACAAGAGTGTGCAACTCGCGGATGGGTAGGCCCACGGCGGAATTTTTTGTTGGCGTAATCTTTTCGACGACACACGAGCTGCGAGTCTTTCGGAAAGTTTTCCCTCGTGCTCTTGGCCGGCTTTACACTACAAGGTCGGTGCCCAGCACGTGCTCTCACACTGCTCTGCGGCGAAATGCGCGTTCTTCTGAAAAAAGGTGACGTCAACAAAAATTTCCGCCGTGGGCGAGGGTATCTGCAGATTATGCAGGAGAGATCCGGAGTTGCACACTCTTGTTTATATACTCTTGGTAGTAGGGAGGTTCCAAGGTAGCCGAAAACGAATAGCTGATACACAACCGACCAACAACCAACGCATATCGATTCGTTTTGATAGAAACTTTTCTCCGGGATTCCTCTGTGTCTACTACTTCACGGAAAACGTTACTGTCAAAAGGAATCGGTGTTCGTTGGTTGTGGATTGGTTGTGTGTCTCTCGATAACTGTCTGTCTGTCTGTCTGCTGTATATACTTCAGTTTACAGGGCACATGGATGACATGTCATATTCCTATGCCAGTTTTAGCCTGCACAATTTGGTCAGGACCGACCTTCAAGGCTACTACTTTCACGTGCTCAAGGGCAGGTAGGTCTACTCCTGTAGGGCTCATGTTTGATGTTTGTTGACACAACAACACATGGCTAAGCTGTGTGAAAACCACCCGAAGTGCAGAGCTGTTACCCCTGGACCAGTACATGTACAGTGAAACTAGCCTACAATAGTACCCCCCCCCCCTCGCACACACACACACACACACACACACACACACACACACACACACACGTTGATGTCTAAGTTGCTCAAGTCTCATTGGTCCTGCATGTGGTAGGAATTGTCCCTACTCAGGGCTGTAACACCTGCATTCTGAGTGCGTACTGTGCTGTGATCATCTGGTCTGGTTACCATGACTGTACTGACTGTACTGTGCTGTGTCTGTGTGTCACAAGAAGGAGCCACGGGTGTGTGTGTATGTGTGTGCATGTGTGTGATCCCCGGTAGCCCAATCTGAGGGGCACTGTCCCGGAAAGACAGGTGTGCTGGGTTAGAATTTCGCCCTTGGATCCATCTTTTGCAACACTCATGCACCGTGACCTGATCTGCAACACTCCTGCACCGTGACCTGATCTGCAACACTCATGCACCGTGACCTGATCTGCAACACTCATGCACCGTGACCTGATCTGCAACACTCATGCACCGTGACCTGATCTGCAACACTCATGCACCGTGACCTGATCTGCAACACTCATGCACCGTGACCTGATGGCAGTGATCTGGTTACCATTGTGACTGTATAGTCAGACCACCTCGCCGCTTATCCGCTCCTCTTTTATCCGCATCCCTCGCCATCCGGAAGAAAATCGTTGGTCACCGATTTACAGCATATGGCATGCATACATATAGTATGTGTGTTTGATTACTGTAAACTGCCTAATATTCGCGACGGATTTATGTTCGCTATTTTCGCGAGAAGAGCGTAACGCGAATATTAACCATCGTTAAATCAAGCTTCAACAGTGGGTGTACCCGTATTATCTCTAATATAAGCACGGTCCTTTATTTTTTCAATGTACCTCCGCCCCGTGCTATTAATGGAGACGTTCCTCTATTGGAGACTGTTCCATTATTATTTCAACCTCATTTCAGAGGCATTTTGCCATGCCAAATTCATGTCAGACACACACATTTCACGGTTTTTTCGCCGGTACGGATAATGAATTTACACAGTGTGCTTATAATGGAGACTGAGCACTTTATTTTTTGAATGCCGCCCTAAGGTGTTCTATTATTGGAGACATGCTATTATTGGAGACATGCTATTATTGGAGACTGTGCTTATATTAGAGATAATACGGTATGTATGTGGCCCCTGTGCGTCGCGAACTTTTGCCATCGCAAACTCACTGGTTCTAAGAAATCGCGAAAATTTAGTGACACGAATATTGGGCGGTTTACAGTACCCGGTTCCCTCGCCTATCCGAATATTTTAGTGGAAAACGGATGTGTGTGGTTATGCGAGGTCTGACTGTACTGTACTGTACTGTACCCATGCAGGCTGGTCTCCTCGCCCAAGCTGTCGCCGGAACGCTCGTCTGGTCTCACCGTGCTCTATCACTATCTCAGCGCTCTCCATCGCCTCATAGCTCCGTTTGTTCCTGTCACGGCGGAGGAAATTGTGCACAGCTATCCCGAGATGACGGGTGTTGGTGAGTTGCTCTTTGTTATTGTGTTGATCTTGTGTGCGTGCCATCAGCTATTAGTATCTAGCACTGGTTCAACCAATGGATCATGTGCGCGATGGCATTGTGATTTTACCTGTACACATTTTCTGGATGAAATGGGTGCTTTCAAGCGACTTTTTGGTGCTATGCCGATGTAAGCACAGTGCAACACCCATGTTGTCCACAAAATGTGTACACACTTTGTACGTACTTGACCACTGTGCGCCAGGTTCATTAACAGTATTCTTATGTCAGTTTGGGTGGATTAGTATCGCTTGGTTGTGTTAGAGCAGCCAGGCATCTGCTTAAGATCCTGTAAGTGTTTGACCTGGCTGGAGCACATCACTCTGTACCTGGCTGGCGATTGGCTGTGCAAATGACATGCTACTGCTATCATGTGTGTGCTGTGCTCGACATTACGTTTGGCCTGTGCTTTGACGAACGTACTTGCTCTGCTGTGATCAGCTTATCATCGTCACTGTTGTCTGTCTTGTCGCGGCTGGTGTACTGAAGTACAGTTAGGTGCAGGTGAGTAAGTGTGTGTATGGTTTGAACGCGAGAATGGGGACGCTGACGTTTCTCCTGGTTTTGACTTTCAACTGTCTACTTGCTATCCGCGTGCATTGCTCAGAGAAGCCAACTAGCGCGTTTCACCATGGCTGGCCTCTTGTAGACCCTCAGTGGGCCGAGAAGACTGCTGCCATCGAGACGATGCAGCTTGCGTTGAGCGTTCTGGACTTGGTGCATCAAGCGGCCAGCCACTGGGCCACTCATGCCGGAGATAAGCGCTGCGATCTCTTCATCAAAGTCGACAACAAGCGACTGCACGATCGGCTACAATTGCTGAACGGCTCCGAGGGCAGAATGGCGCTGACACAGCTGGCTGAAATTCTAAAGTGCAATCGTGCGTTTGTAGAGCATGTCTCTGACGTTGATGGTGCACGCAAATCACCCGCTGGCATGGTGTCCTCTCCAGTCCAGCTCTTGCATGTTGGTGAGTTTGCTGTACACTAGAACGGTTTGTCTTGTTACTTGTGTATATTGCTGACTGGGTCAGTGGATCCAATCAGGCAACATTATGCAGGGTATGTAGCATGCATTGCTGTGGCTGTAGATCCATACGCCGGGTCTGTGCATACATGTACAGGATCTGTCCATACAGGGTCTGCACAGGGTCTGTCCATACATGGTCTGTCCATACAGGGTCTGTCCATACAGGGTCGGTACATACAAGGTCGGTGCATACAGGGTCTATGCATACAGGGTCCGTACATACAGGGTCTATGCATACAGGGTCTATGCATACAGGGTCTGCGCATACAGGGTCTATGCATACAGGGTCTGCGCATACAGGGTCTGTACTCTGTAGAATACATTGCTATGGTAGATCACTGGCATAGCACTGTTCAGTATTCAACATAATCATTGTACTATGGTAGAGTGGACAATGGGCATGATCATCTGGACACCACACATTGCTCCCACATAGCTGGTGAAGGGGACATAGTCATCTGGACACCATGCAATGCTGCCATATAGCTTCCACTGTTCTGGACACCATGCAATGCTGCCATATAGCTTCCACTGTTCTGGACACATGTCTGGAATGATTGTTGTTTGTTCTATTGCGTTGTTCCATGTACACGTAGGTGATGATGCCGAGGCAAGTGGAAACGTCGCCGTGTGTTTTGCAGCGCCTTCCGGCCAGTACTGCGATCGCTGCCGTGTCTTCGTGTCCACGGAGAAAGACCAGCTGTGCACGGTATGTCAACAAGCTGAGAGTGAAGCAGCAACGCATCAGAGATAAGCTGAGCTATGATGCCGGAGATTGAGACCCCCCCCCCGGGCGCTGAGGGCAATACCGTACGCTGGCGCTGTGCCGTGTTGGTGCGCTGTATCATGTTCACTTGCCATCACCAGCCTATAATGCAGCCAGTCAGTGCTGTGAGCAAGCCCTCGTCTTGTCTGTAGATGCGGGCAGTGAGTATAGGCTGTATTGCCGCTTGCATCCATCAAAAAAACCTGTCCAGGCGCCGGTGGATTTGTTTGCCGAGTGTTTGAGAGTCGCTCTCCTTCTACTGGGTAAACGTGTGAAGGAAACGATGTGAGTGTGGAGGTGAGGTGGCGGTATTCAACGGGATGTGTGTTCTCAGTCGTAGCCACAGTACAGGCATCACACTGCCGATTGCACTGGCACAGTGCTAAGCTACACGCACTAGTACCAACGATTGTGTACCTGTCTTTTGAGGGTCGTTTGATGTTGAGCTGTGACAGGGCCGATATAGTAATCATCCATAGTGCCGGTTACTGCAATACTATGTGGAACACATTGCCTTTTCCCAAGGTAGACTGTGCGTGATCTGCCTTTTCCCAAGGTGGACTGTTCGTGATCTGCCTTTTCCCAAGGTGGACTGTTCGTGATCTGCCTTTTCCCAAGGTGGACTGTTCGTGATCTGCCTTTTCCCAAGGTGGACTGTTCGTGATCTGCCTTTTCCCAAGGTGGACTGTTCGTGATCTGCCTTTTCCCAAGGTGGACTGTTCGTGATCTGCCTTTTCCCAGGTGTAGACTGTGCGTGACCTACCAGATATTGTGCACCAGCCGGATATCTACAACATGGTGAATGTACCCGGAGCCAGGGGAACTGACTGACCAAGGTATAGTGCCAACGCTCAACTATGTGCCCACCGCGTAGACAAGACCAGCTGACTTGCTCTCAGTGCATGACTGCTTGACACAACACTACTGCAGCAAAGACAACGAATGAGTGAGCGTATCGTTGTGGTAGTGGCGGTGGCTACGTCATTCGTTTCTGCCCTGTGGTAGCCCGTTCCATCATCAGTACGTGCAGCCTAGCGATGGCTGTGTCACATGCACAGTAGCTACTGCATGTGTGAGACTGCTGCAACACTATCACTTCAGTGCAGATGCCAACACGTGTTACAAGAACGCTTCGGCTTTCCTGGCCATCGCATCACCCGGCGTTCTGTTTGCCGCGTACTACCACACTGTACACTGTAACACTGGCTGCTGGCTGCACACTGGCTGCACACTGGCTGCACACTGGCTGCACACTAGACGGTCAATACACACTGATCAAGTGGATACATATAGATTATAGACTGTCCACACAAACTGATCAGGCCGGTGCTCCATTTAGCCAGTTACACTTACTATACTAACAGTGCTATTGCTGCAACTATTCACATACAGAACACGAGTGCAGCGAGGAGACCTGGCCCTTTACTATAATGTACCAACGGATGTGCCTTTTCTGTGGCCTTGTGTGTCTTGTAACTCTCTTGCAGACTGACTGTGCATGCCCCCCCCCCCCCCCCCCACAGTGTCTGCTAAACCATTTGCCAGTACATGATTGTACCGGTACATTATTTTGTTTTGCCTGTCCCAATGCTGGCCATTGAGGGCACACTCTTTCAGTTGAGACTTGGAGTTGGACTGACACTGTGCGTGTACATCCACTGTATCATGGTACACATAGCATGACTGGGTTATTCATATTGTACTCTGAACCGTGGTGCAGGCAGGTGTTGGTGCAGGCACTGCATCACAGACCTGGGTAATGAACCTCTCGAGTCTTGGTTGGTTATGATTCACATACAACTAAAATAAAAGGGGGAAAAAGGAGAACATTATTGGACCTATGCTATCATTCGATCAGCTATTGATTTCCGCAATGTGAACAAGCAGAGAAGAAGAAACAAACTGGAAAGACAGGCGAAGGCACTTTGATAAACCTGTAATGGTCGATAGAATTCAGACGCTAGACAACGCTCGGATCACTGGAACCTGAAGCTGTGGGCTCAGTGTGAAGTGTGTTTGCCGAGGAGGGGTGATAGGAGTGTAGATTGGTGGTGATATCCGACGGAAAGAGACGCACATACATGTACATGTAGAGGGCAGGTAACAGTTTGAGCACACGTATCCTTAGAACTCTTCATCGTCAGCGCCACCGTCACCTTCAACTGTTTCCTGTCCAATCTCCTCATAATCCTTTTCCAATGCGGCCATGTCTTCACGGGCTTCAGAGAATTCGCCCTCCTCCATACCTTCTCCAACATACCTGCATGGAGCACAGCGACAAAAAACACGTGAGGACAGACAGACAGACGGAGAGACTCACAGAGACAGAGTCTGTGTGTGTGTGTCTGCGTGGCTGTGTGCACGCGTGCGTGCGTATTGTGTATTGTCCTATACTCCAGTGACATTGTTGTGAGGATGTCAACTCACCAGTGAACAAAAGCTCTCTTGGCATACATCAAGTCAAACTTGTGGTCAAGACGTTCCCAAGCACTAGCAATGGAGGTATTGTTGGACAGCATGCATACGGCTCTCTTGATCTGCATCACCAGAACACAAACACACACAGATCACTACAAGTATTAGTTGAGCACTACAGCCTACATTGAACAGCACGTGCAGTTCATTATCGCCATTCTAAGTTCTCTAATCGAGTAAAATGAATGTGTTCAACGTAGGAATAATCTTGATTCTATACGCAAACCAAAAGAGAGCCCACAGCAGCAGCAGCAACAGCAGCAGCAACAACAACAACAACAGCAGCAGCAGCAGCAGCAACAACAAAACCTCAAACAAATCCCCAATAGTATATCGGCACATTGGGCGCCACATCCGTTTTGTTCGTAATATCATTTCCCTCAAACGCACCCCTCACATACATTGCTGCCAGTCAAGCTTCACAGCAATAGTACAGTACCCCAAGCTACTATGATACTTGCTGTGTCACCTACAGTACATGCATGCATGGTGCATGTTGAACTTCACTCTGCTTTGCTGACTCGCGTTGTGTTCAAGCATGCTGTGCTAACAGCAAGAGTACGTAACCCGCAAGAGTGTGCAACTGCCTGCACAACCTCTATCCAGTATTGCGACGGCAGAACTTCCCCACCAGTGATCACATGACAGAACTGCTCAGTGGGTTACGCTGGCAAACAGTGCAAAGTGACCACAAGAGAGTTGAACCCTGTATCCATCATGCACAGGGTGCAAATAATGCGTACGAGTTCGTCACGTGATGTGATGTTCTGCTGCCGCAGACCCCATAGCAGGAGTTGCACACTCTTGGGGGTGTGAGCCGCATGCTATGCTTACATGCCTAACCATGGCCTGACTAGCATGTCACCTCACTCACCGGTGCCATGATACCGTCGGGCAGGATCGACACTGGCTGAGTGTTGATGCCAATCTTGAAGCCAGTCGGGCACCAGTCCACAAACTGCACCGTCTTCTTGTTCTTGATCATACCGATGGCTTGGTTGACATCCTTCGGTTGCACGTCACCTCGATACAGGAGACAGCAAGCCTGGAGAGTGGAGAGGCGATGTAGAAACCGTGCACTTTAGTTCATGTAGAATAGCCTTGTTTGCGAAGTTCTGCTCCTCAATACAGCTAACAATAAACAGGGTTAGACAGTACAAGTGCCATGCCCATGGATCACCAGAACGTATCCATCACACGCACAAAAGAGACTGTCATATTCTCACCACCACACACACGCATGCACGTACACACACGCACGCACGCACACACACACACACACACACACACACACACACACCTGTCCTGTCCTGTAGAGCCACTACCACTAGGGTCACGTGGGCCCCGGAGGGGCAGCAGAGAGAGAGAAAGAGCACGCCACCCGATGGCGCTCCAGATGCGAGACTAGTCGGAACCGGCGAGAGCAGATACACATATGCGGGAACTTGTCCCGTTCTCTGGCCGTTGGTCGGTGGCAGTGCGTTGAACAGCGATGGCGGTTGCGTCCCTGGGTTGAGCGGAAACAACGATTGCAGGTGCCACAGTGAGCATTGCAGCAACTCCGAGCGGTAGTGTCACCGGTGACAACAGCAGCTGGTTCGATCGGTACTGGGCACGAGGTAGAAGCGGAGCAACGATGCACAGCCAAGCCTCCGCGGCTCCGGAACCAGCGATGACACCGAGGGCACTGACATGCACCTCTCTGCTCCGAAACCGGCTTCTGCCGTTCAGCCGTGCACTTGTGCCTAGCGAGGTCACCCTGACGTGCGAAGTGCCGGGCGCATGTGAAACAAGTCACTGGTGCCGGTACGAGGGGATCCGGGGCGTCCGAGGTGTAAGCCAACCTCCAGTCTGGGCGAGAGTCACAGGCCACTCTGTACCAGTCCGCTTCAAGGTCTCGTGAGCGGAGGTCCTTTACAGCGCAGACACACACACACACACACACACACACACACACACACACTGTGCATGCACGCGTCCAAACTGCACCGCCAAAGACACGTTGTTAGCAACACTTACCATATACTTTCCCATCTTGGGATCACACGTCACCATCTGGTTACTAGCCTCAAAGCAAGCATTGGTTATGTCACCAGCACTGTGTAATTCATGATGGGACTTGTCAGCAGACACTAGTGGATTGAAGGACACCAGGGGGAAGTGGATGCGCGGGTAAGGGACCAAGTTTGTCTGGAACTCGTTCAGGTCCACGTTAAGCGAGCCCTGAAAACGCAGCGACGCGGTGATCGACGATACCACCTATTCACCGTATCGTTACAGAGACAAAGCAGAAGCAGACACAGGCTGGTGCATAAGCCAAATCAAGCAACACCACACACTGAGTCAAATTCTCCAAGAAAACTGACTGGCAAAATATACACTCTTCGCGCGCATGCATTCTTGAATGAATTGCTTGTCGACCCATAGTAGATAGAAGTTCAGTGAGGAACGTCTCCTAACCCTCCAGTAAGAAAAGTTAGTATTTCCGTGCATGCCTTGTGTCTAGCTCTCAGGGTAAGTACGTGAAATAGATAGACATCGCGTAACTAGCATTCTAAAACCCAGACAACAGCACCACCCTTACCTGCGCAATCAAATGGTTCAAGTGCGAGTAGGACGGCCGCTCGATCGACAGCTGTTTCTTGCAAAGTCCAAAGATGGCCTGGTTGTCCATCACAAAGGAGCAGTCGGAGTGTTCCAGTGTTGTGTGTGCCGCCAGTACACTGTTGTACGGCTCCACCACCGCTGTTGCCGTCTCCGGTGCAGGATAGATGAGGAACTGCAGCTTACTCTTCTTGCCATAGTCCACGGACAAGCGCTCCATGAGCAGTGAGGTCAAGCCGCTGCCAGTGCCGCCGCCAAACGAGTGGAAGATGAGAAATCCTTGCAAACCGTCACACTGATCCGTCTGCATGTTGGTGAGAAAACAAGCCCGGCAGTAGTGAACGACTCGCACGATGATGCAAACCAATTCTGCTACATAATGTCCATCCGAAATCGGACTCTTTCTCCAGATGCAAGCCTACTGTACACAGTAATCAATCTTATCACAAGACAGTTGCGTCAAAATCGGGAAAACCTTTTAAAACTCGTTTTCGGATCAGTTTTTGGGCAGAAGGATAACTTTCAGATGGTGGCCGACAAATCATATGATTTGTCAGCAATGCAAACAGACTAGAGGTGCGCTATGTCACAGACTCTCGCTCATTCCAGTTATACAGCGGGATCCATTAGGATGTGTGTATGACACTCATATCCATCATTTTCATAGCCAGCTCCATGTTGAGATCGGCCGCCTCCACCTTTCTGGCAACCCCTCTCGTTCTACCCTCAAGCCAGATAAGTACTTCAGATAATAAGCAAAATCTTGAACAGAGTTACAAGCGGTATGAGCACTGGAAACGGACTACAGACGCCTAGCTTGCGTCTGGCTGGAGGTTATCAACACGTACTTGAGCAACACACACAACACAGCAATACCAGTGACTTGCCCACTCACCAGCTTGGCAATTCGCTCCAAGATTTCTTCGATCTTTTCCTTGCCGACCGTGTAGTGGCCTCGAGCATAGTTGTTAGCAGCATCCTCTTTGCCAGTAATGAGCTGATCGGGGTGGTAGAGACTGCGGTGCGGACCGGTTCTTACAGAGTCTGAACAAAAGCAATATATCACAGGACATGCTACCGTACAAGGTATACGTACCGTAAAGTCGCGGATAAAAGCCGGGTTTGCATACAAGCACATCGCGGATAGAAGCCTGAAAATCAAACGGGTCAAATGCATATAAGCCTGTCGCGCGTAGAAGCCTGGCTTCTATGCAAGCGCGGATCGGGTAGGTCAAGAGTGTATGCGCTATGTACAGTGCATAGTAAAACTGCCGCCATACCGGTAGTCAGTGGTAGATCTACGCGTGTCGCGGGTAGAAGCCTGGCTTCTATGCAAGCCCGGATCGGCCGATGTGCATACAAGCCTGGCAAAAATATCAGTGGTGCATATAAGCCTGGTTTGCATACAAGCCTGGTTTGCATTGAAGCCTGATGCAGAAACCGGCTTATGTGCTTATAAGCCCGGCTTTTATCCGCGACTTTACGGTATATAGCACAACTTTATGTTATGTGCGCATACCCACACAGGATTCAAACCACAACAGCACGGAAGCTATGCACTGTGCATTGCCTTTCCTGATCATCTGAGGGTATTGCAGCATACTCGTACAGAACCGTGACATGGCAAAGCAATGAAAAGCTACTTGTGCTCGTCAGGATGCTTCACTATTGGCTGCACTTTCTGTGCATTGCCGGCTGGTCAGTCAGACAAACATCTTTCCTACTCCACTGTCAGGTACGAAAACACGCACATGCACACATGCACGCACGTACACACACACACACACACACACACACACACACACACACACACAGAGCTTCACACGCGCTCAGCTTCACACACTGACCGATACCTGCTGAGTGCTGCTATATTGTCCATGCTCAGCAAAAAGCACACACTGCGTGGCATAGTATGTGGAGTGGTGCAACTGATCTAGCCAGCAACAGGAGCGAAGGCATCGTGACTCACCGATTACAGAGGATTCCAGGTCAGCAAACACGGCACGCGGCACATGCTTGCCCGAGCCGGTCTCCATGAAGAACGTGCCAAAGGACTCCTTCTCGCTGGTTGCACCGGATTCATCCGTCCGCATACCGCTTGCGTCAAAGCCTGTGTAGCAACCATACCACAATTCCATGCAAATTAATAAATCTGCAAAGAGACTCTGCATGCAATATACATGTACGCGTATGCCCACACCGACTTGCACTTGGCTGGTAGCGCAGTGTCACTGAGTACTACATGTATCTTTGGTGAAGAGAATGAGATGGCAACTGTTGTGGCTACAACGTTCAATCAGGAACAATGTTGTCTGCTCGCATTCTACCACATTCTAATGAGTATGGGACTATCCCTATGTCCATGGCCAGCATAGGTGAAAAGCACAGGTAATACGTGTGAGTATGTGACTATCCCCATGTCCATGGCCGGCATAGGTGAAAAGCACAGGTAATACGTGTGAGTATGTGACTATCCCCATGTCCATGGCCGGCATAGGTGAAAAGCACAGGTAATACGTGTGAGTATGTGACTATCCCCATGTCCATGGCCGGCATAGGTGAAAAGCACAGGTAATACGTGTGAGTATGTGACTATCCCCATGTCCATGGCCGGCATAGGTGAAAGCACAGGTAATACGTGTGAGTATGTGACTATCCCCATGTCCATGGCCGGCATAGGTGAAAAGCACAGGTAATACGTGTGAGTATGTGACTATCCCCATGTCCATGGCCGGCATAGGTGAAAAGCACAGGTAATACGTGTGAGTATGTGACTATCCCCATGTCCATGGCCGGCATAGGTGAAAGCACAGGTAATACGTGTGAGTATGTAGTAGCCTGTGTCCAGCTACCGACACCGCTAAGCAACACTGCTACGTGCTGCACAAGAAGAATCCATGGGCGGGGTTCGAACACTGCATCCGGCCTGTCTTTCTGGGACAGTGCCCTACTGATATGACTGTAGTCTGGGTATCACACAAACACATGATCGTGGCCCGTTCTTGCTGTGTATACGCTATCTCTCACCATGCTCAAGGCAGTACAACTCCCAGCAGGCATTGCCGATTTGAACACCGGCTTGGCCAATGTGCAGTGATACTACTTCACGCTGCAAACACACGCACACAGTCACATATTTATATATACACACACGCGCACGCACACACGCACACACACACACACACAGCACCAGCACCAACATGCTAATCAAACCGTGGCAGTATCAACATCTCAACAGAGCCAATAAAGAGCCAATAAGCCGCCAGAAAACACCAGAAGCACATCATACTAGTCTTCTACTATTCGTCTGTCGTGAGTCGTCGGGTATTCGTGCACCATACCCAAGTAACAGTTAGTAGTTGCTAGTCTGAACGCACAAATTGCATGTCCCTATTCCATGCCAAACAAAACGAAATGTCGTAACCCCCCCCCCCACACACACACACGAGCGCGCACACACTCGCTGGCTGGATGCTGGGCCGATAATCCTCCAAGAACACATCCACATCGACATGTTCTAACCCCCCCCCCCCCCTCCATAAAGCTGGATGGAAGCCTGGCATAGTGTGTTCTGCCAAAACAGGAAAAGGAGACAATAATTGTGGCATTGTGCTGCCACAGTGACAGTGTTATACCCCTGGCTTGTCAGGGGAAGCTCCACTAGCTCCACTAGCACCACTAGCACCACTGGCTGCTACAGTTCAGATTCTGAAAAGACTCTGTACTGCTATGTTTTCACGAGGAATGACGAATGTGGGAGTGAATCAGAAAGGTGACTATAGAAATCATAACGGTAGCAGCTAGCCAGTTACTCATGCGCCTGTTGAGTGTTGTGTAGCAGTTTGGCAAGGTCGTGTCATGGCATGACTCACGCGAAACGTGGCAACCACCTAAGAAGTACAATCATTACTGAATTCATGATTGCAACGTAGATCTACTCTGCCATAGCACGCATAGGCCATACATCATGTATGTAGCGCGTCTAACTACCCTGTGCCGTCCGAATGGCAAGATCATCAACTAGAACGGGCGAAGAAGTTTCCTTGGCCCCAGCCTCCAAGGCACCTCATCCCTCCAGCTCTGACAACAGGCGCACAGCTATGTGTAAAGCGGACCTGATAACCGTTAGCGCGATTTCTTCGTCGACCCCTAGCACTGCGATTCACATATAGCAAGAACAAGATTCCTACTATTTGGTCTATTGGCAGTGTTGGCCCCGCTTGCTGCTGTGGGTCATATGCCGGGACAGGCATGCCTCCCCCAATCGCCACCACGCAACACTTGTAGAGCAACACACATGGATAAAACGTTGTTCGCCGGACTGCATGCAGGCGTGAGAAGCTTCTCTGGCCACAGCTGTGCACTCAGTGCATGCAGGCTCAGAGTTATGCAAGCATTTGTTGTCGTGCAGCGATCGATCACCAAGCAAATGACAACGAAAGCATGGAATGCATGCAGCGTCTGAAAAATACAGTTACTCGATAGAACGATGTTCCCTTCTTCGCCCACCACCCACGCTCCTTCCAACTCTGCCATTTCTGTCAGGGGGTTTTCACCACAAATACCGCCACTGCCAAACCGCGTGCTGGCGAGCGTAGCTTCTGTTACGCTACTGCATAGCAAGTCAGTGAAAGCCAGGGAAACATTACTTGGCAGACTTACCATGCTGGATGATTGGCTGAGTGTTGATGGCGAGAACACGAATACGATGATACTATAATTATCTGCACAACAGCAACAATGAGCGATGTTGACGAATCGGCAAAGATCGATCCAGAGCAGCACACGCACGCGTAGTGATGAGGGCTACGCAGATGTGCAACTGAAACACGTCTTGCCGCGCGATTTCGGTTTTGTCTGATGTGTTCGTTCCATGTAGCCATACTAGGTGATCGTCATTCTGATCATACAGCCTACACTACACTGTCTACAGCCTGCAGGTCTACGGTCGGATAAACCATGAAAACGCCGACGCTCCGACGGCGCGCGGTAGATCTACATCAGCAGCTACGTGCATGGTAGATCTACTGTCATAGTGTCACTGCCTCTGTAGCAGGACAGCTGCACTGCCCACACTTGTAAGTAATTAGTTGTAGGCATGGTACGTGCGGGTTATGAACTACTGTAATTTCACAAATTTTCGGTGTACTGTTATTTATTTTCAGTACTTTCGGTGCGTCTGTTTCATACCTAAAATTTCAATACACCGAACAAATACTAACACACATAATCAATAGGGAACTGCTTCTCTGTACCGAAAATTTCTGTTCACCTAACCTGGCCTGTTGCCCTCATACCGAAAATATTGAGCACCGAAAATTTCTGAAATTAGAGTAATCACTTACTTATGACGATATGTGCTGGACTGCTGCCGGTCCATGCATTACATGGGCGGTACATCTGGTATGATGGTAGATCTGGAGAGTGGTAGATAGTAGATCTACCATGCATGGTGCCTTGGTGGAGTGGTGGTCGGTCGAGTCCCAGCCAGGCCCAGGCTTTTTTTTTTACTCTTTCAGCTTTTGCTAGTTCAGCTGTTTTTGAGTGAATCAGGACTACAAAAGACAGGATCTGCTGTAGACGTCTACCTGTCCTTGTATCTTGGGCCTTGGGACTTCAAGTCACTTGGGGAGGGGGGAGTTAGGGTCTGGACTCTGGAGCCGCAGGTAAGAATGTCCGGTAGGCCTTTGCGGATAATGCCGGCAGAAAAATTGGCAGAATTCGGTACATTTTTGTACTTTTTCTGGTAAGTTTCATGCATGTTTGGTATGTGGATAAAGAAATGGAGCAGAATTCGAGGAATTGCCCGCCATAAGGTTTGTATGGTTGAAATAATGGTTCTGCCAATTTCATAGCTTTTCGAGCAGAATCTGCCACCTTTTCGAGCATTATCCGCCAATGCCTAGAATCTGCCACCTTTTCGAGCATTATCCGCCATGCGCCAATGCCTAAAATTGTCCGGGCATCCGTAAGTAAAAGTAAAACGAAAGCCAAGCCCGGCAAGCCAAGCCCGGCAAGCCAAGCCCGGCAAGCCAAGGTTGAGAATACATGCATGGTAGGTCTACAGACTCTACACACTGAAAACAGATTATGATTTTACCGACTCTCTGTCTCACTACACTGCCCTCACTGGCCTCATACATATATTTTCATGATATAATCCAAAACTGGTAAACCGGTATTAGATAAACCTAAGTTACCTTGTTGTAGTTCACGCAATTGTTAGATTGACAGCATGAAACAAGGTGGAGGACACTGTGTTCGAAAACAGTGACCTTACTACAACCTTCCGCGGTTGGCAGAGCCCTGGTCGGGTGCGATACCCATAATTATGGTTCAAATGGTCCACAGGGACCGGGGCTCTGCCAACCGCGGAAGGTTGTAGTAAGGTCACTGTTTTCGAACACAGTGTCCTCCACCTTGTTTCATGCTGTCAATCTAACAATAATTATGTATCTACATCATGTACATGTATAATATTAATATCGTGTTCCTGACTGCATGCAACCAGGCTCCATTACCAGTCCCGAGACTGGTTGGTAATAATGACTCAGGTAGAGTCCAGATCTTGCGACCCGATGGGGTCAAGCCCTGGTTCTGATACTCTGTAGTCTAGGGAATTAGAAGGGGGACGGGGGAGGAATTCTCGAAACCCGTTCGGTGTAATATCAATTTCGGTAGAGAAACCAGGCACCTAAATTTAGATTTTAAGATTGCACCTAAAATTAATTAAAACTAAACGTCGCTTGAGTACACGCTGTATGTGAATGGTAGCCTGGTCAGTGGTCACCTAATTCTATAATTCACCCGAAACCTGGCAAGTTCCCGACACCGAAAATTTACTACACCTAATGTTACAGTGTATACAGTAAGCATGCTCTTGAAGCCTGAACAACATGTGTTAGTACAGGAAAGAGTTCATAACCCCTGGGGGCTATGAACTCTTGGTACAGGTGTACATGTAGAGCTTAGAAAAGTTAGAGAGGCACACTGCCTTGAGTTTGCAGTGCAGCAGTTTGTGTCGTGGGATACATGTACTGAAGTATAATTATATTATAGGACTGACGACACACTTTCTCTCGCTAAACTCGACGCAAAACTGTTTTCCGATTGTTACACCAGACGGCTCATTCAACAACTCTGGGATACGAAGACTCCTGGGACAGAACACTATCAGAGCAACAAATGAGAAGATGGAGTGAACTTACAGCTAACCTACATGTATTACTGCTATCATTAAGTTCAACATACCGTAAAGTCTTGTATAAAAGCCGCGGCTTCTATGACATTCTTGGTGAAATTTTGCAGGCTTCTATACAAGACAGGTATTTCTATGTATGTCAACATTAAAACCAGGCTTATGTGTGATTTGATGGGCCCCAAATTGCGGCTTCTACTAGTATTCAAGTGCGGCTTTTATACAAGACTTTACGGTAATCTGTTTCTGTGATGCATCAACCACTACATAAGCGGTGATTAGAGAGATTCCGGAGTGCGATTTTTCGTGTCAAAATCCGTAGAGGCGCTACAGATTTTTTATACGTCGTTTTCAAGCAGTGAAATGTTCCGGAGTTGTGTTTGCCGTCATTGCCAAGGTTACGATCGCAAACATGTCATATTTCGGCGCGATGCCTTTTTATTTTGAAAATTTGCGCCTATCTAAACTAATTCGAGTAAAAACGATGGTGACAACAGACGACACAGTTTTGGAGAGACCACATGCAAGATGTGATGCCCTCAAATACAGTAGAGTCGTGCGCCCAAGAACGTTGTTTCCAAGGCAAGGGGTCAGCCTGCGTTCTTAGCAACAATCTGCACTGAATCATATGTACAGTAGTCGCGCGTCCAAGAACGTTGTTTGCAAGGGGTTAGCCTGGGATGTTCTTATTTTTTCAGCAATCGGGCTGCGTTCTTATAACACGTTCATAGAAACAATCCGTACTGGATCATATGTATCCCACAAGCTGCCAGAAAACCAACACCGCCGTTCTTAGCTTTAGGCTGTGGCGTTCCTAGTACTTCAGCGATCGACTCTACTGTAGATCACAAACAACCAGCTTCTCTCCTGTTTCCCGTGTAGTGAAATAATTCAAATTACTGGAAGAATCACAGATTCAGCAGATCTGATCAGATATGCAAATTACAGGAGTACTGTGGATCTTCCGCTCTTTGATTCCCGAGGTTTGAGCAGCCGCAAAGCCATTTTCCATGGGAATAGCCTAACTGACCCCACTACATGCACGTACAGACCATGGCCACACGAGTCTATTGCACTAATCTTCCACATAATGTCGATTCATACTTCATTTCGTGTGCGGGAAACGCATAGCGAAAAATTTGATCTGAGCTCAAATATTTCACGTGCGAGAAAGCCATCGCGTGACGGCTTCCCTGTACCCGAAATTAAGTATGAATCGGCCTTTAGGGTCTAGAATCATGGACTTCACCCAAAGTGGGGCTCTGCAACCCCGATTCCTCACTTCATGAAACAAGATTCCTACTATTTGGTCTATTGGCAGTGTTGGCCCCGCTTGCTGCTGTGGGTCATATGCCGGGTCTTCCAAATATTCCTAACCGATGAAGAAACGGTTATAGAGAACAGGAAACAAACAGCCAAGAAGAAATAATAGTTAATGCAAGAAAAACAATTTCCTGAACTGCTAAGGGAAGAGAAATTTTAAAGTGCTATCATGCGTTAATAAGTAAGGGTCTGATGTTCATGATGCGTGTAAGGCTGACATGATTTCCACTGTAGCTCTTGGAAGCACATTCCGAAAAGAAGATGACCACCAAGTTGTCAATTCAGCCACCCTGGACCAAAATACAAGAGGAAGAAATAGACGAAATAGTGAGCACAGGATCAGACTAGCAAAAAGCCAACATGCTGCATGCATATATAAGTTACATGCATCATTTAATGATAGTGATGTTGGGAAGTCGACTGACAACTAATCACTTGGCACATGGAACATGTGTTGACTAGCTGCTAATAAAAACCACCCATTTGCTCTTGCACACCGTGGACACCCGGTCATGTACGGAAAGAGAACATGGCAGGCAACACGAAAGGTGTGCAGGGTTGAGAATACAACACTTTACTTGCGGCCACTGAAATCCAGACAAGACGTACAATTGTCGTATCATAAAACACTTGCAAAGGCCATGTAGTATTGTTTCGGCACTGTCAATGAAAATCAATTCAGATTTTGCCAGCCACAATTGCAGTTCTGTGCGCATACACACAAGCCTGGCGCACCTAGCTCTCTTACCAGCATAAGACCAGAAACTCGCAGCGACTGATGACAAAAGGTAGCATGTCTGCGGACGCAATGTCACTGTGTGATGGCAGTGATTTCAACCCTGGACAAGAAGCATAACAGGTTCACAGTTAGTCCTACCAACACCAGCAAGAGGAACACACTACTTACTACAGACACGTGGCTCAGTAGGAACAATTGGAATAACTAAACTCTCATCAGAATATGATCAGAGAGGGCAAGTTAGGGTCATCAAGGCCAACTAGAAAGAAAAGCAGATGGCACACCGACAAAACCGTACCATGTGTCGTGCCAAGTTCATGTTGCAGCGCTGTACAATCTGCAGGGGTTCAGGACACCAACTGCCAGGCACAAGATGCTCCTTGCCAACCTTCATACTCCTTTGCCTGTCCATAGAAAAGACAAAGATCAAGAAAAGCTATCAGCATTGAGGATCATAAGTACAGGCCACAAAAATGCATATGCTGCAATCAGTACAAGGCTCAGTAGGAACAATTGGAATAACTAAACTCTCATCAGAAATCAGTGAGGGCAAGTATAGGTCATCAAAGCCATAGAGTAGGTTCAGTCAGACATACACAAAAAAATTACCTTCAATCTCCATAACTCGAAGGGCTGAACTCAGGTCTATTCTGGCGTAGCCATGCCGTGTTCATCGTCATCTAGGAAAGAGAAGACGGGATCAATCAGACAAATACATCGAGAAAGTCACACAATGACAATCCCCAGATCTACCAGAATACAGAGCAGAAACCTGGAATGGCAACATTTTCGTTGCAATTATAAAAGATGAAAGTTTCACGAGTTGGTTGAAGCACATTTCCTTTGCAACCAAGCACCAAATTTGATTGTAGGGAAGTCGACTGACAACTAATCATGCAGCACATGGAACATGTGTTGACTAGTTGCTAATAAAAACCACCCATTTGCTCTAGCACACCGTGGACACCCGGTCATGTACGGAAAGAGAACATGGCAGGCAACACGAAAGGTGTGCGAAAAGAGTTGGAAGTTTATGAGCTACACAAGCCATTCCCGACAAATACAACAAATACCGGTCTTTTACAGTACTATGTAGTAACATACTAGCGTTGCGCACAAAGGAAGGGAAACTTACCTTTTGATTCAGCTTGGACAGAAGTAATTTTCGAGAGACGCACGTGCCCGTCCCAAGTAATGATATTGATCTTCCGAAACGGGGAAGATGAACCTTGAAGTCGCCATAGTTGATTACCACGTACTATGAGTGGGGTTTCCCAAACGGAGAGATGATTCTTGGGAGATCCATGCGAAAGAGACAGCAGAAGAGAGAGCTACAGGAACTCCCAACTCGACCCAAGTAATCACAAGGAAATGGCTGAAGAAGAACTCACTCGCGCATGCTTTTGTTCCCGATTTTCTGTACAAAAAAATGAGAGTCACGTGTGGAAAACCACGTGATTGACCAACCCCCAAATCAAAATCAAAAAAACACAAGGAGACAGGTAGAGGCAAAACATTTTTGAAAAGGTTGAGGGCCTAGCTTGTTCAGTTGTTGTTTGTGCCTCGGCTCAAGCTGCAAGGGACGAACCAGTCATCAACTGTAGCTATGAACAAGCTCACTATATTGGTGTGTGTCTTTGCCTGCCAGGCTGTCTTTCTCTGCTTTGCGGATGCGAATGATCGCTCGTTCGTTGTGGATTATGAAAATAATAGGTTTCTAAAGGATGGACAGCCCTTTCGCTACATTTCAGGAAGCTTCCACTATGCTCGTGTACCGAGTGTGCTCTGGAAGGACAGAATGATGAAAATGAAAGCCATGGGTCTCAATGCACTGCAGACGTGAGTGACCAAGCTGAAATATATGACTGTGTCCAGTGTTCAATTAGAAAGGTAAAGGAGTCCTAGTATGATATCACTGGGGTTGTTGACAGGAGAACTACTTGTAGGCGCTGTATTCTCTGCTATAACACTTAGAAGGAGGACACACGTCGGGTTCTTCAACAGCAACATTCTGAAAGTTTTCCACGAGTGTGCTTTCACGCCTTCTCTTCACTTCAGTTTGAATACAGGCAAGAGCAAAGGAACAAGGACAAGACTCATGGAAAACTTTCAAAAAGTTGCTGTTGATTCCTGAAGTGTGCCCTCCTTCCAACTGTTATAGCATTTTTGTCTCTGAGGAAACCTTTTTAGCCGCCACCGCCACGAACCCCGACAGCACAATCACCACCAGCACCACCACCAGCACCAGTTTGCGTGCGACACCTGGTCGCTTGTATTTACCACCATTCCACCAGGTGTGTCTTTACCACCATACTGTTCAACCGTAAATACAGCTACAATCAGTGGAGTTTTCAAATCCAATCGACGGTGATCCATGACCATTACTTACTTGGCTGTCGACTTGCTCAGATTTTGAGTGGCCGAAGTAACTGTTATGAGTGTCTGATCGCAGTGACTAACGTTTTCTCAAGCGTTGAAACAATGCGTGTCACATGGTAGGGTGAGTTAGTACAAGTGTCATGCCAGACATACACAATACCGATCTCAAGGCTACAACACATACATTCGCATTGCCGTAGTAACCCCACCAGGTCATCAACCAATATAGTTGATCCAAGTATCCATTCAGCCGCACACGCTCACCTTGGTCATTCGACGAAGGTTGAGAGTAACTGTGATTTCAAGCTCGATTCAAGATTGAAGGTCGAAGGAAGGTTGGCACTTTTGATCAGAAGCAGCAGGAGTTATATGATAACAAAAATGATTGAGTTAGACAAAGGCGTAGCAAAGGCGGGAAAACCAACCAATCAGACCATAGATAGCTTGTTGCTATGCAGAATTGACCAATGGGAGAAGACAACGAGAAATGCGTATTATTTATGAATTAACTAAACAGCTAGCGTTTACGATAAGACAGTTAGCAGATACAACATCCCGCGGCCCATGCATTGATAAAAATGACAAGTAAATACAAAGGACAGCTGCCGTACAAACGCGCGCTCATGAGGGGAACACGTTCACCCAACATGTAAACTAGTACCGGCAGAGTAGTTAGTTCGTCGTACAACCCGGGGAAGTTCGTCGTACAGCCCGGGAGAACCCGTCAGCTGCCGAGGCCGATATGACACAAGTACATTGTAATCGCAATAAAGAGAACAAATTCTGCAGTCATCGCCACACTACAACGAAGTCATGAAAGTTTACCAGAATTAATTTTCTTGTCACATTCATCAGTGGAAAGTCGTGACTGAAGAGTTGTTGTAGTGTGGCGATGACTGCAGAATTTGTTCTCTTTATTGCTATTATAAAATTGTTGTCTCCACGTCGATTATTTACATTGTAATCCCCGACAATATAGCACTGAGTTGGCGATGAATTTCTTTCCAGCTATAATTCTAGTTCATACTTCAATGTGTTGCAATTATAGCAAGTCAGTATTGCGCGGTTACTAGTACTCTGCTGACATTGGTCTAGATCATGACTTTAATTATGACATAACTGTTCTCAGTTGGCAAGACTTTGTGAAAATGTAATGCTACTGCTTTGTGCGTGTGTGTGTGCCTGTGTATATGTGTCGGCGTGTCTGTGTATCTGTTCTTGTCGTTCACCATTGTAGTGTTATTCCCTGGAATTTCCACCAGCCGTACTGGTCGCATCAATCATCCCGTTTCACCGGTGATCAAGACCTGGGAAAGTTCATTGACACTGCTAACGAAGTTGGTCTTCTGGTTTTGCTCAGACCCGGTAAGTAATAGACAATACCTGCGTCAATATCTCCATCAGTATTTGTATCAGTATTTGTATCAGTATTTGCACCAGTATTTGCATCAATATCTACATCAATATCTGCATCGGTACCCGCATCAATACCTGCACCAGTATCCGTATCAATATCTGCATCAATACCTGCCTCAATACCTGCACCAATGTCTCCATAAATATCTGCATCAGTATCTGGCATCTGCATCAACGCACATTCCCATATTCATGTGTCCATTTCCATGCAATTTTCACATCACAGCTTTTCGCAAGGCTTGTGCAGGAGTATGAGAGGGGCAGGGCATTCCATACCCCTTCCCTTGAAAAATTGAAGTGCACCACTGAGGAAATTTAAAACTGTGTGTGTGCGTGTGTGTGCGCGTGTGTGTGTGTGTGTGTGTGAAAAAATGAAAAAGACCAAAAAGTAGGGATTCACTGGCCAGAAAAAGCCACTTCATAGCTGTGTGGTGTAGACCAGGCTGAATAGTGGCGGTCAATTCTTCAGCCTTGCAAGCTGTTGAATGGTGCAATCCCAGCACAAGCTGGTATGGCTTCTGCTGTAGCATCGCTGATGGGCGTCCAATGGTGTGTGTGTATGTGTGTGTGTCCTTTCATCTTCTATCTTGTGTTCTGTGTTTTGGCAGGTCCATACATTTGTGCTGAGTGGGAAAATGTAAGAATACCCTGCTCCCCTGTATTGCTGTATTTCTGCTATTCTGTATGATGGAGTGCAGAGAGTAACTGGACTAGGCAGTATACTGTATGATGGAGTGTAGCGTGTTTTTGGACTAGCCAGGAGGCTGTATGATGGAGTGTAGAGTGTAGATGAACTGGCCAGTACATGTAGCTAGATATGACTTTCTAATTCCTGGTAGTGGTATGTGTATGCGTATTGGTTGTACACGATGGTGCTTGCCACCCGTTGCACATCTCCTGACAATGTTGTACTCTACTACTATATAACTAGTAAGACTTATCAATACCTAAGAGATACTACAGCTATTTCAAATAGGTGGAATGGAGATGAGAGATGGGCAGCAGTTTGTTACATGTTGTGCATTTCCTGTAGCATAGAATGTTCTTCTTTTGTTTTGTTGCGTCTCCAGGGTGGTTTTCCTGCTTGGCTTACAGCCAATACATCCGTCAAAGTCCGCACTTCAGAACCAGGTGAGGGCACATGTACCTGCAGTGGGCTTTGCCACTTGTGTGTGTGCATGCATACCAGTGCAGTGTGTGTGCATGCATACCAGTGCAGTGTGTGTGCATGCATACCAGTGCAGTGTGTGTGCATGCATACCAGTGCAGTGTGTGTGCATGCATACCAGTGCAGTGTGTGTGCATGCATACCAGTGCAGTGTGTGTGCATGCATAGCAGTGCAGTGTGTGTGCATGCATAGCAGTGCAGTGTGTGTGCATGCATAGCAGTGCAGTGTGTGTGCATGCATAGCAGTGCAGTGTGTGTGCATGCATAGCAGTGCAGTGTGTGTGCATGCATAGCAGTGCAGTGTGTGTGCATGCATAGCAGTGCAGTGTGTGTGCATGCATAGCAGTGCAGTGTGTGTGCATGCATAGCAGTGCAGTGACTACAGTGACTACAGACTAGTACAGTGACAGGCAGTCCTGTACTGAAGTGAGGCACGTTGTCACCGGCATGCTACTCTAGTAAGCTACTCTTGTAACAGCCTGTGTGCTACTCTACTGGAGCTAATCAGAGAACAGCAAATGCCCCAGCACCGGCACCAGAAAACACTGAGATCCTATGCTCTTCCTGCATTTAATTATTGGTTTGTGCTTTCGATAAAGCACGGTTTCAGTAGCAGCAGTACCAGCACCGGCGGCAGCAGCATCAGAGACTGAGTGATGCCACGGGCCTCAACTCAATGCATGTATGTGTGTGTGTGTGTGTGTGTGTGTGTGTGTGTGTGTGTGAATGTGTGTACGTGTGTGTGCGTGCGTGTGTGTTTGATTGCTGCTGTTTTCTTGTTCTATGCACAGGCTATTTGTTTGAGGTGACCAGGTGGATGAATGTGTTGCTGCCTGTAATCAAGCCACGTCTCTATGCCAATGGTGGGCCAGTAATCATGGTTCAGGTGGGTAGTACTTGTACTATCGTATGAGTTTTGCGGTCCGATGATAGATTATTGTATTGAGTGTAAGAGTGCTTTGTGATGTACCGTTTCACTTGATCCCCTCCCCCCCCCCCCTTCCTCTCTCTTCTCTCTCTCTCTCTCTCTCTCTCTCTCTCTCTCTCTCTCTCTCTCTCTCTCTCTCTCTCTCTCTCTCTCTCTACCTCTGTTCATCTTGCTGCCCCTTGTTCGTGCCCCCCTCTTCAAAAGTGTTGTGCTGCCTCGCCTATCAGAACATGTGTATTGAGTTTAGAATATACACTGTACAGCCTATTATTAAATTTATTAGCAGGTTTTCAAGGTTTTCTCAAAATTTATATCTAGAAATTGCCTGCAAAATAGAACCACTCTTTCGTAGGACAGAATCTTTGTCAAAAACAGCCATATTGTCGCATTACATCCACATGTTGCATCCTCGCTCTCCTTTGATTTCACCCCAGGCGTATCGCTGATGGGTGTACCGGCATTGCGGGTGAAGTGTTGGTCAGAATTCAGTTGATTTATCGATGAAGCAACACTCTCTCCTCCTCTTCTCCTCCTCCATGCGCTCTCAGTCAACACATGGCTGCCCTCGGTAGCCATTACACACACACACCAATAATTCGAAACAACAAAGGAGTTACGGGTACAGTCAACTTCGCCAATAACGACTGCGGATATAACGACAATTCGCGAATAACGACAGAATTTCCATGCCCAGAGCAAAGTCCCATCTAACTGTAATGCACATAATGAGACTTAGGGTATAAGGACACTTCGTGAATAAGGACACCTTTCTGATGCCCCGCCGAGTGTCGTTATACGCAAAGTTGACTGTACTTCAAGTATCGATGATGTCCCTCTTATTCCTCTTGTGTCTGCAGGTTGAGAATGAGTATGGATCGTATGGTGCCTGTGATCATGACTATATTGACTACCTGTACAATCTCTATCGCAAACAACTCGGCGACGATGTGGTCATCTACTCCACGGATGGTCCGACTACTCGCATGATCACTTGCGGTAGTTCCAAAGACATATTCACCACGATTGACTTCGGCGCCGGTGGAAGTGAGTTGGACATGAGCTGCATGCTTGTAAATACTAGCAAGAGTAAATGCCTTTGCTGTTTGCGTTATGCATAGCTCACTGACTGGTCAGTTTGAGCACTCTGGCAAGGTATGTTTGGGCCTGGTTGAAATCTGGCTTTGGAAATTTTATTTTCATTGCTACCAGGTTCGGCCTCATTTCCTCTGTGCTGCGCTGATGAGTCCACAAAGGACAAAACAGTTCTGTCCGCAGATTGAGTAGCAAGAGTAAATAAAAATAAGCTCCTGAGAGTGTCCAACTCTAGATACCCTTCCATGGAGTCCGCCCGACTCTGCCGGTGGCGAACACTCACATGACGTGGTGCAGTGTTCACGTTGTACGTTCCCAGCCTGTTTTTAGCGAGCAGTGGAGTAATACAAATAGCTTGACATTAATTTTGTCGATAATGAAGTACATGTAGTACTGTATGGACAATGTCACCAAGAGTACATAACCCCCCCAGAGTGTGCAACTCGACTATGGGTGCTGTCCCGACAAAATTTCAAGTTGACGTCATTTTTATGATGCAATGCGCACTGTACACGGATTATCAGACGAATCCGGAACCTGTGGTTGACCAAAGACGATCTCATCCTGTACAAATTATTGCAAAGAAAAACGTGTGATGCGTTGACACCCGTACACCTGCTGTAAATCACTGGTGCAAGGAGCATTGCGTCATGAATAATGACGTCAACTTGAAATTCTGTCGGGATAGCAGGGTATGTGGGAGTTGCACACTCTGGGGGTGGGGTTATGTACTCTTGGGGGTATGTACTCTTGGGGGTTATGTACTCTTGGGGGTTATGTACTCTGGGGGGTTATGTACTCTTGATGTTACCAATCACAGTACAGTAAAACCTGTCAAGGTGACCACTCGGATAAGGCGACCACCTGTCCTAGAGGACCACTGCAACTAGGACCAAAAGGTGTCATTTCCAGTCAAGTGACCCTGGATAAGGAGACCACCTGTACACGGGGACCACATTTTGAAGGTCCCTGGAGCGGTCGGCTGAGACGAGTTTCACAGTTAACTGTTTGTTGTTTCCAGCTTCCTTTCTTTTGCTGATGCGGCATGGTTTCAAAATCTTCATGCTGCTGTTGCTGCTGCAGGTGATCCGATGAACACGTTCAAAGTGCTGCGTGCCTACCAGCCCACTGGTCCTCTTGTCAACTCTGAGTTCTACACCGGCTGGCTGGACCACTGGGGCTCAGGACATGCGCATGTCGGCACCGCTGCTATCGTCACAACGCTGAAAGCCTTGCTAGCTATCCCGGAGGTGTCTGTCAGCATGTACGTATGATTGCGGCTTGCACATGTACAGTACAGTACTATGTGTGCCAGTGAATTCTTTGCATCTCTTGTGGATATGTAGCGTATTTTCCGGAGTATAAGCCGCACCCCGGTTTTTTTTGTCAAGAAATAAATACAGTAAAACCTGTAACTAAGGACCACCCCTTGGTGCCCGGAAAAGTGGTCGTTAGTGGTAGGTGGTCTTTAGTTAGAGGTTTGCACTGCGCGACCATATATGGATCCCATTATAATGATATGTATGTCAAAATGCAGATAATACAATCCCCCACCACTTGCGCACTGACATTCTTCTTTCAGATCATACAACACTTGGAGAGAGAGAAAATCAAGTTTTTTATACACCGGAAGCGATACGAGCTTTTGACACGTATGTTGACTCACTGGGTTTCCAGAGCAGCGCTGGCGCCTGGCCAGGCAGTGGACTAGTCACTATCGACTCCATCCTCATCTGTGTGCGACTACACCATGTACACTGGCAACTGGTATCAGTGTGTAGATCTACAGTACAGTGGAAATTCAGTCGCTCCGACTTGGATGTAGTGTAGCGTAAACTCACTAAACTGTATTGGTGTGTACCAGTACGACCGTGATGCGGTGATGTTGCGAGTTTTCGCACCTTCACTGTAGACTAATCCGCCATCGTATCCTGGCCTGTGTTCCGTACAGGTGAGTACCGTAGCATGCTAGCTAGCCAGCACAGACTGTCAGTGTGACCTGGTCACGTGGTGACTGAGCTGTGTGATTGCACTTCGACAGAGAGCCGCTCGGTCTTTACTTTAGTTTCTCCTTCGAGTAGTAACATCGATCAAAGAGCGCTTTGGATGCGCTCTCCAAGACGTTTCCTATCATGTTTGTTCTTGACAGCACTTGAAATTATGACAGGTGTAGTGCAGTCCACACTGATTCCACAGTAAAAATGAGACTGCGCTCATTTGTCCAGCTGTAGTATCGAAACGACCATGGAAAATCATCAAATTTTCGAGAAGGAGCTTCAAGCAATGTTTGATTTGCTACATCGCGGTCGCTAGTTACGGGTCAAAATTCGACATTGGGACAAGAAAAGGCGGTCGCTGGTCGCGTTCAGCAGGTAGTCGCTAGTCACAGTGCATTTTGAATGTGAGACCGTCCGTGCCTGACAAAGTGGTCGGTAGTACCAGGCCGGTCGCTAGTCACGGTGGTCGTTAGTTACAGGTTTTACTGTACAGACATTTACCCTGTTGATCAGCGTTAATTTGACCGTCGTAGTGCACCGACTTTTTTTGGCTGAAGTCCTAGTATCTCTGTGTGTCTGCAGGTACATGGCTATTGGAGGGACAAACTTTGGCTTTTGGAATGGTAAGAACTTACAACATACAGCTACAGTGTTTGTAAGCTTAAGATGGGATGATACACACAGGGCCGGGATGCACTGTATGTTCCTAAGTTTGTGGGTGAGTTCTATCTGAACCACAATCACAGGGTTTGATTGTGCTCGCCGATGTGTGTGTGTATGTGTGTGTGTGTGTGTGTTTGTGTGTATGTGTGTGTGTGTGTGTGTGTGTGTGTGTGTGTGCGCGTGTGTGTTTGTACGTGTGTGCTTGTGCCACGTTGTATCTGAAAACAGGTGCCAACTCGCCGCCCTATGCCCCACAGCCGACCAGCTATGACTACGACGCACCCCTGACCGAGTCTGGTCGCTATCACCCTGACAAGTACATGGCCATTCGAAACACTATTGCTACGGTGAGATCACCATGCTGATTACTCCCTGATCACTGTATGCACGATTACTTAAACTAGAGCCATTTTTCGTGCATTTTTTCGCGTGTAGTTATCTGGTACCGTTTAAGTATGGATGGGTATAATTATGAATATGAATGGGGCATGTGTGTAGGAGGGCATGTCGGAGCACATCCCTGAGCAATCGAACCCCAGGCCGGAAGTAGATCTGTATGAGCTCAGCTGAATGTAATAGAACTTCTCTAATCCAGACTCCCCAGATCCAGGCACTCGTGTCTACTGGGCACCTTTCTGGCCCCTCTACAGTCACAAAAATAATTTAATTGGCCTTTTAACGAAAACGGCCGCAGCTACTATCGATTGACATACAAGTAGAAAGTGTGTACTTGTGAGCAATAAGTATGTATGTTCCTAGTTACCGGCAATGCTCGATTCCAACCTGCCCGGATAAGGAGAGCTCTACTGTACTATCCGTTCCAACTTCCTGTGCTGGTGCTAGTCTCTGTGCTGCTGCTGCTGCTGTTGCTGCCACTATACTGTCCTACTGTATGATGAACAAGCTGTTCAGGTCCACTGCATCCATTCTGCTGGGAGTTGGTAGTGGTTGTCCTAACAACTTTAAATCACGTAACATTTTGTGCTGACATACTAGTCTGATTGCTATGTTGTGTGTGTACACCACTGCTGCAGGCTATGAATGTGACACTGCCACCGGTTCCCGACTTGCAAGCGGCCATGGCATACGGCAGTGTTAAGTTCACCCAGGTAAGCTGCGTAATAGCCTGCATTGTACTCGCGCTTTACTCCGTACCAGTACACCATAGCATGCCATGCTGTGCTGAACTATGGGTGAGGACAGTACTCACACCATATCATGCCATGCTGGGCTGAACTATGCCATGCTGGGCTGAACTATGCCATGCTGGGCTGAACTATGGGTGAGGACAGTACTCACCCATAGCATGTCAGGTTGTGCTGAACTATGGGTGAGGACGACACTAGCAATACAGTCAACTTCGCTTATAACGACACTCGGCGGGGCATCAGAAAAGTGTCCTTATTCGCGAAGTGTCGTTATACCCGAAGTCTCATTACATGTATACAGGTAGAATGGACTTTGCTCTGGGCATGGAAATTCTGTCGTTATTCGCGAATTGTCGTTATATCCGCAGTCGTTATAAGCGAAGTTGACTGTAGTCTGCTGAAGATAGATCTTCTGTGTGTGTGATATGCGTCTGTGATGTGTTGTCCGTCTGATTGTGGTCCTGGGTCTTCTCCTGTGTTTTTGTTCCTCTGTTTCCAGCCGCACAGTTAGCCTAGGCCTTGTCAAGTGTCTGGCGTATCCTGAATCGGTTTTCCTTTGTGCTGTATGTGTGTGCAGCAATGTTCACTGGTCGATGCCTTGGCTAAGTCCGTGCAGGCGTACGAGTTTCATCAGCCGCAGCCATTCGGAGCTGCCCACCAGGTAATTGTGTGAGTGGTGTACGTGTTCTGATGCTTAACCCCGTCGCCTGGTTTAGCCGTACAGCTGACCAGTAGCAGCTCTGCTCTCCTACTAATCAGTCAGTCAGGGGCGGATCCGGGGGGGGGGGGGGGGGGTGGTCCTCGTAACCCCCTAATTTGTTATGCATGTACATGTATCAGCTATTCAGTTTTGGCTAAACCGGAAACCCCCTGTAGAGATCTCTGGATCCGCCCCTGGTCAGTGGTGGGTTTGCAACAGCACTGGATATCCCATCTTCCACCAAAGCTTGTTATGATTGATTGTTCTTGAACTCGGGTGTCTGTTTCTGTGCTTTCTATGCGGGCAGAGTTTTGGCTTTATGTTGTATGATAATACAATGAAGGTTACAAACACTTCAGCTTCGGCTCTAGAGATGACAGTGACGGGTATGATTCATGACCGCACCGTGCTGCTCATCAACAATGTAAGTGGTCAAGCACATTGTACGCTGTGGGCAGTGTGGGGTGCATTGCCTTGTGCTGCACTCCATTGCCTATGATTCTAGTCTCTGTGCTGCTACTGCTGCTGCTTATGCTGCTGCTGCTCGTGCTGCTGCTGCCGCCACCGCCACAGTACTGTCCTACTGTGTGATTGATCAACAGCTGTTCAGGTCCACTGCATTTGTTGTTGGAATGTTTGGTTTGGTTCTATTTCCTGGCATGTCCTTCCTTTTGGATACAGTCAACCTTGCATGTGAATACCGACCTCTGGTATAACACCAGACTACGAATAACGACACAATCCTCAGACCTAGTGATCATTTGACTGCATACTTACAACCTCACAGATAACGACACATTCTTATGCACGATCAAGATCAAGGGTTGTTATTCACAAGGCTGACTATGTTAGATCTTTATTCTCATGTGACATGTAACAGAGTGGTCACACCAACCTTCTCTCTTCTTGAACTTACCACACTACATGTACACTAATTCGGATACATGGTAAAATCCAGCGATCATAATGAAGGGAATCCCCTGCTGTATTTGACATATTTTTCAACTGGTATTCTTTGCAGATGGCCCAGTATGTGTTGAAACGACAGGATTCCGGCTCTCAGTCTCTTAAGATCGCTATGCCCAGCGGCTCAAGCTTCAAGCTGGGTTTGCTTGTCGAGAACCAGGGCCGCATCAACTATGGTGGTGGTATTGGTGACCAGAAGGTATGTTTGTCAATGTGTACATGGTGTGTGTGTGGGGGGGGGGGGGGTGTGCATGTTTTCTTGAATTTCTGCATGATCCTCCATTGCCTTGTCTATAGGTGCTTGTCTATTGTAGTGGAGGAATGTAACAATAACAGCTGCCAGTCCAGTGTACATTGTCCTCTGGGGAGGCTACTAATCTGCTCACATGTGTGGGTGGGTGTTCCTGTTGATCCACTCACTCTCAGGGATTCATTGGTACAGTGAGCTCACCGGTGGCAAGCGTTGGTGACGTTTGGACCCAGTACCCACTGAGCCTAGACGATACGATGACTTCAATCTATGATTTCCCCCGATCACCCATTGACAAAGGGTGAGTGTCTTCAGCTGTGTACACTGTCTTACTGTAGTGATGTCAGCGAATGCATCATGGTGATGTTGGTGACGGTGGTAGTGGTCGTAATGGAGGTGGTGGTGGTGATGATGGTGCTGGTGTTGGTGCTGGTGGTGTCAGTGGTGGTGGTGGTGGCGGTGTTCGTGGCGATGGCAATGGCGGTGTTCGCTGCTTGCTTGTAGCACTGGTGGTGGCAAGTTGCCAATAATTTTCTGTTCCTGCCGGTGGCTGTGGGGATTTCATCTTCTAAATTTCTCTGGCAGAGTAACAACCTGAAGTCCGCCCAGTGTAGAACTCTGGCCGGTACACTCCGCTGTTTCATGTGTGTCATCACTCCTGGTGTTCTGTGGCTGTGTGGCTATGATTCCTTGTTCTGTGTTGATGTTGAAGATCTGCCGTCCCCACACCTGCTTTCTACTACGGTACATTCAACGTGACCAAGATTGCTGACACTTTCCTGTACACGGACGTCTTAGGAAAGGTATGGTGAACTTCACACTCACAACAGGTACTACAGTACTGTGTCTCTTACAGGTACTCAGGCATGCGTCTTGCTGACTTCTAGTATTTGTTAGCACTTCAGGCCGCTTACCGGTTGTCTTCGTGTATTTTCTTTGACATTCGAGAGGTTCTGCTTCACGTCAACCGTAGAGAACACGTGTCTGGGTGTGAGTCTATGGCTTTGCTCATTTTGAGTCCAGTCTTCAACGCAGAGTCTTTTCTCTACGTTGTTGCAGACGCAAAGAAAATGCATACAGATCTGCTGTGTATCATTCTGATTAGGCATAAACTGCCAAATTTGGAATGGGAAAGTCCCACATTCCACGTGGTTTCTTTGCGTGAACGTAGAGTAGAACAGGTTTCCCATACGTTACGGGAACGCAAAGAGTGATCGAGGGATTCTTCGCATCGCGTTCCCCCAACGTCGAGCAAAACACCTGTATTGTGACTAATTAATCTCTGTAACTGTAGTGTTGAGAGGGACTTGAGGGAAGGACTATAAGGACTGTGGGTACCCCTGTGTTGCCACACCTGCCGACATGTCAGTAGCCTGCCGATTTTTGAGGCCTGTCACAACCTGCCGACAATTGACCGTCTCCTGCCGACAACAGCCGTGAAAGTGTCCAAATTTGACCTTTGTGCTTGGTTTAGAAGTCATGGTCCAGAATTTTGGCTTTTACTGCTCATTACGAGTGATTCCATAGCTCTCTCCTACAATGCAAACATCAGCTGTCTGGAGGAAATCGGCAAACTCAGCCTGAGTCGTGTGCACTGTAGAATCCCGCTGGTGGGTTTGTACAACGAAGCTTTGGCGATGTTCGAACTTGGCCTAGGCTTATGCGCGGGTGGATTTATCCGCTGGATTCTAGGGCATATTGGGGTTACTACAAGGGGGGGGCGGTCCGGGGGCGAAGCCCCCGGATGATGCATTTTATTTTTGTTCAGTCTACTGATATTTGGCTATAATGATGTGGCAACACTGGTACCCAGACTCAGATATGGAACAGGTTTTGTTCGTTATCGACAATCTGTTTTTACTTTGAAATTTATCCTTTGCGGCAAAGGTGTAACAGCATTAGAGGCTTGTACCGTAGAGTACCGCCAGAGCGCCCCACCATCTCGTCCTTTCGTGGCCGTCTTGTGTGGGTGGTTTCCTGTTTGTAAGTCATATGACACGAACCTTGTACACACATTGCACGTTGTGCAGGCAATCCGTACCCAGTTTACCTTCTATCGGATGCGAGCTCTACATAAAAACATGCCAAGCATGACCTTAGTACACGAAGGTTCTCACACCGTAAAAACTTAGTAGCATTCTGCCGTATGATTTTCTTCCCTTGCATGGCTGTAAAATCAAGGTGGGGCGCTCTGGCGGTACGTTACGGTACATGTAATTCGAATACGGTCTGATTCAAGGGTTCCCTTTATTCAAACGTTAAAATGATATTTCCTCTCTGCCCTATATGAGCATGTGTCTTCTGTGGTTGGCAAAACTAGAACATTTGTATACTCAGATGGCTGGGGGTTAGGGGACTGGAGTTATGGGGGATTTTCTGTAACGTTATCACCCTTGTCTGCCATGCTCGCTTGGTGATGCCTTATTGTGCTCTAACCTTGTACATTGTACCTCGTGTAGGGTCAGGTGTTCATCAACGATTTCAACCTGGGTCGCTACTGGCCATTAGTGGGCCCTCAGAAAGCTCTCTACGTGCCCGCCAACTTGCTGCTTGAAGGTCAGAATAAGATTGCTATCTTTGAATTGGTCCAAGGGGTGGACAGCTTGACCGAGGTCATGTTCAAAGATGTACCCGATGTCGGTGTGGCTAACACTGTCGAAGTCACAAGCTTTTCGAAGGCTTAGAAGTGTTGCGCTTGGAAATATTATGGGATTGAAGATTTTTATTCTATTTAATCCAATGCGCCTGCCTATGATGTCCAGTTTGTGAACGCCATCTTGTAATTGTGCCTGTTGAGCGATCACTGGAAATCAGCACATTATTGTCAGCTTGAACATTTCCACACTCCACACTTTACTGGTGTTCGCTTGCTTCTAGAACTAGTATCTGCGCTTCAGATCGGTGTGTCTACTTCAAGTAGACAAGAGATGTTCATAATGCGACAACATTTTTTTCTCATGCAAGCTGCCAAAGCCAGGGAATGAAAACAATGACCAATGGAGCTTCGACGCGTTTTTGATTCTGCTTGAACAATGATAATTTCTATAATTACTCTTTCTCTGATGCTTTCTATGCTACCCTGCTGGGTCTATGCTACCCTGCTGGCTGGGACAGTGGTACACTGGTTCTGATGTGTATTCTTTTGCACAGACGGCGCTTTGCTGATCTACACAATGGCATACAGAGGCATGTCGAGCTTTGGGTTTTGAGACCTTTTAGATTTTGAAAAGAAAATTTAGAAAATTATCTTCAATAGTAATTGTTTCTTTGTAGTTGAGGGCATGTGTATGTGAGGATCCCGATCCTGACTCGCTGTATCCGGGGCAGTACAATGCGGTTTCCACCACAGGTAGTCCATCATCATTCACTAAAAAATAAAAATGCATGCTCAGCCGCTAACGGCTTTCAGAGAATATCAGTCGACATGTCCAGACCAGAAACACACACAAAGTCGCATCCGGCTGAAACTCTCCCAGCACTTTCACGTGGCAGGTGCAGCATTTACTAGTATTCATGTGCTTTGTGTTGTGGGTCGTACTCCTGTGTGAGACGATTCACTGTGTGTGTGTGATAGTGACTGCCTCCCATTTGAACATCCGGGCTGTCATTTCCGGGCATTGACTTGTTTTGAAGTACAGTAGTTGGAATGCGGAATGCACTTTGCTCTCTTTGCAGTTCTTCACCCCCCACTTCAGGTGTGACAAATGTACAAATGTGTGAGGCTTGCAAGCAAATGAATACCGTGTATTGCACATGGATCTATCATACCGTGTATTGCACACGGATCCAAGTCATGCATGGCTGAATAGTGAATTCACCAATACACTGTACATGTACAGCCACTTATCTGCTGTCAGTTGGATGCAGATACGAATGTAGTCCGGTATCACTGCATGCAGTCAATGCTGCAGAGTTTCCTGTTCACTACTCAGTGACAGCCTGGTCAGAGATAAAACTGACAACTAACTAGTTACTAATAGTCTTAGCCATGAGTAAACTGGTAGTGTGTCTAGTGTGTACATCCATCATGATCTGTGTGCAAGTGGACACACTTACTATCACACTGCCAGTACTGCTGCTGGTTACTAGATCAATTCAACATGGTAACAGCAGCCACCCTTTGCATTTGTGTCAATTAATATTAACCGTGAATTAATTTTAAGTTTAGGCATTGCGTTACATACATGTACGAGGTCACATCCATGATAGCCATGGTAAGTTGTAACTAGCAGAGGCCTATGGTAGAAGTAACAGTTGAATTTTTTTTAATAATATTCCCTGCTACTTACCAAGGTACTCCGTATGCCGGTACATGTACTTTTGTTCAGTATGATATGGGGCGAGGGGCCGGAGGGGGTCTTTTAGTGAGTGAGTTTAGTAAGTGTGAACCTGTCAATATGTCACACGGATTGTCAGGCAACTGAAGACAGGTCTCATTACATATCCTGGCATCAACTGTGCACTGTGCAGTACTGACAGTAGACATGTTATTTGTAGACTAACTGTTAGTGCAGTACTACTGGTGATGAGCCACTCAGCCACTGGCACCCGTACCCCACGATGCGGCCTACTCCCGTCTTGTCTTGTACTTTGTAGGGTGCCTGTGATAGTAGTGTACCATCATTTCACTACACTCATTACACTACTCCCCGTATCCACAAACACGAAAATGGCAAGCAAACGGCCAAACAACAGGTTTACCCACAGAGCTTGGGGCTGAGAGAGCCGATTGAATGCTTGGGCAGTAGGGGGGAGGGGAGAGTCGGAAGGGGACCGGGGAAACATAATCACAGCCATTAAAAGGCATTAGCAATAGCTGTTGTCCGAGAGTGACTGGTACCTGTAACCTCTCAGGCAAGTAAGTTACTAAGTTACTTACAGTGTACTACTACTACTACTATTATTGACAGCTGCCAGAAATGGCCACGCCGCTCCCCAAAGGGAGTGTACTAGTACAGTCATGTACTTCAGGAATCACAGGAAACACAAATACGTATTATTATGCATTCGTGATTCCTCAGGCTCGGCAAAGCTCAGTTACTGGCCAAACCATATGCACGGTAGGACCATCATTATGGCATGTTGCTTGTTAGGGTGCCATGGTGCAGCACGTACATGATTGTAGTTCTGCTCTGCTTCTTGTTAATTCGTACGCTTTACCCATTCCTGTGTGGGACTGATGATTGTTATCGACAGTGATGACTCCAGAAGGAACTGGTACTGTAGAATGTAGCACTCAGGCAAGAGTGCCATCACGGCATCAGTCCTCCTGGGCACAACTCCCACCAATCACACATATGTACATGGAGAAGTTTTTGGTCTCTGCCTCTGGTTGTGTTGCACAACGCACTGACAAAGTGATGCCAAGATTGGCAAGACAGATGTAGAGATCAGTATCCAATGCTATGACCATGATGACTGTGGAGTCTATCATTACTACTAGACGATTAGTATCAACCGTGATAACTCCCTGGCCTGGCTGGGGCTTACGCTGGTGCAGCAGCTAGTGTTTGAGCAGTCCGAGTGTCCGGCATCCGGAGTCTCAGCACAGTATTGACGCAACCTTTCTAGTGATCATAATATGGCCCAGAATCTGCGAAAACCAGGCTTAGGGTGAAATTTCACAAAATGACTTTTTCCCATTTTCAGCTTCTACTGGGCATGGGAGGTCAGGAGACAAAATATTACAGGTGTGGGTCGACTCATAGTGGTATTAAAAGTATCTCAAACACACCAGGGTATTGTGTTAAAAAATCCAAAAAAAAACACAAAATTGTTATCATAGGAAAGAAATGAAGAGAGATCCACCAGAGTGAAGGAAGAGACATGGATGATTTTTGTTTAGGTGACATGACAAGGTAGGCATGTGGGGGGCAGGCTTGTTGTGGCCCCTTGGTGCTGCAGGCTGTAGTGGCCACGCACAGTTCTGCATGAATTTTGTTTGCTCCTCACTCAGCACATTCTGGGGCTGCATACATGTACTTGCATGCTCTGGCGCTACACACCACAAGGAAACCCGACTCCGGTTGAGATGGCACCTTTTGAAGGGTGAATCTAGTACAACTATTCAAAAACAAGCAAGAACACAGCCTTTCAAACTGTTCCACTGTTCGTAGTATGCGCATAGTGATAGTGTGCTGGCGTGCTGCAGTGTCTGCTTGGTGCTGACCAGCAAGTGAAATCTCGGCACGCCGTACAATCCCTTGCAGCTAGCTGTCCAGCGAGGAAAGTCTCGAGTGGAGGCCTCTCAATCTGCTCGCTCATTCGCCTGGCATTCAGTAGCACTTCATCGCCAAGGCCTTCAATTCAAAACAGTTTTCACACTGCGCTTCTAGCCTTTTTCCTCGTGAACTTGCTGCAAACGTATGAGCTCTGCTGCGCGTGTTCCCTTTGCGTGAGGCCCAGAAACAGCTAGTATCTCCATACTTCGATTGGCTGGGTCGATGCCGTCCAGGTTCTCCTCGCTATCGCCATCACGACTCTAACTGGAGACGATTTCTTCACCATTTTCCGCAAGCAGCAGCTAGCGCAGAAATTTCGCCATCCCTGAGTGAAGGAGATGGAATCCGTTCGATCAGCTCAAAAACTCTTCGTTGTGACTAGAGGAGTAGCAGGGAATATTCTACCGGAAGCCCTTTGACTTCCCTGACTGCTGAAACCCTTCCTGCCATGACTGCTACTTCTTCAAACAAGCGAGATTCTCTTTGGTTCCACTTCACTGCACTCGAGCGCCCACGCGACACAACCGTTTTACAAAACATCATTTTTCTCAAAAAAATGATTTTCACCCTAAGCCTGGTTTTCGCAGAAGTTGGGCCATATGGCTACCACTACCAGTGTAATATCATCAAGAGTACACTTGATATCATCAACACCACTCTGTCTCAGCCATGGTCCTCATTTCGCAACCAGGAGCCATAACTGGCATAAGTAATACTAATAGTTGCATAACCTGATAACACCTCTCCGCATTCTTACCGTGCCAGAATAATGGTCTAGAACAACATTACATACTACAAAATGCAGTGATCATGCATGGTGATTCACTGATTGTTGCCACCTCCAGTACAGGCACAATCACTTGCTGCAGCGTGACCAGGTGACTAGTATGCGCTATGGAAAGCTTTACTTGGCGTGACTTCTGCTGCACCTGAGTCACCCCGCCAGTAGCTTGACTGGATCCCCACTCACTGGAACTAACTACTTACTTGGGAGTGGAACCTGTACGAGGGGAGGGATAGCGTCATCCTCCAAACTAACCAAAGCTCCAATAATTATAATTATACCAAATAATTAATTGCAAAGTAGCGCTTCCCGGCCACCGTCCACCACGTAGCAATGCGCTATGTTAGACACATGAACGGGTCATGACACGCTGATTGTTACAAACTCGTTACAACACCGAGTAACCTTCTCTTCGAAGTGAGTTGCGCATACAAAAGTCGCTTCTTCTTCTCTCTGCCATGTCGTCCATCATTCTTGAAGCTCACGTACTACACACAAGTGCTGTCTCACTCAGCCGGCTTCCTCCGCTCAAAACAAAGGGCCAAGGCTGCTGCCCCTACGGACCCTAGCCTAGGGCCCCTGACTCTCCATAGTTTGTGAAATGCACGTGGGTACACATGTCACTGTGACTCAGTAAAACAGTCACCTCAACACCGGTCACCGCACCCCGCGCGCAGTGCCCGCACAGGGAAAGAAAAGAAGTGTGACTGTCTGTGAGCTGCGAGTACGACTCGAGCACTGCGAGATCGTCCTACATCGTGACGGTGCGCCGGTTCCTAGATCCTTTGACGTGACCTGGCACGCGGACTTCGCACAGAAGATTCACGCATCTTCGTGACGTGATCTGCTGAAACTGCATGATCCTCAGAGTCATACAGATCAGATCATCAGAGTACTAGTAACGACGTTACGTAACAGTCAGTAGTTGTGTGCTGTCACGCATATGTGTGTGTTTGTGTGTACGTGTGTGTGTGTGTGTGTGTGTGTGGTGTGTGTGCTGACTCTGCACTGCATGCATGCATGGCACTGCTGTCAGTTAGAGAGTTACGAAAATACGACCGGCTCGTGGAGTTAGAAATACGGCGGTTTTGCCCATGCACGACGAAAGGATCTTGAATCGCGATGTGAAAATGGCGCGGAATCCCGTGTTTGACGACGTCATCGATCATGGTCATGCATATCGCGCGCATATCGCGGCTCTGATCATCCAAATCATTTTGGCAATCAAAAGCGCATTGAACCGACCCACGTCCACGACGACACTTGAAAAGTGCAGGCCGAACTGTTCTTGAGCCAGACATAGATCTACGCTACATATGCTTTTGAAGATCTACACTGTTTGACTAGCCCTAGCGTAAGCACAGCCTGCCCCGCAGCCCAGGTAAAGACACTCTTTGAAATAAAAGATCCTTCCTTTCGCTTGACGGTTTACTTGGCTGAGGTCTTTCATTCCATGGTGAAGAGCTCATCGCAACTTTCTGTTAATGTTTCTTCAAGCTTCTTGCCGCCGCTTTCTATCCACGAGTGCATACGCCATGGCCGGACGATGCCCAGCTGCCAACCAGCTCCTCAACTACAGGGAGGAGCAGAAGGTAAGATCCCAGCAGGTTTTTTTGACTTGGTGCATTTCGCATTGCGATCATTTGAAAGGCGCCGTTCCTGGCATTTGTCTTTGACCCTGTGACCCGTGCCTGTGTACTATACTACTAGTATAGCGTGGGGCCTATTTGTTAGGGGTCGTCGCAAAAGTTTTCTGTCGTCCCTGAAACGAACATCGTTCATTTCGTACTCGGACCCCCTCCCCTCCCTCTGAAACGAACACAGCTTGCTATGCTGGACGACGAAAATCGCATGCATGTACTACATGTCATATCAAGAGTCCATAACCCCATGGACTCTTGGTCATATGTACAGTGTCGGTCGACTTGCGATTTTGGCTCGCACCCCCTCCCCCCCAAACGAATCATGTTCGTTTCAGGGACGACAAAAAACTTTTGCGACGACCCCTTAGTTCTGCTTTAGCAACATTTGAAGTGCTCGTGCCGGTTTCATCGTTCTTTTGCTTGCGGGGCAACATTTTTGTAGATGTGAAGGTGTGATTATGGACACGTGCTGAATAGTTTCCATTTTCTTTGTGCACTGTGTTATGATCGAGGCGATTGTAATTCGCGTGATGGCCTTCTTCCTGGGCCCGCTGTGGAACTGGTTTGATGTTCCGTTTCTCGTTCTCGATGTAGCGAAGTAGTGGCTCGTGAAGCTGGACAGTCATCGTTCAACTTCGTGTTGATGGCAGCTACGCCTGCCAGTGCAGTCAGTGCACATGCAGTGTACGATGAAAGAATCACATGCACCACGAGGGACAACGGCTAACGGGGACAACCTGACTTATCATTTCGTTCGACGGGCTGAAGAAATAACTGAACACTAATGTTTCGAGGATCCTGCCAAATGTAGCATAGTTAGCGACCGAACAATATTTTTCCAGCGGTCCTCGGTTATTGAGGGGTGGCTGTCTAACTTTCGATTGGTTTCCGCCGTGGTGAATAGGAGCGCTGTGAGTGTGAGCGATTGTCCTACAAATATTACAATGTAGCAGCCCGGAGTGTGGCTATGTAGTTCTTCCTTTCACAGGCGCTAGGCAAGCATAGGCCGGGGTTGCTCTGGGGATGGATTCTTGTCTCAAGTGGAGCGCCGCCATCTTGGCCCATCACCAAACTGTGCATGCTCACTATGCATGCACGGTACTGTACTGTGCTAGCGGGGCTGCGGTGCCATACCCCCATACTCACTCTAGAGTCTAGATCTACTTGCATAGTGGCAGTACTCCAAAGAGTAGGTCTGAGCGATTTCAAGTGGCAGCTCCTGTCGCATGGTGTGCAAAAAATCACCCTGGTCTGGCTCCCTGTGCTGATCCTCATTGTGTTCAGCGTACATAGGCTAGCATAGAGTCCCCACTATAGATGCTACAATAGTCTCAACTCTTTTCCTGGCAACCACTAGTCATGTGTCCAAGCCAGCTGAGTCATGATTAGTGACCGTGATTGGAAATGGTTTGAAAAACTCGTACCATAAAGGCACAACGCAATGCATTCCCTGAGAATCTCCACATCCCAGCACTATGCTACGAATGCCATGGCCATACTGCTAGCAGCCATGTTGTTAGCAAACCGATCACTGCCAGTGCTGGTGGCTTCTAACTGAGCCTCAGGCGAAATTGTATGACAGCAGACCTGTCAATTATGTCAATGCATCCTCCATCATACCATGGACCCATGATCCTAAGCTGAACACAACTGGCTACCAGAAAGAAATAAGCACGTACATGATGATGTAGTGATCATCACCTGTGCCACATCACCCACAGAAAATCATAATGGTTATGTACATCCATCCTGTACAAAAGTTGAAACTAGTCATTGGCATGTTTCTACTGGAATACCTGTTGCCAAGGTTGGTTGCAATGTTCTGTCACAGACTATGGTGTTGTATACTAGTTGGTAGTACATGTATCTCAGCCTGATTCTGGATAGGCCAGTGGCTGGGGCAACATCGTGTGTGTGTGTGTGCGTGCGTGCGTGTGTGTGTGTGTGTGTGTGTGTGTGTGTGTGTGTGACTCATGACACTGCCTGAGAGGTACATGATCTGCCATTACATGTGACTAGCGATCCATGCGACATATTCGGCAGTCTAGAACAGTTCCAATGATACTGTAGAGAATGGCCATAGCTCTGTCCTGGTTACTGTGTTCACTGTTATACATGTATGTACTAATGCGTATCATCTACGTATTGTCATGTGCTGCGCTATGTTTCCAGTTGTGCTAGCTGCAGCTGTGCATATTATGTATTGAGTTTGTGGCCACGTGCGAATACACAACCCTGTTGCCATTCTTACCCACACATGTACGGCACACTGGACTGCAGCCGGTATTCCAACACGTCTGCAGAGCAGTAAAGCTAATCGATGTGTGCACTCTGTGCGTGTTCTGTGTGCGTGTGTATACATGGTGTGTGTGCATGTGTGTGTGTTTGTGTGTGTATGTGTGCATGTGTGTGTGTTTGTGTGTGCATGGCGCATGTGTGTATCTTAGGAGAGCACAACGACCTCGACTAGCTGGGGCGCACCCGTTGACATTGCCACTGCCTCGCAGACCGTCGGCCCCCGTGGTCCCATGCTTCTGCAGGATGCCAACTTCATTGACAACCTTGCACACTTTGACCGCGAGCGTATCCCGGAGCGTGTGGTCCATGCCAAGGGCGCAGGTAAGTAGTTGCACAACACCACTCGACTGGTGTACCTTATAGATCAGCTACTCTGGCTCCTTGTTCTTGCTGTGCGGTGATGGCACTGGTGATAGATTTGAGCGATTGCATGTTATAGAATGGACTGGAGATTACGTAATGGCAAAGAGATTTATAAGACTTTAGTAGTCAATCACCTGTTACTAGTGGTAGGTAGTGCAGCACTGAACTGCACAATGCTGTGGTGAAAGTGAGGCAGCGTCTGTACCGTAAAGTACCGCCAGAGCGCCCCGTCTCGCGAGAGCGCCCCACCTTGATTTTACAGCCAGAGAAAGGAAAATCGTATGGCAGAGTGAAACAAAGTTTGTACGATGTGAGAATCTTAGTGTACTAAGGTCACGCTTGGCAGGTTTTGGTGTGGAGCTTGTGTCCGCTCGAAGGTACGGATTGAATGCATAACGTGCAATATGTGTACAAGGTTCGTGTCGTATGACCTACAGACAGCAGACCACCTCCACAATACGGCCACGAAAGGACGAGATGGTGGGGCGCTCTGGCGGTACTTTACGGTAATAGTCAACTATTGTGCACTGATGTTGCACTTTTTGTTCTGATTTTGTCTGTTCTTCTCAGGTGCGTTCGGTGAGCTTGTGATCACCGAGGACATCTCCAAGTACACCAAGGCCTTGGCACTGCAGAAGGGCACCTCCACCCCGGTGGCAGTCCGCTTTTCCACAGTCGGTGGCGAAGCTGGTAGTGCCGATACGGTGCGTGATCCGCGTGGCTTTGCCGTCAAGCACTACACCGACGATGGCGTCTGGGATCTGGTCGGAAACAACACACCAATCTTCTTCATCCGCGACCCAATCCTCTTCCCCAACTTCATCCACACGCAGAAGCGCAACCCACGCACTCACTTGAAGGACCCAGACATGTTCTGGGACTTTATCTCTCTGCGACCGGAGACGACTCATCAGGTGTCCTTCCTCTTCAGTGACCGTGGTATTCCTGATGGCTACCGCCACATGAACGGCTATGGCAGTCACACGTTCAAGCTGGTCAACAGCGAGGGCGTTGCACACTATTGCAAATTCCACTACAAGGTACGGCCTGGTGGGCTTCTTGTCTTGTTACAGTATTATGACTCTGCTGCTGCTGCTGTTCAAGATTATTTGTATCGAACGTTCCTACTGCATGGTTGGCAAATACGAAAAGTACCCCGGAAGACTCTTCCTCATGAGTTGCTTCAACGTGTGCTCCTGTGTTTGTTGGTTTCAGACGTCCGAGAGCAAGAATCTCCTCCCCAACAAGGCCGGCCCGATCTCAGGCGATGACCCAGACTATGCCATCCGTGACTTGTACAACGCCATTGAGCGCAAGGAATTCGTAAGTGCCTGGCTTCTTTGATGTGTCCCGGACAGTACACTGGCCAAGAAAATAAAGTGTTCACCGATTGCTGGTGCCACTGCTATTGAATTTCCTGTGATTAACGTGTTGAGATGTTCTTGCCGTGCATCTGTTCTTTCTCTGTGCAGCCAACGTGGAAGTTCCAGATCCAGGTCATGACTTTCGAGCAGGCCGAGACCTACAAATACAATCCGTTTGATCTGACCAAGGTACGTTCTATGTCCTGCTGTTGCAATGCCTTATCGGGTGATTGTAGAAACCGCAGCGCGTTTCCTGATGTTCCGGTTCCCGAGCAACGTGAATGCAATGGCATTGTGCGCAAATGATGTTGGCATGTATGTGTGCTCTCTCTACCTCTCGGTTTTGCATTGCTCGAACCGTTTGTACTAGTATCACTTTCTAAGCCACTACTGGTCTGTGTCGCTATTCTTGTGCTTGCTTCACCTGTGTCACCTGTGCAGGTTTGGTCTCACAAGGACTTCCCACTGATTGACGTCGGTACAATGACACTGAACCGCAACCCAGAGGACTATTTCTCAGAGGTGGAGCAGATCGCGTTCAGCCCCAGCCACATGGTTCCCGGCATTGAGCCGTCACCAGACAAGATGTTGCAGGTCAGTGAAGCTGCTCCTGTGCTCTTGTACTCGGGTCTGATTTAGCCGTGCTTACAGGCTTGCATAGGCATTAGCAGCTATTTGTTTGTAGGACATCCTGCTCATATTTAGTTGTGTTGTGAAACACGATTACCAGTACTAGTTTGTTGCATTGTATATTGTTTGAAAGTTGAAACGTTATCTGTTCTCGGTCATCTTCCATCTGAGAATTAACTGTACGTGTGTGAAGTAACTAGTTACTGTGAACCCCAGACACTGTGTTTACATGTAGTCGTACTGGCACATCAAACTCATTTCTTCCGCCACATAAATTACTTTTGATTGATTGTTTCGTGTGGGGTTTGTTTGTTGCATGGCGTTGCGTTGCAGGGTCGTCTCTTCTCCTACACCGACACCCACCGCCACCGCCTTGGTGCCAACTACCAGCACCTGCCCGTCAACGCTTCCAAGAAGACGCCGCAGGCCAACAGCCACCGTGACGGCCCCATGTGCATGTTCAACCAGGGTAAGGGAGTGACTACAGCTCTGTCCATGTGCGTGGAGGTGTGTGGTTGTTTTGGGAGAGCGCATGTTGGTATATGCAGGCGCGTAGCGCCGTATCGCAAAATTCGCTAACAAAGCAGCTAGAGTTTGCCGTGCCATGTCCGCAAAACGCCCAAAACAGGAAAAAGAGTACATGACTGTATCGCGCACAGTGTCCGCGTTCAACGTTCCTTCAATGCATGTGTCGATGCGTGGACTGGACTTGAACACGTACCGGGCAGGTCCTTCATACATGTTTGTACATGGTGCTAGTCAGTCTTGAACGTGATTGTACATTCAGCCATTGTCGGGTACCTTTGCAAACCGTAAAAGAGCAGCATGACCGGAGCGAGGGTAGCTGAGTGTGAAGCAGGAAGAGTACATGCAGTCAATACTGGTGTTTTACTGCTCCCTGGTGTGAAGTGACTACAGGACTGTGCTGTTTTTGTTCCAACTACATGTAGCTATTTCCTGCCATTCGAGGAAAAGAATGGCATTGTTTGCTAGTCCCAATGTCAGAGCCTCCAGCAAAACATTTGTAAGAAGCAGCCGATAGTACATGTAGTTCAAGATCAAAGGAAAATGATGTATAGTCTGCTGAATCAGACTCATTTCCGAGTGCAGTTTACCGCAAAAATTCGAAATACTTGTAGAAGGGGCTGGCTGAGCCAGTATCCTTGGCTGCAAAAATGAAAGTAGGGTGTCGTTTGTACACTTTGTCGCGCCACTATGACCTTCCAAAGGAGACTGAAAAGGGCTACACTACGCCCTTGTATGGGTGTGCAGAGAATACAATGGCGGGCATCGGACATTCTCTAGCCATTTTTGATTTGAACTTGAGATCTCCTGTAGACAGGGTTTCCACTTCCAAGAACGTTTCCTCCAGCTTTGCTTCGATTTGTCTAAAGCCCTTCGTTTTAGTCTCTGATCTAATTACGATATCCTCAGTGCCCGGTGTGTGTGTGTGTGCGCGCGCGCACGTGTGTGCCTGTGTGTGTGTGTTTCGTTATTCTTGCGTAGCTGGTGCACCCAACTACTTCCCCAACAGCTTCAAGGGTCCAGTAGATAGACCCGATGCGCGTCACTCCAAGATCAGCGTAAGTTGCAGACTGCTTTCTCCCTCCTGCTCTCGCTTGTGCCGCTGATATTATTGTGTACCGTGTTAGTTTCATGAATACCTATGCCACGTGTGGCTCACAGTTGTGTAGGTGCGTAGCCCGCATGGGGCACGTACACCCCCCTAAAAATTTCGACCTAGGTTCAGCATGCACATAGTGACCTTAAAATTAATGACATTCACCTACACATATGCTGCCGTGCACACCCCCCCCCCCCCCCCCCCAAAAAAAAGATGGAGCAGGTACGCCCCTGGTTGTGGATTGGCGTTGTGTTTTGTTTTGTTTTTTGTTGATGTGTTCTCTGTGTCTTGCTTGTCACACTATAGTACTCTGGTGATGTGGAGAAATACAACTCGGCTGATGAGGACAACTTCTCACAGGTATGGTAGTGCTCTGTACTTGCTTGTAGTTTTGAGTAGGGCTCAAACGATTAGTCCGATTAACCGGTTGCAGACCGGTTACGAAGAATTAGCGGTTAACCGATAAAGATAACGGTTACGCAGTAACTTTTCAGTCAATTTTTCAAGTATCAGGTCGTTGCAAAGTATGCACTTTCGCGGGCTGTCGCACGCGTACGCAATTTCTGGGCTGTCAACTCGGTCAAATCTGGTCTCTTGGTGTGAGAGTATGTATGAATGAGCATGCAAGAGAATGTACAAGTGTGCGTTGTACTGAATAGGGTACATTTTTTGAATGAGTATAGTCAAATATACGGTTAAAAAAGAGTCCGCAGGATTGCCGTGGCTTATAGGTTATAACCGGTTAACCGACCGTTAGCTTAGCAGTTAACCGTCAGGGGTAAAACCGTGACCGTTTGAGCCCTAGTTTTGAGATCTACCCGGAGATACAGTACTGCTGGTGTGTGTGTGTGGTGTGGTGTGGTACACGTGTGTCGTCAATACCTTTCTGCATCTTGTCACCCGCCCGACAGCAAGTGGGGTCATGTTTCAAGAGTTTAGAGACCTGTGTTGTTCTCTGGTGGCCTGCACCAATCGAGTCAAATCCCAAGATTTCTTCTAGATCTGTGTCCCTGCCCCTCCGACTATAGGGTGCCATTTGGTCTTGGTATCGGGGTACTAGTATCCAAAAGACAAGCGCATGATATGTGTTGACAAAGTGTCTCAGATCCTTGCTGCAAATGATATTTGTTGATGCACTTTGGATCAATATGACGTGACAGAAAAACTGTGTGTGTGTGTAGTGTACTGGTGTTCATGAGCCTGTGCAAGCACCCCGTACAATGTCGTGCCTCTTCTGTGCGTTGTGTTCTTATACAGGTTGGTGTATTCTACAGGGAGGTGCTGAACGCGGAGGAGAGGCAGCGTCTCGTTGAGAACATTGCCGGTCACCTCAAGGATGCCCTGCCCGAGATCCAGAAGCGCACTGTGGCCAACTTTTCCCAGGCTGATGCCGACTATGGTGCTGGCATCCAAAAGCTGCTTGACGGCTACAACAAGTAAACAACACCGCTATTGGATACGAAATAATGCACACAACATCGTTGCTACTTGTTGCTTCACCGCACAACATCACTGCTACTTGTTGCTTTACTACACAACTTTCTCCCTCTGCTGCTCCTGCTACTGCTGTTGCTTGTCTTCATCTGTGTTGGCTTCTTTAGGTTTTTTTAAATATAAATTTGAAGTGATGCCATTGTGCCATGCCGGTGAGACGATTTACTAGCTCTGCTACTGCTGTTGCTGCTACGTGCCCTCCCCTGTCTTCTTGGTGCCCAATACCTCCTGATGCTCTGCTGGTCTGCTCAGTGGTTTAGAAGATAGTGTGCGAATTGATTCGGGTAATGCTTCATCTATTTTGCGCATGGCGTTATTTGCTGATCGCTACCCCTGCATGGGTAGACCAGAGCCTATATCTTTCCTCTAAAAAAAATGAAATAGTGTGCAACTAGCTTATCGCTGCACCGACACAACTTAAAGTGACAAGACAATCTTGGAATACACAACGGACGAGATTCCAGCTACTCTCTGCGATTGTTTGAGCTTGGGGATTGAGGGGACTGGAACGATGAGAGTCGTACTCTGCAATGTCATGTACTATCGACAGTATCACAACCGCATGGGTTATACCTATTGTTGGAACTGCACAGCAATGTACTTCCACTGTTCGAAAGAGTGTAGAGTTACTTGATGGACCATTGGTGAAGAGTATGCACACGGTCTGAACTTTTTCTGTCTCTCGCCAGTTACATGTAGGTGAAGCTATGATCTCCAGGTCAAGTCAGAGTTATGATTGTTGGTTGACAGCATGTTACAAGGCGGAGGACCACTGTGTTCGGAAACAGTGACCTTTCTACAACCATCCACGGTTGATAGAGCCCCGGTCTTGCGACCATCTGAACCATAATTATGGGTGCTAGCCCTGGTTCTGACCCTCATTATACTACGGGAGTTGTTTGAACCAGGGCTAACACCCATACGGTTCAGATGGTCGCAAGACCGGGGCTCTACCAACGGTGGATGGTTGTAGAAAGGTCACTGTTTCCGAACACGGTGGTCCTCCGTGCACCTTGTAACATGCCGTCAACCAACAACATACACATACTTGTATAAAATGCTTGATCAGGGGATGATCATAAAGATGATGGTTCTCTGGCCCCTACATGTAAGCATGCATGTGTATAGCGTAGGACTCTTTCTGCAAGTGTAAGGCTATAGCTTGACACGTGCTGATGGGATGTTTGCCTCTGTGCTTGTATCTACATGTACATGTATAGGTCTTACACCTTGCTTGCGTGTGCTGAATATGTTAGTGTGAAAGCCTGTGAAAGTAGAGAAGATTGACAGGAAAGAAACGCCTATAATGAAAGACTCCACCGTGGAATATACATGTACTGTGTGATGTGCGAGTAGGATGGTTGCTAGCTGAGGGGTATTTCCCATGCATGGGCTCCCAGTGCAAGTTAGTTTAAATATGACAACACAGTGACCGAGTCCCAGTGACCACTGCATGGCGGTGACGCAGCAGGTTGAAGCCAGACTAATAGTAATACACTACAACCACAGTTTCTGTACATGTACGTGGATGGCCAGCTAGCTAGGATATACAGTAAAGTCTTGACTTGATTGGCAATTGAATGGCATGACAAGCAAGGCATCTGCATGATAGTTATGGACCTACGTTGTATGCCATATTGTGTGTAGAAACGGGTAAAACTCGAATAAAACTGGAAAGACACGCCAGTCGGCAGTGCTAAAGACATGTAAGACAAATGACTGGCTTAAGATACAAGCGTGGCAAAAGGCAATGCCCGTACAATTAGACATTGGGTTTGGTCAACATGATCAAAGGCGATGGATGAGAAAGCACGACAAAAACGGCATGATGTGTCTCTAACATGGCTTAGTGCACGTGGCTACGCTACATGCATGAGGCAAGTGCAGGGCGGCGTTAGTCTAGAATGATGCTTGGCTGGCGAGACAGTGATTACATGCTAGTGTTTTCCTGCTGCTGCTGTAACTTCTGTCTGAGAAGGAAGACACCAGTTTCAGCAGCAGACAGAGTGCCAGAGATGGAGATAACTCGATACTTGGAGTTACCGTTGACAGTTACATGGAGTGACGCTTGGCTATATCCTTCAATTTGATGCAATGCCGATGGTTGTTGGTTGAGCAGACTGTCAAGCAACATTGATGGCACAGGCAGTTCAATGGCCGCTGTGGCTGGTGGCACACCGGGCCAACTGCAGATGGGTTGCGAGACTTGACCGGCAAGGGATGGCGGCGTAATGGATGGCCGACTGTCGAACGTGGATGACGGGTTCATGTTGGAGAGGTTGGGAGACTGGCGCGACGTATGATGATGGTGTGAGCGTGACTCCATGTTGTTGCCATGGTTACTAGGTGGATTCTGTGACAGCCCCGCACCCTGGTACGGTGCTGACCCGGAGGAAGAACCACCGGCCGAACTGTTATTGTATGTGACAGTAGGAACTGAGCCAGACATCGGATCAGTCTCTATCATGTTTAGAAGCAGTGTAACTACCTGCTTCAGCCGTTCTAGATCACCATTCAACAAGACACGACGCTCAGCTAACTTGTGAATATCTTGATCTCTTTTGTCAGAGACCTTGAGACGGACGCCCGTTTCCTGTTGCAAGCTTTTGATGGTCTCCCCTCCCTTCCCTATGATGAGACCGGCTGTGTTATTGGGAACTACAATGTCCAGTTCGTTCAGTGTCTCACGCCAGTTTGCTGCATCTGCAGACATCTTATCAAGCAGCATGATCATGGCATCTTCCACCTCCATTCTACTGCCGCTCAACAGAGCAACTCGTTTGTCAGTGCCGGGAAACATTTCCCTGGCGGTGGACAGTTTGATGACAGCACCGGACTTTTCATGCACTTCGCGGATTGTTCTACCAGAAGAACCTATGATCGAACCTGCCTCATGATTGCTGACTAAGAACTTCAGGATAACTGTGGAGGACCGCTTTCCTGGACAAAACAAAACCACACCACAAAAGGAGGTAATGAGCCACGAACAACGGCACTCACTTCGGACTAGGAGCGGGCGAGATGATAGCAGATACGATGCAAAACCTAACACTACACCAAGCCTCAAGACATACCGGGAAACGTTGTTCGGAGACGCTTGGCGTCTGGTTCGTCGCCTGTCTCATCTCGACCACCAGAGGGTGGGGAGCCGGCGTCTAGTACGAAGTGGTCCTCCATTCTCAAACCAAGCAACTGCAATTACGGCGAAGACTAAAGTGAGGAAGAGAAGTGCCTGTACTCTGTATGTCCTTGATCTCGGTCTGTAAAAGGAGAGAAACCCCCCAGACTGCCAGAGCGAGAAGTCGTGTTGGACGCTTTTGACCACAAAAGTTGCAACACCGCCAAGACTGCAAGAGGCAAGACACAACAAACCACATAAGTCGTTGAAAAGTGTTTGTTGTGTTGCAGTGTTTGTTGCTTCTCACACATGCGAATGATGCGATGTCCTGACTGCATGTTTTTGATGTGTGATCTTGATCTGATGATGCACGATGATGAGATGAGACTGTTGTGTGTTTGAACTTGAAGTGCGTGCGCCGTGCGGCATGCGGTCTGCACACTATACACTGGGCATCTCCTTGGAAACAATGGCGTGGGTTTTCCATTTTTTTGTGGAGGAAACGCAAAAGCCAAAAAAATATTGTGATTATGGCCAGCCAGCGTGGTGTTTTGGTTTGAACAAGATCGCGTCCAGTTGTTGTGTAGCTAGCACGAGAAGTAACACGTCGTCAGTTGTTGCCAATCACTCAGTGTAGTCAGTTCTGCTTTCTTTTGTCTGTGGAGAATTTACTGAACATGTAGTAGTCCGCTGTGCTTTTGCTACTGTCAGAATGCCTCGCGTGAAAGTTGACAATCGAATTCGTGTGCAGATCGAGAATGGAGTTGCACAGCGCCATCGCTCGTTCTTTGTTGTGCTCGGAGAAAAGGGCAGAGATGCTGTAAGTAGGACGAATATCCTATGACAAACCGGATGTTGTGACCTATTCTGTGCCTATTTTGCTCGTAGTATTTGTTGGTATACATGTTTTTATTTATTTATTTACATGTAGGGCTATACATGTACATGTTTTTTTTTACATGTAGGGCTGTACCTATGAAGGTTCATACCCCATTTTGTGTCGATTGTTTATTTACGAATTCTCCAGAGGTAAATGAATACCTATCCTGGGAGTCTCAACTGATAGGTGATGAAAATAAATTTATGAAGGGAGTGGATAAAATCCAAATCTGGAAAAATCTGAGAAATGCAATCAAAAAAGAATGGTATAAGAGAGAGAGAGACAGTGACAGAGAGACAGACAGACAGAGACAGACAGACAGACAGACAGAGAGAGAGAGAGAGAGAGAGAGAGAGAGAGAGAGAGAGAGAGAGAGAGAGAGAGAGAGAGAGAGAGAGAGAGAGAGAGAGCGCAGATATGCTAATAGAACAAAGAAGATGGTGATGGTAAGACGTCAAGATGGCAGTGGTTTGCCACACGAGTAATCCTTACGCTGTTCATGGAAACAGTTTCAGAAGTAGCTGGGGTTGGGGCGAAGGCCGTACGAGGACACTTACTTGGGTAAAACTCAGCTCCGTCCAGGAGAGACTGCAATCCAGATGTGATTGGAGGGCTGCAGTGTGGGCCGCTCTAAATACACTAGGCGCTGAAGAGCAGAGAAGATTAGAATGGTCAGCGAAGAGAGTCATCTCGCTGGTACAAGCTACATTGACGAGGGAATTTATGCTCATGTGGAAGAGAAGCGGACCAAGATGTGACCCGTGCCCCTGGGGAACCCCGGCAGGTAATAGAGAAGGTGTTGAAACCGACTCCCCGATACGAACATTCAGGATGAAGCCCCGGACCCAGTCACAGGCAGACCAGCTGCACCCGCCAGAAAGCGAATGTAAGATGACTGCATGACTAGCTCGATTGAATCTCTTCGAGAAGTCAAAGTGCTTTGTAGTAGATGCATGAGCCTGCGGGCGAGTCTGTACGAACATTTAGCATACTCGATCACTTTGCAAAACAATCAGAGCTTTGGCCAGTAGATTTGCGTTGACCTGTGAATCCCAGGTGGAGACCCGCAGAAAGTGTTAGTGTACTGCCACCAGTACGGGGTATACTCCGGCATGGCGCTGGTCTGGCAGTGGCGAAACTTCCTAAGCTGGCGGTGGTGTTTCCAATGCAGTTGTTTAGCCGCTTGTAAATGCAATGCAGATGTGTGAACTTTTCCACTTTGCCCACACATACACATCACCCCACACCATATTACTGCTACTGAAGAAGCCACTTTTACGGGCAGAAAACAATTCCGATATGAGCACCATACTACTACTGCTACTACTGGCTGCTTTGAGCGCCTCACCTTGATTGACAGCGAGAGAAAGAAAAAAATTAATGATACTTTTTAGAACTCAGATGGCGAGCCAAGGAAAAAAATGTAACGTGGAACAATGTGGGCACAAGTTATGTGATCGAGTCCACCAACCAAACCAGTGCCTCAGTTTTGTGCTAGATTGTGCATGTCTGACTGTTCAAAATCTGGTTTAGTTGATGGACTCGATCACATAACTTGTGCCCACATTTTTCCAAGTGACAATACTTTTTAGAAGCTGTTTATATTTCCACCGAGAAGTCCTGTGCAAACAAAAGCAGGTGAAATTCGCACTTGGCTCTAGTGTTAGGTAGGTCGTCAGCATCTCGTTAGTTATGTTCATTGTTTGTCTATTGTTGTGGCGCTACATTGCATGCGCTTGTTGGGCTTCTTTACACTTGCACCTTTTTATCATTCCTTCAGTGTGTGTATGAGTTCACGCGTTTTATCGTTGTTGTTTCTGGTTACTAGTACCCTTTCTTCACGCTGTTCTTTCACCTCTCTGCTGTATTTTAAAAGTCCATCGTTCTTGTTCAGTTCCTTTTTGCCTGTATTCCCCCTCATGAGGAAGCATTGAAAGTTCTTTTCGAGACTTTTCCGAAAGTGTTGTTTGCGAGGAGCCTGAAAAGTCTGTTCATTCCTATGTATGATTGATTGCACTAGGTCCGTGCACACACAATGTAGCCTTGATGTGTGCCCCAGCGTAAAGATCCTCATCTCCATGTACTTGTAGAAATCCGGACCCAAAGCACTCAGCGTTGCAGACTCTACTCCCCCAGCATGTATTGTCTACGTGATTTCTCTATGTTTCGCACGAAGCAGAACCTCTCTGTTCTGCTCTGTTCTGCACTGATGAGTGATGGCCTGGCTGGTTTCTTGCTGCAGGTTGTTATTCTACATCACATGCTGTCTAAAGCCGCTGTCGCAGCAAGGCCATCAGTACTCTGGTGTTACAAGAAGGAGCTAGGGTTTAGCAGGTAAGGATGAACAGAGCGGGAACAGACTCAGCATTGCACATTGTTGTTGCTGGTGCTGGTGCTGGTGGTGCTGGTGCAGGTGCTGGTGCAGGTGTTAATGTTGTTGGTGGTGTTGGTGGTGTTGGTGCTGCTGGTGCTGCTGGTGCTGCTGGTGTTGGTGGTGTTGGTGCTGCTGGTGCTGGTGGTGTTGGTGTTGGTGCTGCTGGTGGTGGTGTTGGTGGTGTTGGTGTTGGTGGTGCTGCTGGTGGTGCTGCTGGTGGTGCTGCTGGTGCTGGTGTTGTTGGTGTTGGTGTTGTTGTTGTTGTTGTTGTTGTTGTTGTTGTTGTTGTTGTTGTTGTTGTTGTTGTTGTTGTTGTTGTTGTTGTTGTTGTTGTTGTTGTTGTTGTTGTTGTTGTTGTTCTGGAGATTGATTCCAGGTGTAGTAGTAAAATGTATTATTTGACTAGGGGAGTCCCAACAGACGATGCCTTATTACAGGGAACCCTAGATGGAGTTTGGTCAGATGAGCACAAATAGCGGGAGATTGTGCCTGACGACAGTCCGAAGGAAGAGCATTCCACCGATCTCTGCTGCGACAAAGGAACTGATGTGTGACTGCAGTAAATGCCAATAATATTTTCAATGTTGTCATTACCTTGCGCGCACTCCATCCACCCTCCCACTAGCTAATTTACACACGATCTTTTTCTTCTTACAGCCATCGCAAGAAGAGGATGAAGCAGCTTCAGAAGAAGATTCGGTCTGGCAATGTTGACATGAACAAGGATGACCCGTTTGAGCTATTCATTTCTGCCACCAACATCCGCTACTGTTACTACAATGAAACGCAGAAGATTCTTGGCAACACGTATGGAATGTGTGTTCTGCAGGCAAGTTGGATACAACAGTACATTATGTACATTCACTGGCTTTCTAGGCTTTCTGATACAGCTGTGCATGTGCTTCAAAGTAGAATCTGCTGCATGATAGTATTCGTGTACCGTATAGTACCGCCAGAGTGCCCCACCATCTCGTCCTTTCGTGGTCGTATTGTGGAGGTGATCTCCTGCCTATAGGTCATACGACACGAACCTTGTACACATATTACACATTCTGCAGTCAATCCGTACTCAATCTACCTTCAAGCAGACACGAGCTCCACACAAAAACAGGCCAAGTGTGACCTTAGCGTACTAAGGTTCTGACGCCGTACAAACTTCGTTGCACTCTGCCATACGATTTTTCTTTCCTTGGCTGTAAAATCAAGGTGGGGCGCTCTGGCGGTAATTTACGGTACATGTAGAATACTCTGCATTGTAGTATACATGTACAATGAAACCTGTCTAAGGCGACCACTCAAGGGACGAGAAAAAGTGGTCACCTTGGCCAGGTGGTCTTCTTATCCAGGTTCAGTGGGTCACGTGACTATATTCACACTATACATGATGTGACATATCATTTTGATCAGTGTATCACACTGGACACAGATCACGAGTCACGTGCCTGGGAGCCTCAGAACTGCCAAGTGTCGTGCATGCACCATGTACATCTACACTTCCTGCGCTGATGCGTAGATCTACCATGCATGGTGCACTGTGCAATGCGTGCATGTACATTGTACATGTAGCAATGTGCAACACGGTCGCGGTCGGGTGATCGTCGGTCGTGTTGAGCGAGTGGTCGCCTTATCCGAGCTGTTTTGAATGTGAATGCGTCCGTGACAAGGAAAAGTGGTCGCCACATCCGAGTGGTCGCCATTACAGGTTTTACTGTAAAAGCCATTATTCTAACGAGGCACATATATAACGATTTCCTATTAAAAATTGACCAGTTTATGTGTATCAAAGGCAACGATTCTCACTCATTCTCAAAGCTCGATAGCAACAATATGTATAGATTTCTGTCTAACGTTTTCTATTTTAGCGACAGATTTCTCCTCGTTAATTCGTTAGAATAAGCACTTCGTTATATATACCGTATGTCAGCGCCTTTAAGCCATGGCCTTATATCCGAAACACCGCTGCTTTTCTAGATATTTTAGATGCAAAATGACTCACCCAGTACGCCATGCCATAACAGTCAAAGTCCACACAGAAATTCCAATCTAAATCCACCTATTCACCCTTCCTGCTGGGCTGTAAGTTTGTTAACATGGTACTTATTCCTTCATTTTTACAAAACAAACTTCAGATGTCATTTCATTTATGAAGCCCATGGCTTTATAACTGAGACTGGCTTTATAATCGAATATAACTCCATGGCTTTAAAGGTGCGGACATACGGTATGGCTTTTACAGCACTGTACATTATACTGCCATTCCTGGTGACTGCATCCAGGAGATGCACGTACACGTGGCATGTGCACTTTGTTGCATCCTTGTCATGCCTGTGCTGGCACATGCTCAGCGATGGCTCAATTGTTGTCAGCACTGAATTCTATTGTCGCTGTGTGTGGTATGCAAACAAATCAATGTCTCTGCTCCCCCTCCTCACCTCCACCACCCAGCCCCAATCCCTCCTGCTCTCTAATGTTGTTTATACCAAATGTTCTCGTTCTAATCCTCCCAGGACTTTGAGGCGCTCACACCGAATCTGCTAGCGCGAACAATGGAGACTGTGGAGGGAGGTGGCATTGTGGTGTTGCTGCTGAGAACGCTGACATCGCTCAGGCAGCTCAAGACGATGGTGATGGACGTGCATTCGCGCTACAGAACATCCGCACATCAAGATGTCGTGGCGCGTTTCAACGAGAGGTGAGTGAGAGCCAAGCATTGCTGCTTGTCTGCACTTTGTTGGTTGACAGCATGTAACAAGGCGGAGACCACCGTGTTTGGAAACAGTGACCTTACTACAACCATCCACAGTGCAGTCACTGTTTCCAAACACGGTGGTCTCCCCCTTGTTAGTAATGTTACATGCTCTCAACCAACAGCATGTTTCAACCAAACAAGGTTTATCTAATACCTTGTCTGCACTTGTACTGTTTCTATCCAACATGGCTGCTTATCCCGTTGTGATGATGATTTCTGATCAAAGTCACAAGAAGGCGACGTTTAAACTAGGGGTCAAAGGGGTGTACCGGGTACCCGGGTACCCGACCGTTAATCTCAGGTACCGTTAGTAAAAGGGTACCCGTTTGGATTTTGATGAACCACTCAGTGTGGAGCAACACTGCTGGGATCGTGTATTCCAGGCGGAAGTCGATTATTTACAACTACACGCTGGATGTCTGCATTGTTGTTGCATTTTCGCACCTAGTAGATCTACTCCTGCGACTATCAGACACCAATCGATTTGCGAATCACAACGTGATATCAAAATGCAACCCGAGAACAGATGAATTATAATCTTGATTGATGTAAAAATTGTGCAAAAACCTAAACATGGCTGCTAAAGGGTACCCGTTAACCCGCCTGTTAAGAAAATTACCCGTTCGTTAGTTAAAGGTACACCCGTTTGACTCCTAGTTTAAACCAATGAAGTATTGTTGTTGGTTTGTCACAGTATGATTACGTGCACACTCTTTCTAGCGTTACTCTAAGCGTTCCTCAGAGCGTTACTCTATGCATCACTCTATGCGTTACTAAGATGGTTCCATTAGCTTTTTGTTTTAATTACACCAAACACCAATGCTCCATTGAATTTGTAATTTTGCACCTACTGTATTATGTGGGGCGAGAGCTGCACTTTGTAAAAGGAAAAAATCCAGCCCATATGACCCCTTGGGCCTATGCCTATGCCCTAACCAGTCGTTAAGATACGAGCACAGTCATGCTCATATTGCGGCCTCCAGGACCGAGGTGTTGCTTGTAGTGGGTATGCCCTTGACCATCACTGTTTCTGTCTTGAGTTATGTGGGGTGTTAGTGGCCTATGGCCCCACTCTATACAAACAGTTCGAATGATGGCTAGTCGCCTAGTCGCCTAGTTTGCGTACCCAATGTGGCTCTTGCACTAAAAGCACAGTATTGGAGTCTTCATGGTTCATTGCAAGCGCTCGTGTACGCTTATCTCTCTCTTCTTGTTTCTCTTCATGCTCTCGGTCACACAATGCCGTCCCTATGAACCAATGCGTTTCTGTTATTACTGTTTACTGAACTGTTATCTGTGCAACCTTCTTCTTCTTCTTGTGATGTATGTAGGTTCTTGTTGTCGCTGGCTGATTGTACATCATGCATGCTAATCAGTGACGAGTTAAAAGTGCTGCCACTTAGTTCACACTCAGCCAATGTCAAGCTCAAGCCCCTACCACCAAAGGTAAGGTGCACACCACTATCCCTGCCGCCGTCTGTTCTTGCCGGCGGTGCTCTGTGCTACTTGTGTGTGTGTGTGTGTGTGTGTGTGTGTGTGTGTGTGTGTGTGTGTGTGTGTGTGCGTGTGTGTGTGTGTATATGTGTGTGTGTGTGTGTGTGTGTGTGTGTGCACAAGTTGCTATGGCTTCTGCCGTAGCATTGCTATCATCGCCTCCGGTGATGGGCGTCAAAGGTCAAAGGTATGTGTGCATGTGTGGCCATCGGCTGATCTCGGCCAAGCGTGCGGCCGCTTATGTAGCTAGCATGTAACTTTGTTCATGATGAGGCCCTTAGCACAACATTTGCCACTGTGCCTCATCAAGAGAGACAGACTGACAGAGCGAGTGTGTGTGTATGTGTGTGTGTGTGTGTGTGTGTGTGTGTGTGTGTATGTGTGTGTGTGTGTGTGTGTGTGTGTGTGTGTGTGTGTGTGTGTGTGTGTGTGTGTGTGTGTGTGTGTGTGTGTGTCATATGTGCATTCACTACCTACTTGTGTAGGTACTTTATAGTCTTTATTTCATTTGCACTGTGTGTGTGTGTGTGTTAGGAAAGTGGCCCGACTGACAAGGATGTCAGCCTGTGCGAACTGAAGAAGGAGCTTGAGGATGAACAGCCGTACGGAGCAATCGTCAACTGTTGCAAAACGGTGGACCAGGTTCGTAGAGTTCTCCGGTTGCCAGTCGTGTATGCAGTAGCATTCCCCCAACTGCCCAATTGCACTCTACTGTGTACTGCTGCCCACAGTCTCTGTCTCCTAGTGTACCGCCAGATCTCACTCCAGAAGTCTGCTGTTAGTGATTCTTTTCTTGTATTTGAGTTATGGACGAAAGTTGGTTGCTTCCCACACTGGAGCTCGCCACTTCACCAAGTCGACACATGCACACACACACAAACACACAAACACACATACACATACACATACACACACACACACACACACACACATTAACTACAACACACAGCAGCTTGCGGTTAGGAGGGTGCTGGCCAGCGAAGTGAGAGGCTACAGAGAGAGCAGGATCTTGGCGGGGCCAAGAGGATAGTCACGTCCAAGGGACGAAGACCGAGAGCCCTGAGTAGCCGGAAATGAGCATGGCCAACACCCCTTTATTTACTTTATCAAAGTAAATGAGAGATGAGAAATGGGAGGTGGGTGGGTGAAACACAATGATCTGACAAGAGTGATCCGCTCACAGAACGAATCGAAATATAATACACACTACGAGCAAGGAAGAATGATTGTCGCAGAGAACGGATCGAAAATATATAGCAGAGCAAACTCTAGCAAGACATGCAACGATGCATGCCACCCACGTTAAGCTACGAGCAAGCGTCATCATAACGCAGCCACACGCCTTCCACATCGGAGGCGAGCGACACGCATGAACGCCAAACTTTAGTATGACACGTTGAGTGCCTACGACGCATGCCGCCTACGTTGAGCGTCGCGCATGAATGAATGTCGCGTTGAGTGTCACGTTGTATGACACATAGAATGCCACGATGCATAGAGTACCATGTGAGCACGTACAGCGCACGTTCATAGCAGCATAGTTTGAGTGGTAGCACGAAGCAGCCGCGTGCACCCATTAATCTGCATTATTACTATAATGCTACACACACACACACACACACACACACACACACACACACACACACACACACACACACACACACACACACACACACACACACACACACACACACACACACACACACACACACACACACACACACACACACACACACACACACACACACACACACACACACACACACACACACACACACACACACACACACACACACACACACACACACACACACACACACACACACACACACACACACACACACACACACACACACACACACACACACACACACACACACACACACACACACACACACACACACACACACACACACACACACACACACACACACACACACACACACACACACACACACACACACACACACACACACACACACACACACACACACACACACACACACACACACACACACACACACACACACACACACACACACACACACACACACACACACACACACACACACACACACACACACACACACACACACACACACACACACACACACACACACACACACACACACACACACACACACACACACACACACACACACACACACACACACACACACCATTGGACCATTGGACCATTGGACCATTGGACGCCCATTGGACGCCCATTGCCGGAGGCGATGGTAACGATGCTACAGCAGAAGCCACAGCAGCTTGTGCTGGGATTGCACCATTCAACAGCTTGCAAGGCTGAAGAATTGGCCGCCACTATTCAGCCTGCTCTACACCATACAGCTATGAAGTGGCTTTTTCTGGCCAGTGAATCCCTATTCCCCCCCCCCCCCCCACACACACACGCACACACATACGCACACACACACACATACAATGACTGACTTACTCGTTGCTGGTCATTGATAACACCTACTAAAGACACCACTTTGCGTTCTTGTCCTGAGAAGGAAGGCTTTATTTTATAATTGCTATAACCTAAGGAGGGAGTGTTTGGTGCAGTCTATTACCATAAGCATGTTTGCAAGATTGTTTGATGGTCATGTACTTACAAATGGTGTTTTGTGTTTTACCCGTGCTTGCCTTTGTGTGTTTACCCCAGGGGAAAGCACTGCTGACGTTTATACAGGCAATCTGCCAGAAGACCTTGCGTAGCATTGTGGCATTGACCGCAGCCAGAGGCCGAGGAAAGTCGGCTTGCCTCGGTCTTGCCATTGCTGCTGCAGTTGGTTTTGAGTAAGTGCGATCGAGTCCAGAAAGCTATGGCTGTGTGCCTGCTGTTGGTTGGCACTAACAATAATTCGATATGCTTGTTGATTTATGAGTGTGCTGTGCAGTGAAAGGCGACATGCAGTACTTGCACTATTATATACGCAGGTGCTTGTGGATATTGCGTTATCATTGCACAATCATTGCGTAGTGTTTTGATCGTCACACTGGCCTGTATGCTGTTTGCGTAGGTCAGTGGTGATGCTACTTGTGTGATTACCGTATTTCCACAAATAGTAGGCCGATCTACTATTTTTTCAACCTCGTCCGAACCCGGCCTTATAATCGAGGACGGTCTTGTATTCGAGGACGGTCTTTTATTCATTCAACCCAGTTTGATCCCGGTCTTCTATTTCTCGCCACACAGTTTTACCCCCGTTCTTCCATTTTCTTCTACACAATTTGAGCACGGTCTTCTATTTTTTCCCACAGTTTGAGCACGGTCTTCTATTTTGAACACAAGAACAAATACTCATTTAGTAGGCCCGGTCTTCTAATCGGAGACGGTCTTTTATTTTTTCAATCGCCCCCTGCCCCGGCCTTGTATACGAGAAAGGCGTTGTATACGAGGACGGCCTTTTATTTGCGGAAATACGGTATTATCCAGTGTTACGTGTGTGTCTGTGTCTGTGTGTGTGTGTCTGTGTGTGTGTGTGTGTGTGTGTGTGTTTGTGTGTGTTTGTGTGTGCGTGTGTGTGTGTGCGCGTGCGCGTGCGTGTGTGTGTTTGTGTGTGGTGGCTGCATGGTTTACACTGTTATCTACATGTTGTGTGTGTGTGTGTGTGTGTGTGTGTGTATGTGTGTGTGTGTGTGTGTGTGTGTGTGTGTGTGTCTTCTCCTTAGCTATTCCAACATCTTCGTAGTGTCGCCGAGTCCAGAGAACTTGAAGACACTGTTTGAGTTCATCTTCAAGGGTTTGGATGCTATGCACTTCCAGGTGAGTAGTAGCTTCTTTGTGACCCGAAGAACTGTGTGTGTGTGCATGCGTACGTGCGCGCGCGCGCGCGTGTGTGTGTGTGTGTGTGTGGCCAAATAGCCAGTCATGGCAGTGGAAGAAGGAAGGGAAGGAAGGTGCGCGTGCACGCGCGTACATATGTGTGTCAGTCGCAGGTGCTTCCTGATTTCTGTTGCGATCAACTCTGAGTTGCAGTGACATCTTTTCTCTTGTGTGTGTTTACGTGTGTGTTTGTGTGTGTGCACGCGTGCATGAGTGCATGAGTGTGGGGATGGGTGGACGGGTGTGCACCTGTGTACCTGTGTACATGTGTGTATGTGTGTGGTCTTGGTTTTGACCTGGTGATGATGCGTACTGTACTCAACAGGAACATGTAGACTATGAGATCATCCAGTCCACCAACCCGGAGTTCAACAAATGTGTGGTGCGCGTCAATATCTTCAAGGGACATCGTCAGACAATCTCGGTATGTTTTCACTTATCATTCAGATTCACATTTCAATGAGGGTCAACGCAGTGATGTCAAGAACTCCAAAGTCACTTTTCAATCTTTCATGGATGCAATTTGTACTTTCTTGTACTTAGTTAGGTATTAGACAAGTCTTCTGGCCGTGTTGGGGGGGGGGGGGGGGGGGGGCTGTTTGTATACCTCCAGTGCAACAAAACACACTACAAAATGTATGTGCAGTGCTGCTGCTCATGGCATTTTGGATGCCACGAATGATGCGCTGTGCAGCCCTACACTGTAAAACCTGTGACTAACGACCACCCCTTGGGGCCAGAGAAAGCGGTCTTTAGTGGCAGGTGGTCCTTAGTTAGAGGTTTGCACCGCACAACCATACATGAATTGAGACCGTCCGTGCCTGGCGAAGTGGTCTGTAGTACCAGGCTGGTCACTAGTCATCATGGTGGTCTGTAGTAGCAGGCTGGTCACTAGTCATCATGGTGGTCTTTAGTCACAGGTTTTACTGTACCTGCAAGCACTGGGTCGTGCGCTGGTGCAGGGTGCTGGTACTCCCAGGCATGCATGATTCATTGAGCATAGCTGTACATTGCATGTTCACACGAAGGAACACGTTATCTTATCTTTTCACTCCAAATACAATTACACCTGAAAGAGCAGCCTAGCTAGCTACACAACGCGAACCAAGGAACTACTAAAACCGAAAACATTCCATGTCGGTACACAACCGAAGACAAAAGGCAAAAAATGAAGTAATTTATGCCGCACTGTCAGCTGGCAAAACAGCAGAGGCGTAGCCACCGCACATGCGCTGTTGTACGGCACGAAAGCTAGCCATGATACTTTGCAATACAAATGTATGACCATGCACAGCAACAAGCAACAACACACAGCTAAGAAGTAGATGCATGTAATACATGAACGGCCAGTTGGAAATAGTTATGACGCCACTTTGTAGATCGCCCCCATGAATAGAAAACCACAAGAGAGACAGGGAAGACTACAGCCTACAGTGTAGCTCAGGCCTTGATACATGAATCACTATTGCAGTATTGGCACAAGACAGAGAAAGGACTGCTCCAGCTATCAATAATAAAAGGAACCATTACTTCTAGTCTTAGTGATGCCATGCCAGAGAAATATTACGTACTACCGTCTGAACATCCTCCCCCTCGCAATATGCACCCAGATGTTGCATGATGCCTATCCTTACAACTACCAGTACCAAGCTAAGAGAAAAGTGAACCGAAAGGGCAAGTTCAGTGGTAGGAAGCTACAAAAAAAACAAAAACAATGCATGAATCATTAATGGGGGTCGTCACTGAGCAGTACCTCCATTCTGGCATGTAGGGAGAGCCGTCTAACATTCCAGTGGACAGACTCGAGTGATGGATCTCTTCAGAGTCTTCCCGCCCACTTGCATGGCCACCACACGCACATGTCCGTCCGGACCAGGGAAAACTTCCGTGACTCTGCCGAGCGGCCAACGCCCACGCGGGGAGCTTGAATCCATCACCAGGACAACGTCGTCAACGGCCAGATCGCGTCGCTGGTGTCGCCACTTCATCCGCTGATTCAACCGTGGGACAAACTCTTTCAGCCAGCGATGCCAGAAATGGTCGATGAGCATTTGAACATATCTCCAACGTCTCTGCAGTTGACACCCCTTCTCGTCCGTTGTTGCAATAACCAGCTGGCCCTCGGCCATGCCATGAAGGAAATGGTTCGGAGTTAGCGGCCCTGGATCCTTCGGACTAGCCGATTGGTAGGTGATGGGCCTGGAGTTGACGAGGGACTCTGCTCCGCTGAGAGCGGTGACCAACTCCTCGTCCGTCACAGATGCGTCTCCAAGGATGGCGTGTAGAGCTCGTTTGGCGGCTCGAATCATTGCCTCGTGAACTCCCCCGAAATGAGGAGCTAATGGCGGGTTGAAACTCCATTTCACGCGTCTGCAGGCCATGGCTTTCCGGACGGTGGTATTGTTCAGTTGGCCAACAAGCTCACGTAGCTGGCGGTCGGCATTCACGAAGTTGCCTCCATTGTCCGACAGAACCTCCATTGGACAACCTCGTCGGTTGGCCATCCGGTTAAAGGCGTTCAGGAAAGAATTTGCATCCAATGCGTACGCCATCTCCAAATGGACCGCACGAGTCAGCAAACACGTGAAGAGGCACAGATAGCGTTTGTGGCGAGTCTTTCCTCTCCCCTGCACAGTTTCGAACGGCCCTCCGTAGTCAACGGCTACCCTGCTGAAGGCTCTCAGTGGCTCACACAATCGCTTTGCTGGCAACGGGGCCATGATTTGCTCTCCCGCACGGGCTTTTAGTCGTCGACACACCATGCAGTCTTTCTCCCAGTCACGGATCTCCTCCCGTGCTGCTTCGACAAGATAGTGATCAGAGAGAGCTGCCAACGTTTCATTCGTCCCGCCATGATGACGTTGCTCATGGCAATCTTTGACAATAAGCCGGGTGGTCGGATGTTTCCGGGGGAGAAGAATCGGGAAGCGCACATCAAACGGCAACCAGTCAGCCAGCTTGGTGCGACCATCGCAGCGCAATAGTCCGTCGTCGTCCAGTCGAGGCGATAACCTCGCCAAATGTGACTTCAGCGGAAGTGGTTGACCATTCTTCACTAGCTTCAGATCCTCCGCGAATGCCTCGTGCTGTGCCTCTTTGATGATGGAAAGGCTGGCAGCGTCCATCTCCTCGCCGGTTAGCTCTCCGCTCAACTCCTCACCTCCACGGCAGTTGGTGATGAAGCGAATTGCCCAAGCCCGTACTCTGACTACGCGCGTCCAGTCTGAGAAGCGCCGAGAGCACAAGCTGGGTACTTTCTCGGACATAAATGACATCACCTCGGGCTGTGCAGCCTTGCGAGCTTCCGCTCGAGCAGCTGGGTCTTGGCCACCCACGATCTTGGCTGGCCATTCAGATTCTTCTTTCTGCAGGAAGGCCGGTCCTTGCCACCACAGCTCAGTTGCAACCAGTTGCTCTACCCCAGCTCCCCGTGACGCCAAGTCAGCTGGGTTGTCGCTGGAGGGAACGTACCGCCATTGACTGGGCGACGTAACAGTCTGGATGTGGCTGATGCGATTCGCCACAAACGGTTTGAAACGTCGGCTGTAGCTGCGAATCCAGAGCAGCACAGTTGCACTGTCGCTCCAGAAAATCACCTCTGACATGGCAATGGTCATGATCTGACTGAACTTCCGGGCCAGCTGAAGGCCAAGCACAGCCGCCAGCAATTCCAGCCGGGGGATACTTTGTGTTTTTGTCGGCGCCACTCTGCTCTTGGCTCCAGCGAGACGAACGTTTCCCTCAGAGCCACGCTGCACGGTGGAGCTGTAGACCACGGCACCATACGCCACACTCGACGCATCACAGAAAACATGCAGCGTCACTCCACTGGCCACGTCCGGGATGAGACATCTTGGTACTCGAACTAAACTGAGCTTCGCCAGGTCATTGAACCACTGGCGAGCGCTGGTGTCGATGCCATCTGGAACCGGTTCATCCCAGTCAATACCAGCTACCCAACTCTCTTGCATGAGGATCTTGGCTTGGGTCACGAACGGTGCCAGAAACCCCAACGGGTCGAATACGGACGCGACTTTTGCTAGGAGGAATCGCTTGGTGATGCGTTGGTTGGTGAGGTCTGGCGGTTGAACACTGAAGAAGAAGCAGTCTGCCTGACCGTCCCATGACACTCCTAGCGTCTTCACGGATGGTAGCTCTCCTTGGGATAAGTCCAGCTGGGTAGCGCGAGCCTCGGCTGGAATTACCTTCAGGAGCTCGGGCGAGTTGGACACCCACTTGCGCGGCGTCATCTTGGCCTCACCCCACAGATCCATTAGCTCCCGATGAAGAATCTGACCTTGTTCGACATCTTTGGTGCTGTCCATCGTGTCATCCATGTAGGTGGACGCGAGGATAGCTTCTGCTGCCAGGGGATGCGACGCCAAATGTTCCCGGGCTGTCTGCTGAGCAACGTACTGGGCGATGAATGGTGCAGCATTGACGCCAAAGACCAGGCGGTTGAACTCAAAGTGCCGTAAAGGCTTGGCTGGATCCAGGTCCCGCCACACGAATCTGAGGTACTTCCTGTCCGCTGGCGCAACCGACACCTGCAAATACATTTCGGTCACGTCACAGCCCACTGCTATAGGCTTTTGCCGAAACCTGGTCAACACATCGAACAACTCACGTTGGAGCTTCGGACCAGGGTAGATGGCGTCGTTGAGGCTGAGGCCATGACAGGATGCTGCAGCGTCAAAGACGATCCGCACCTTGGTTGTCGTCTTCTGCGGTCGGACGATGGGAAAGTGGGATAAGTACCAGCATACCTCTTGACCTAGCTCTTCCTTCGCGAGCTCCCGGATATAGCCGTTCCTCTGGCAGGCCTGGAAGACTTGGCCATAAGCCTGGGCAACGAATGGGTCTTTCAGGAGCTTGCGCTCGGTGTGGCCTAGACGTTTCGTAGCCGCACCCAAGTTGTTGCATAATTCTCTCTTGCGATTGTTCCACGGCAGAGACACCTGGTACCGACCGTCCACCTTCTTCAGCGAGTGTTTGACGATGTCTAGGGCTGTCTCTTCCTCCAGCGAGCGCGGGCCGGGCTCACTGAAGCTCTCCTCCGTGCCGCAGCTGTCAATTTGCCAGAACTGCTGTAGCGCGGTCTCTAAGCCGGTTGGTGTTGCTCTCTCCTCACTCTGAAACGCTTGGCTGTGGAACGTCCTTTGACTCGAGTGGGTTCCCGTCACTCTGCCAACACAGGTCCAACCCAGTGGAGTATGACGCGCCACTGGTTGACCAGGCGGGCCGACCACTTCCTGCTGTGACACAAGCAGCTCAGCATAGTCGCTCCCAATCAGCAGATCGACCCTGGCGGGCTCCGCCAGTCTTGCGAACGGAATCTCTCTCAGATGAGGATACTTGACTGCTTCCTTGACCCACTCTACCGGACGAAGATTCCCGGTGACCGAATCAGCCGTCAGCGCCGTCATAGATTGCCGAACACTGCCATCCATGCTGCCAATGGTGAAGCTTACTGGTCTGGTTGTGAATGAGGTCTGCTTGCCATTCAAGGTGTGGACTGTGAATGTCCTCAGCTCCCCGCTGACGCCGAGCTGGTTGGCAATGCTGCCGTTGAGGTAGCTCGTCGTGCTACCGTCGTCCAGCAACGCATTCACTTGCACTGACTTGTGGCCGTTCTCCAAGACGACTGAGACCGTTCGCAGAGCTATCTTGCTCGGGCCTTGGACCATCATGGTGGAATCACTCTTCGTGGACTCCGTCTCCCCCTCGGTGAACGACTGTGGGGTGCGCTTCTCTTGGTCTTTACCGGCGTATGGCGGCGTTACTAAACAGTCGATGGCGGGAGGCAATAACTGGTCCCCTGTCTCCTGACCTGAACCATTGTCTCCATAGTTGCAGAATTGTTCGGCAGGACTGAGTTGGGACTTGTCCGCCGTCATTCCTCCAGCTGCCGTGTTCCCCGGTTTTTGCTTGTTTGACTGTGCGGCACCGGGGTTCCTGCTGTCCTCGTGTAGCAAGTCCCGGTGTAGCAAGTAGTGGTGATTGTTGTTGCAGCCGCTCACTGAGCAGGGTCTGGTTCGTGGACAGTGGTGACCTTGGTGATCGCCTCCAAGGCAGCGGTAGCACAGACCATGCTGTTTAGCCTGTCTCCAGCGATTGGCGACGGAAAGCTGCTGAAATGCTTTACACTGCCAGACACCGTGAGGTCCGCCACATTGCCGACATGAAGATCGTCCAGCCGCTGAGCCAGCAGGCCTTGACCACCCTGCATTCTGCGAAGCCTTTCCCCCGAAGTAGGATCGTTGAGGAGCATTCCGGGGTGCCGGAGGCTTGTCCTTCGCACCAACTCCATCTAGTGCTTCGGACGCTCCAACGGCAAACTCCGCTTCCAACGTCACCCACTCCAGTAGTGCTTGAATTCCTGGCTGGCAGGGCTTCTGATGACACCATCGATTGAATTGGGTTAACATCCCAGCCGGCAACTTGGCCAGGAGCTTCCGGTACAACAGCCCATCACCCAGCTCATTGCCTTTTCCGGAGTCGAGGAGGTTGACCACGAGTACGTCGAGGAGATCTGCGAACTTCTGGAGATCTCCTGCTCGGCCAGAACGAATGATTGGGCAGGCCTCGACTTGCTCGTACTGCAGCGACAGCTGTCGTTGGTCGCCTCCAAACTTGCGGTCTAACCGCCTCATTGCGGCCTCATACGCAGACGGGGTGTATCCCAAGCTCTCGATGGAAGCCAAGGCATCTCCACTCAAATACTGCCGGAGGTGCAGCAGTTTCAAGTCTGCCCTTGCAGACGAGCTACCAACACACGCCATGAAAGCAGCCTTCCATGAGGCATACGCCTGCTTATCGCCGCCGAAGACTGGGATCTGTATAGCCTTCAGTTGCTTGAAAATTTCATCTGATGGCTGCTTGACAGGTGGAGGCTGAGACACAGCACGCTGGTGGCTGGCGGACACACCTGCTCCTGGCAATGCTGAAAAGGCACCAATGCCCATGGCCTGATGACTTGAGGCTACCTGTGGTGGCCCACTGGCCTGGGTGTACAGATAGTTGGCGGACTGATATGGCAGAGATGATGTAGGGTGTAGTCCTGACACAGGAGCCTGAGTACTACTGCCCTGCTGGCCTGGACTCTTCGCGACTTGAAGTTGAGGTGCCTTGGTCTCACTCACTCTAGTATATGCACTGGACACACATACAGCACTCCGTGTTGGCACAGCAGGCTGTAGTACAGGCAAGGCAGGGCTTCTTTCACGCTCTGACCTCCTACTCCCAGCTTCCATTGGTGGCCTTGTTCTAGCCCCAAGCTCTGCCTCTCTGTTACTACTGCCGGAGACACTTGTGGTCACAACCACTTCATCACTCCTGAACCAGCGCCACGCCATCACCAGGCTCATCCCGATCCTGGGAGCCTTCACTTCTGCCCAGCGATATCACACTCAGTGGACTTCCTGGCTCTTCCACTGGTACCTGGGCATACTGATGATACGCTGGCCTGTCTGGGTGGCTGTTCCGTGCAGCCGTCCACGCTGGCTGGTGTTCTAGGAACTCCTGATACAGCCTTGTGACCTCCTTCATCTCTTTCTCCGCTTCCTGCATCTCATCGGTCACTTTAGCCACTGCGAGTGCATCGTTCATGCCGCCAGCCCACTCGAGTACGTCCATGAACACACCGTTCAGGGCATCCTCGATCATTTCTAATTCGCCAAACAACGACCTCGCAGCTTCCTCTTCAACTCCGTCACGCAAGGCCACGATCACGGCTCTGCGACACCTGGTGAACTTTCTCTTGCGATTCGCTTTTTCAGCTTTCATTTTCACGAACATCAGTTCATTCGATCGCTGGTCACTTTGACCATGTTCGTCCTCTTCGACTTCCTCGTCCTCCTCGATCACGTCGCCTGCCCTCTCTGCCATGGCACCTAAAAAGAGCTCAGTTCTCTGACTGCTAGCCCTGATTGTGCTCTCACTCTCAGGCTCCGGCGACGACATGATCTAAATTATTTAAATTTCCGAAACTGAACTGCTCACTCAGGCGATAACCATCCTCTGCTACCAGAATGTTCACACGAAGGAACACGTTATCTTATCTTTTCACTCCAAATACAATTACACCTGAAAGAGCAGCCTAGCTAGCTACACAACGCGAACCAAGGAACTACTAAAACCGAAAACATTCCATGTCGGTACACAACCGAAGACAAAAGGCAAAAAATGAAGTAATTTATGCCGCACTGTCAGCTGGCAAAACAGCAGAGGCGTAGCCACCGCACACGCGCTGTTGTACGGCACGAAAGCTAGCCATGATACTTTGCAATACAAATGTATGACCATGCACAGCAACAAGCAACAACACACAGCTAAGAAGTAGATGCATGTAATACATGAACGGCCAGTTGGAAATAGTTATGACGCCACTTTGTAGATCGCCCCCATGAATAGAAAACCACAAGAGAGACAGGGAAGACTACAGCCTACAGTGTAGCTCAGGCCTTGATACATGAATCACTATTGCAGTATTGGCACAAGACAGAGAAAGGACTGCTCCAGCTATCAATAATAAAAGGAACCATTACTTCTAGTCTTAGTGATGCCATGCCAGAGAAATATTACGTACTACCGTCTGAACATTGCATACCCGCGTGCTTTGGTTGCCATTCTACTAGAGAAACCATCTTTGCACCTCAGCATGTCTTAGCTGCAGTAGTTGTTATCGAATGATACTAGCCATTTCAAATTAAATTTATTGATTTGAAGATGGACACCGGCCATGAAAATACGTTGTGTTCTGCAAGGCATTGGTACAGGATCCAAGGTGGGGTGACACCTTTCTTGGTTGTATTGTAACTGTCTGTATTGTCTGTATTGTGTGTGTGTGTGTGTTTGTGTGTGTGCGTGTGCGTGTGTGTGTGTGTGTGTGTGCACGTGTATGCGCATGTGTAGTACATTCACCCATCAGATGCATCGCAGATCAACCAGGCCGAGCTAGTTGCAATTGATGAAGCCGCGGCTATTCCACTGCCACTGGTCAAGAAACTTCTTGGTCGACATCTTGTCTTCATGGCATCGACAATCAACGGGTATGTGATGTGTATGTGATGTGTGTGATGGAGATCTTTTGCTATCACTGACACTGTCTGCTGTACAACTGCATGAATATTGCTTGCAATACGCAGCTGTCTGATGGGTGTGTGTGTTTTAACACGAATCTCTGAGTAACGGCGGAAAAGGACTGGGTTGTGTCATTGCTGTGTGATTAGTGTATTACTGGCTCTGTCCACTGGACATAGAGCACTAGGGTATATGCAGCCTGAGGATCTTAGACAGCTGAATATTGCTTGCATGTGTACTTGAGAACAGTGTGTACGTTATTGGGTAGCTGTGGGTAGCTGGGAGGGCAGGTGATCTGTGTATATGTTGCTTTGTTGATGGGCGGGTGGATTGTGTAGTAACCCTTCATGACTATGGTGCATGTCTGAGGTCAGCAGGTTGTGGATTTACTGGTGTCAGGTTGGAGGGCGTCCAGCAAAATGTGAAGGGTTTTAGAATCACACTGCTGCGAGAATTATATTCCTGTGTGGCAGTGGCTGTGTGGATCTATGTCTGGTGGTGACCTTGCTTGTTCTCTCTCTCTCTCTCTCTCTCTCTCTCTCTCTCTCTCTCTCTCTCTCTCTCTCTCTCTCTCTCTCTCTCTCTCTCTCTCTCTCTCTCTCTCTCTCTTTCTCTCTCTTTCACACACATAAAAACACACACACTCACTGTAAACAGATACGAGGGAACTGGTCGCTCTCTTTCATTGAAGCTGATCAAGGAGCTGCGTGTGGCAGGTAGTCCAATGGGATTTTCCACGGCCTCCAGTAAGTTGATAATAATGCTTGCTACTCATTTTCAGGTTGTCCGATCATTCCTCGTCTAGTTGTTGGGTGTGACTTTGCTGAGATATTTAATAGCTTGTTTGCTGACATTTGTATCCGCTTGCCGTGTCTACAGGCCGTACGTTCCGGGAAATCACATTAGAGGAGCCGATCCGTTATGGCGAGAATGATCCCGTGGAGGATTGGCTCCATCGCCTGCTTTGCCTGAACGTGTCCAGCATACAGAGCGTGTCTAAGGCTGTATACCCACCGGAATGTGAGCTGTAAGTGCTGACAACTAGTACACTATACTGTTTGTATAGCTGCAGTATGCCGCTATAGTCTAGTGAGTGGCCATGAGCTGTGAATGCCTGCTGCATATGTATAGCTGCAGTATGCCGCTATAGTCTAGTGAGTGGCCATGAGCTGTGAATGCCTGCTGCATATATAGCTGTAGTATGCCGCTCCACTAGCAAACGCAAGTCGCATGTACGTGTACAGCTTGAGCGATAGCGATGTCAGAGTGCCGTGCCACGTGACCTCCACGCTTGTCGCTGGATTCCCTAGCAACCAGCTGAAATGATGGCACAAAAGGCCAGTACGGCAGAATGCCAGTCGCGGCTAGTGCGTGCAGTACTTGGCACGCGGGATTTTCAAATGTGTCCTGAAGACGTCAGTGACAAGCTTGGTCGTGACGCCACGAAAATAGAAGATGAACGTTCGTATCCGCGTTTGTGCGGGCACGCTGCGCCTACGGAGCTGGGAGTATGGCCGCCGACAAGTTAGCGTATGTTCAGTCGCCTTTTTCATCTCTTGCGCTGCCTGATACAGGTTTGATTTTAGTTCCATCGTGTTCCCCGTCGTCCAATTTAGTTTGCTGCCAAGTTTCACCGGCGTATCACGCCGCGCACCAGACTTGTAGTATTTTTCGCGACAGGTACTCCATTGCTGGATACAACGCCATCATGAGTGTTCGTCCAGCAAAGGGACCGGTGGTGAAGATGTCTTGTTGAGTCTTTGACTCAAGGAGGAGCAGCTATTGCAGGATAAGCCCCTGCCTAGCATGATCGGAAACGTTTCAAATGCATTGGTGTTAGAACTGATGAAGTTCAAAGCGGACCACCACCAGGATCATAATCTACTTGTCGAACTCTTGTCTTGGAGAATGGCCAAAATAATCACAACTCATACTTCGGCTACTCTTCAACAGTCTTCTTGAATTTCTCGAACAGTTTGCAGCAACAACAACAAAAAAACAGTACAGCTACGGTATGTACATTTTGTACAGTGCGCAAGATTATTCATGAGCCGCGATCCCTGTTGTCAAGACCGATTTTGTGCCGTGGTGAGATCTGGTTTGTGTACAGTGAGGCATGGTGCTTTTCGACAATGGCGGCGCTTACCCCGCGCACTCTAAACTGGAATAAGTCCACTATATTTGCTCCCTTTTGCTTCAAACTTTGCCAGTATACTCTACTTGTCTTCAGGAATCGGATGGTATTACAATATTTGCCCGATTCTCAAAACAGAAATTTACCCTGACATCGCTATGAGCGACCACCTCATGGCCTGGAGCTGTTTGGTCTCTAAGGATGGGGCGTCTTGTATTGCACTGGTGGCTTGGCTTGTGGGACGTCTTGGCTTGTGGGGCGTCTTGGCTTGTGGGGCATCTTGGCTTGTGGGATGCCTTGGCTTGTGCAATGTCTTTGCAAACTGACATCAGTGTGGGGTTTAGGTTTGTTGCTGCTTGTAGATTATGTTTGTGTGCTAGCATCTTGTCGAATTTGAGCTTGATGCATGTCATGTGTGTGATGATATGGGCGTGTGTGTTGATGTGCCTCTGAGTGTGTGTGTCTATGTATGTGTCTGTGTCTGTCTGTGTGCCTGTATCTGTGTCTGTGTGCCTTTGTGTGTCTATTCATCTGTTCATCTGTGTGTGTGTGTGTGTGTATGTTTGTATGGATAGGTACTATGTAAATCGTGACACTCTCATGTGCTATCATAAGGTGTCTGAAGCATTCCTGCAGCAGCTCATGTCTCTTTATGTGTCATCGCATTACAAGGTAAGACTGATGATCTTTCAAGAGTGTATGCCTGGCTGCCCAGCAGATTGGTTGCACAGCTACACACACGCCCGTTGTGTGGTGGTGACATTGTACATAGCTGACACAAGATACTCATCACTTGCACTGCACATGCCACATAACCTGCCACACATGCATTGTAACCTGCCACACATAGCACGTGTTGCTGACCGTTCTAGCACCTTACTAAGTCATCAGTTATGCTCCAGTTGTACTTGGTAGGTCCGGTGTATTGCGGACAATAAATCCACTGCTGTACATATGTACAACGGTTCTGACTATTGTGTGCATATGTGTTGATCTTGCTGCTGCTGTTGATGTCATCTTCATCGTTATCATTGCTGTCTTTTCGTTGTCTTCGTCGTTACTTTGCTGTTGTTGTTCCTGGCTCCTGGGATATATCTAGAACACGCCCAATGACCTACAGCTGTTGTCTGACGCACCAGCTCATCACCTCTTTGTTCTGCTGCCTCCTCACACTCCCGGTGTGCTTCCTGAGATTCTGGCTGTTGTACAGGTATGTTGAGTGATTACTGTTCCGGTGTGCTGTGAGCTCTGTGCCTACTGCATGGTCTGTGCCTACTGCACGGTCTGTGCATACTGCATGGTCTGTGCATACTGCATGGTCTGTGCATACTGCATGGTCTGTGTGTACTGCACGGTCTATGCGTACTGCATGGTCTGTGCATACTGCACGGTCTGTGCATACTGCACGGTCTGTGCATATCTTCAGCTGTAGCCATGTACTCCCAAGTAAAGTGCAAGGCAAATGCTACCACAAACCACGAAGGTGTATACTTTGTTGATATAGAGTGTTTTCATTTGTGTCCAGTCTGGGTGTGTGGTTAGTAGTAATAGTAGTAGCTTGTCTAGTAGCTTGTCTAGTAGCTTGTCTAGGTCAACATTCGGACAGGCTGCTGCTATCTATCACAATTTGTGTCATCTTGTGTCGTGCTGACTGTGTTACCACGGTAGTTGTGCACCTCAATCCGCTTGTGTGTGTGTGTGTGTGTGTGTGTGTGTGTGTGTGTGTGTTTGTGTGTGTGTGTGTGTACGTGTACATGTATGTGTGTTGTGTGTGTGTGTGTGTACGTGTCTGTGTACGTGTGTGCACGTGTCTGTGTACGTGTGTGCACGTGTCTGTGTACGTGTGTGCACGTGTACTCAGGTCTGTTTAGAAGGTCAGATTGCGAAGGAGTCGATTGCTGCTAGCTTAGCACGGGGACAGCGCTCGGCTGGCGACCTCATTCCTTGGACAGTGTCACAGCAGGTAAGAATGCTCTTGGCTTGTTACAGCTGATACTGCACCTTGTACTGCAGCTGATACTGCAGCTGGAATGCATCTTCTGTAATGTATCTTCTGCTCCTGATGTCAAACGTCACGTGTGTTTGTATTGACTGACCTGTTTACTGTGCAATTGTCCAAGTGTTGTGCTTGTGCAGTGGTGCGTGTGGGTTTGTGTTTCTAGTCCAACTCTTCTTTGTCCCGTAGACTCCAAACCACTTGCTCTGTTTTTTTTCTGTCATCGTTTTAATGCTCTTGTTCTCCCCCTCTTGTCACTATGATTTGTTTACCGTAGTTCAACGAATCCGACTTTGGAAGGCTGTCTGGTGCACGTGTTGTGCGCATTGCAACACATCCCGATCACCAAAAGGTATGCGAGTTGAACTGGCCAGTGCATGTATTGTATTGCTAAAGGGCGTCGATGTTATGACATGAATACACACATACACACACACACACACACACACACACACACACACACACACACACACTTGTACTTGCTCACTGCCAAAACTGGTCACGTGGGTCTCCCCGGGAGAGGGGAGAGAGACTCAAAAGGAATCTTGGAAAGATGGCTCAATTGGCTATTGAACCGCCCAACGGCCGACACCCCCTGAAATCCCCAAACTAGGGTGGACTTTAAATGATCCCACTTATGGGCTCACCACACCTCTGTAAGTGGGTGAGGACAAGGTGCAGAAAAAGGATTGACGGCATCAGGGTATCCGTCCTGGGATCCAACTGCAGTTACCCCTGCCCCCAGTGAAGGTAATACTTGCTACTAGTGTGGGTGGCTAAATCAGAGTGGATCTGATAATAAGCTTCACTAGCACCATTGATTACACAAGAGTTAATCTAGCCAGAAGCAGTCCATGGTTAACAGGTATGTATACTTCAAATACTCAATCTGCGGACAGCATGCTGTTTCGTTCTTTTTGAACTCATCAGCGCAGCACAGAGAAAATGAGGCCGAACCTGATAGCAATGAAAATAAAAATTTCCAATCAGGCCCGAACGTACCTTGCCAGAGTGCTCAAACTGACAAGTCAGTGAGCTCTGCATAACGCAAACAGCAAAGGCACTACCCCACGCAAGAGTGCTCAACTGCTACAAGAGCAGGAGCGAAATACTCAATCTGCGGACAGCATGCTGTTTCGTTCTTTTTGAACTCATCAGCGCAGTATATGAACCCTGAAACCAACAAAGGTGGTAGGTACAACAATACACCTTCAAGCAGCCCAGCCTGTTGGCAACAGACCCAACACAATCAGGCATAAGTGTACACACCAACCGAACTAGCTGGCTCTCACACACACACACACACACACACACACACACACACACACACACACACACACACACACACACACACACACACACACACACACACACACACACACACACACACACACACACACACACACACACACACACACACACACACACACACACACACACACACACACACACACACACACACACACACACACACACACACACACACACACACACACACACACACACACACACACACACACACACACACACACACACACACACACACACACACACACACACACACACACACACACACACACACACACACACACACACACACACACACACACACACACATACACACACACACATACTGTAGATGCACTGTGCAGGGTCGACTGGTGACCGATGTAATGTATGGTCATGTGCGTGATTTGTCTTCTAATGGTGTTGAGCAGAAAGGCTACGGTACTCGTGCACTGGAACAGTTGAAACAGTACTACAGTGGTGATATTGCGTGCATGGGTGAGCCATCCGATGCGCCTATGACAGCACCCACTGTCGATGACTCGGTGAGTTTGAATGCTGCTCATTTGCCCAATTCATTCTTTCTTGTTGTCCACATGTCATGCTTGATTTCTTGTTAGGGTGTTGGCATTTCTCTCCCTCTTTGTGTGTGTGTGTTTGTGTGTGTGTGTGTGTGTCTCTCTCTCTCTCTCTCTCTCTCTCTCTCTCTCTCTCTCTCTCTCTCTCTCTCTCTCTCTCTCTCTCTCTCTCTCTCTCTCTCTCCTCTCTCTCTCATCAGTACAGCACGCTATCGATCCCCCTTTGTATATGCTATGGCCAGCTCATGCATAGCTTCAGCAGAGCAGGCCTTGTCAGCAGAGCAGGCCTATGGTTGATGTGTCACCAGTCATTGATATGTTTGTGCCGCTGCTGCTGCTTCTGCCTCTGCTTAGAGCATTGATGATCAGGTAGAAGTGATGAAGCCGCGCAGTAACCTGCCTCCCTTGCTGTGGAAGCTGAGTGAGCGGCCGCCGGAGAAACTAGACTACATCGGCACGTCGTACGGCATGACGGGACAGCTGTATCGGTGAGTGTGTGTGTGTGGGGGGGGGCATGTGTGTGTGTGGGGAGGGGGGGGGGGGGGTCAATAGCCAAATGAGTCTCCAAGGTTCCTTTTGAGTCTCTCTCCTCTCTTCGGGCAGACTCGCGTGACCAGTCATGGCAGCGAGCAAGTACAGTGTGTGTGTGTGTGCGTGAGTGTAGGTGTAGGTGTCACCATCATCTTGCCGGCTCCGTGCAGTTGTCTTGCTGATGCAGAATACTTCATGCAGCACATTAATGTGCTTTGCAGTAGTGGTGGGGGTTATCATAGTGTCCTTGTCTTTGTGTTCCACAGCTTCTGGTGGAAGAATGGCTACTCTCCGGTGTATTTGCGCCAAACAGCGGTGAGTGAAGGCAATGCATAGTCATTCCCCCGTACTGAGCTATGCATAGTCATTCCGCTCTCTCTCTCTCTCTCTCTCTCTCTCTCTCTCTCTCTCTCTCTCTCTCTCTCTCTCTCTCTCTCTCTCTCTCTCTCTCTCTCTCTCTCTCTCTCTCTCTCTCTCTCTCTCTCTCTCTCCCCCCCCCCCACACACACACACCATACTGAGCTCTAGTTGTTGCACTTTCTGGGGTTACACGCCGTCCGTCATTTGTGACCTTGCACTTTTGGATTTCATTGAGGATTTCTATAGTTCTACCACCCTATTTGCTCCCCCCTCAAGCACAACGCGGAGCCAAGGAGTCACTGCCATGAAGATATGAGTTGATGCATCTTGCTTGTCATTATTCTTTGTTAGCACAGTGCATGATAGCGGCGGTGATGTGAGTGGTCTGTTTATTTGGTGCTTGCTGTTTGCTATGCGGTGCTTGCAGAATGACCTGACTGGAGAACACACGTGCATCATGTTAAACGTTTTGCACAAGGAGTTTTCTGGCAGCTGGCTAGAGAGTTTCAACGAAGGTACGGCGTAGGTCAAGTTGCTAACTTTGAGCGCTGTACAGTCTTGATTGATGTTGCGGCTGAAGCCCATACAGTACCGTCGGTCGCCGAAGAACTGAGGGTCAGCCTCCTAGCCTAAACCGTTCCTATTTTCATGCATTATAGTCTATGCACAGTTGAGTCACCGTGTATACATTGGTGTGTTGTCATTGGTGAAATCCTAGCCTGGTCGTTCCTCAGCCTGGTCCGTTCTTCGGTACCCGACAGTACTGTACTAGAACTCTGTATAGTCTTTAATACTCACCTTGTGCTCTACACTTTTTAGTCAGTTTTTACCTTCTCTTTTTTGCTTGGAGGCCGTTACGTTCGTGCTCCAAAATTCCTCCTCTGCACTACACTTGCTGAGCTTTCGGATGTCTATACAGTTTAGTGCGACTGCAGCAGTGTAGAGGCTTGATGCTTTTGTTTGTACTTCGAAGTAGAGTCAATGTGCGATTTGTAGTGTCTCTGGAGCAGAAAATACTCATGAAACAACCATGCATAATTTGACCAAACATGGGTTGAATACTTCAATTAATATAGACACCGACTCCAATAGAATATTCATTAGTTGAGGGAGTTGAACAAGGGTAAAACGTTTCCAATAGAAGGTCAGGGCTAGGACTCCAGAGGCTTTGAAATAGATTAGCCCGGAGTTCATAATAGAGAATGCATGCGGTATAGTCTGTTCTGCTGGGTGTGTGTGTGTAGATTTCCGGCACAGGTTTGTCTATCTGCTCGGTGGTCAGTTCTCCTCGTTCCCACCAGCCACTGCTCTCAGTATTATGGTGGATCGCAAGGATACGCATCCCGTCAAACGTATGTATAGATTATGTGTGTGCGTGCGCGTGTGCGTGCGTATGTGTGAACTGCTTGAGTCTGTGGTCATGAAGGCAGGGAGTGGGTAGGTGGGTGAGTGAGTGTGTGAGTGAGTAGGTATGTGAGTGAATGTGCCTTCCTGCTGGTGTCGTGCCATTCCTGTCTTTTATCCAGCATACACAGTATTCGGTACTCGGTATGCATATGCATGAGCGTATTATACTGTTCACTTTGTTGACTTGTGTATGCGTGGCGTCCACTTGTGGTGTCCACATGTGGTGTGTATGCGTGGCATGCATGCATGCTTGTGTGTGCTTATCTAGCACTAACTGTGGATGAGGTGTCGTTCTGGTTCACGCCGTACGACATTGACCGACTGGACAAGTACAGTAACAACCTGGTTGACTACCATCTCGTCGTTGACCTGGTTCCCAAAGGTAAGATCTCGGTGCCTTACGCCTTAATTACTGCACTGCACGCATGCTACTGCCGTGCCGGTATGCGTCTTGTTGTATTGCCTGAGATGTTATTCACTGTCTGACTGGGTGCTGCTGCTGATTTCTGCTGAAGCATTCACTGTACCCAACACGATGTGTTGTGTGGTGCACTGTTATCGATTTCTTGCTATTCTGACTAGTGTGTAAAGGTTTTCCGGCGATTCTTATCATACATTGATAGTAGGGGTTTTGCGATTACGTTGTTTACCTGAGATGTTTGTACGGAGGGACATCTCGAACACCAGTTGCTGTTCCATACAAAGCTTATGCGATGATAAAATATTATCTGCATAACGTCGATGGTGATCTTGTACCATCCATCCATCCATTCATGCATTCATCCATCGATCCATCCACCTGTTATGATCTCGAACTCGTCAGTCGTTGACCTGATTCTATTGCAAAGAAGACATAAACTTGTAATGTACGACAAAGAGGATAGCATGATAGAGAGCGCTGGATGGAGAGCTGCTGGACAGCTGGATAGTGTATCAATAAGAGCACTAGGGGAAGGCTAGACATCAATGGGTATTGTATGAAAAGCCAGTCAAGAGCACTAAAGAGTGCAGTCAACCACAACACAGTCAATTGTTTCAGACAATCATGACAGGCAAGATACAGATTGACAACATTGCCCACCCATGCCGATCGGTTCTCTTTGGCTGCTTGTTTGTCTCTATGTGTACGTCACTTATCGCTTGTTGTTATGGCCACCTGCACACCCGGCATTCCTCTGTGTACAGTGGCGCAGCTGTACTTCTTGCGACGCCTGGACATCAAGCTGTACGCAGCGCAGTCGGTAAGAACTGCGTGGGTAGGGGCTGATAACAGTACACTTGTGTTGCCCAGCATATCAGTTGAACAGAAGATAGCACAGGCACACATCCAGGCTGCTAAAACTTCTGTACTGGAGAAGCTGGGGGAATGGAGGCTGCGTATACGTTGTCTAGCCTAAAGCGATATGAAGATGTGCAATGATACATGTTTGAAGATGTGCATGATACATGTTTGAAGATGTGCATGATACATGTTTGAAGATGTGCATGATACATGTTTGAAGTGACAGCAACGAGTACATGTGCACCACTTTCAAAGTATGTGTCGCTCTTGACGGCACTAGTCTTTGTGTGCCTGTTTGTGTGTATGGTGTGTGTATGTCCATATTGCATGTATGTTCATCTTGCACATATGTTCATATTACATGTAGAGTAGAACCCGGGTTAAGGGTCACACCGGATTAGGGATCGGAGCCCGGGGGGGGGGGGGGGATCACTTGGCACGTACATTGTGCGGGTGATCCTTCGGAGCCCGGGGGGGGGGGGGGGGTCACTTGGCATGTACATTGTGCGGGTGATCCTTATACCGGGATTTAATTTCCGGCCCAAGGGGGGTTCCCCGTCGGTTTCCGAGGAAGCCATAACTTTTTTCGCTCCAAACTATTTTTCCGAGGTCCATCTACTCACAAGAAGTCGTTTTGCACACCTTTTTGCCCATCCCTGTACAACTGAGTCCAGCTATGTCCGCGCAGAGTTAGGTGGACCCTTAACCCGGGTTCTACTCTACGTCCATTTTTGAACATTATGTCCATATTGCACATATGTCGATCTCATTGTTGTGTTGTGTCAACAGGCCATATTACTCGGTCTCGGCTTGCAGTTCAAGACCGTGGAGAAGATCTCGGTAAGTGACTGCACTGGTTGTTACGCAATGCAAAGACAGCACTAGATGTAGAGGATTTTGCGGATAGGACTGCATCATACATGTGTTGTAAGGAGTAGCAAGCCAGTGCTTTGTCATACCACTCTATGCATCACATCTCTAAATGATGATGTCATCGCGTAACATCCATGTCACTCTGAGCAAATTAAGATGTAATCACGTAGTAAAATCTATGTCAATGTGAGCAGAACTGTGTGTGCTTGCTAGCTCTCTATCCCAATGCGAACGGCACCTTGTTGCGGTGGGCAACACCGGTCCAGCACAACTATTTGACGGTCGTCTTCAGAAGTGCATGTATAGTGAAATATGTCCAAGCTGACTGCCCAGTGTGCCCACAGGACCTCAACATGTGATTTCTGTTTTGTTGTTCGAATAGTCCTCAGCATAACATTGTGTGCTAGCGGTATGTACATGTAGGTGTGTCACACAGGCAGCCAAGTATTTCTTGACTATGTGTTTCTTGCTGTTGTTTCTTCTACTCGTGCAAGTACAGGAGGACATTGAGCTACCTGTTGGTCAGGTGTTGGGCCTGTTCAACCGCATTATTCGCAAAGTGGTCAAGGTAATAACGGCAGTGCTTTGTTCTGTGCAGTGTTGTAACTGGTATAATACAGTTGCACGGCATGGTGTATGCTTTACGAGGACAGCATGCCACAACGTGGGGGACGCACCGTATGGAACACGGTGTATGTGAACCGGGGCACAGCCCCCTACGGTTCACATGGTAGCAAGACCGAGACTCTACCAACTGGTTTATGGTTGCAGTCAGGAGCACTGTTTTCTATACAGCGTGTCCTCCACATTGTGACATGCTGTCACCGTAAAACTAGCTGCCCTACATGTACTACAGTGCTGCTTGAGGGAATCCGATCAAGCCAGTCAATGCAACACTGAGCGCTATGCAGCCCTTGACCCACCAACACTGAGCGCTATGCAGCCCTTGACCCAGCAACACTAGGATGTGTACTGGTGCAGGGCTCAGACTTGATTCACGCCATCGCATATCATTGCTATGCAGCACAGTTGTTACAAACTATGGCAGCGGGCTGCTGGATGGGTTTAAATCTGCTGCGAATATCAGTAGTCTGTGATTGCCTTCACCATTGCATTGGATAACAAGTCGTTTCTGCGGACATTCAGGCATATTGTGTGTGTGTGCAATTGAGTTGAGTGGTGTACATGTATGTAGCGATGTTGCTGCATTACTCAGTATGCCATGTTATGCATATGTTCATTCGGTGCTGCATTGTGCTACGGTGTACAGGTGCTGATAGAGATTAAGTCGGCGGCCATCGAGAAGACGCTACCACTGCCAGCACGTGTAGTGGCATTGGAGCCCACTGCTCAGACCATGGACGAGGCACTGGTATGTTCAGGGCGTAGGATCAGTTTGTGTGTACTGTAAAACCGGAAAATTTTCGGTGGAGATCAATGGTTTTTGAGGCCGTTTTTCGTTGAGAAGCCAATTTATTTATTTGTGACTCTAGATGGTCAAAGGCGTCCGGTAGCGGGACGTGCCCAGATTAGGGGAATTTCACTGTACCTTTCTTACTTGATCTATGTCATTAGCGGCGGGTATGCTCTGTCAAATTCCAGCACATTTCACAAATTGATAACCCTCAGGCAATGCAATGCATACCCTGCCTGTGGTGCCACTGTCACTATCGTCGCCGCTGCTGCAGTGGTTGTGTGTGTGTGTGCGTGGTTGTGTGTGCATGTGTCTGTCTGGCCGTTTTTCGTTGAAAAGCCAATTTATTTATTTGTGACTCTAGATGGTCAAAGGCGTCCGGTAGCGGGACGTGCCCAGATTAGGGGAATTTCACTGTACCTTTCTTACTTGATCTATGTCATTAGCGGCGGGTATGCTCTGTCAAATTCCAGCACATTTCACAAATTGATAACCCTCAGGCAATGCAATGCATACCCTGCCTGTGGTGCCGCTGTCACTATCGTCGCCGCTGCTGCAGTGGTTGTGTGTGTGTGTGCGTGGTTGTGTGTGCATGTGTCTGTCTGTCTGTCCGTCCGTCCATCTGTGTGTGTGTGGGGGGGGGGGGGTGCGTGTGTGGGTGTCCGTCCGTCCGTCCATCTGTGTGTGTGCATGTGTGTTCATGTGTGTTCATGTGTCTGTATGTCTGTGTGTGTGTGTGTGTGTGTGTGTGTGTGTGTGTGTGTGTGTGTGTGTGTGTGTGTGTGTGTGTGTGTGTGTGTGTGTGTGTGTGTGTGCATGTGTCTGTCTGTCTGTGTGTCCCATATGGTGCAGTGGTATGTGCAGTCGATTTCCAATCGAGAGGTTGCGGGTTCAATTCCCGACGATTATGGTCGCACACGTCTTTCTTCTCTTTCTCAGACTCTTCCTGGCTTTTCTTTCATTCTCCTGGGTGGTTACCAACAGCCAGTGTATGCCGGAGTATGTGGTGTGGTGTGTGTGTAGGAAAAAAATGGAAAAACGAAAAATAGGGATTCACTGACCAGAAAAAGTCACTTCAAACAGCTGTGTGGTGGATACCAGGCTAAAAATAGTGGCGGTCAATTCATCAGCCTTGCAAGCTGTTGAATGGTGTAATCCCAGCACAAGTTGCTATGTCTATCATAGCTGTTCGCTATCATCGCTTCCGCGATGGGCATGTCTGAGGTCTGAGGTGTGTGTGTGTGTGTGTGTGTGTGTGTGTGTGTGTGTGTGTGTGTGTGTGTGTGCATGTGTGTGTGTGCATGTGTCTGTCTGTCTCTCTGTTTGTCTGTGCATGGTGCGTGTGTGTGTTTGTGTGTGTATCATGTGTCTTTGTTGCTACTGTGCGTGATTCTCCTCCCTGTGCTGTGTGTGTACCTGCCTGTCCTGTAGACGGAGGCTGCAGAGGAAGTTTCGGAGGAGCAGAAGAAGGAACTGGAGAAGTTGAAGGCAATGGACTTGAGCCAGTAAGCCAGCGAAGTTCCTTTAATCAACCCTCGATTTCCTGTACAAAACTTCTCTTTATCCCAAAGTTTGAATTATCCAACAGCAGAAGTTACGCTCTGACAAAGGACTGTTCGAGAAAGACGAATTTTCAATAGTAGCCCCAATTCGATTTATAGTCCAAGGTTAGGCGAGACCAAGGAATCGAGATAACCCGACCCGTGCGCACCGAAATCGAGCCGATGTCGAGTTTTTGGGAACAGTGCGCGCACTGATCATGTGACTGGGTCTGCGACTCGTAGAGCTAGATCTTCTAGACTCAGTTCAGCTTTGCCACATTCCTGTTTTGAAAACCAGATGGATTCTACGGCATTACTTCATGGAAAACGAACTAATAACAAAGACGACTCATTCATCGTATCAAGAGTACATAACCCCCCCAGAGTGTGCAACTCCACTATGGGTGCTGTCCCGACAGAATTTCAAGTTGACGTCATTTTGATGATGCAATGCGCACTGTACACGGATTATCAGACGAACCCGGAACCTGTGGTTGACCGAAGCTGATCGATCCTGTACAAATTATTGCAAAGAAAAACGTGTGATGCGTTGACACCCGTACACATGTTGTAAATCACTGGTGCAAGGAGCATTGCGTCATAAATAATGACGTCAACTTGAAATTCTGTCGGGACAGCAGGGTATGTGGGAGTTGCACACTCTGGGGGGTTATGTACTCTTGATCGTATGAAAGGAAGTCTCCACCGAATTTTTTTCTTTGCAGCAAGATAATGACAATCGCTTTTGCAGAGCCTCTTGGTAAGACATAGGCAGTTTGTAGGCATTTTAGTCGTTCTCGTACGCTTTCGACCTTCATGCCAGTTTTCTACAACTATATTGACCTGAAAAAGACGAAAATAGTATGGATCCGCTGGGGTGGGCGTTTGCAGCGGACTTTACGGTACAGTACTATATTGTTGACATATCGTATTTCCCCCGAATGTAAATCACACATTTTTACACTAAACTTGCAGAGCAAAGAAGGGTGTGTGACTTACTAATGTCAATGTATTCATACAATTTGGTTCAGAACTGAAAATGGGCTGCGACTTATAATCGGGGAAATCCGGTATAGGATTGACCCACATACATGTAGATGTGAGTGGTATCCTAGGATTGACCAACCTCAAGCAAGGGGCAAGAAAGCTCTACTTCGAAGCAGGTCAAAGTACTTTTTGAAGTACTTACGGGTGTGTGGACAAAACAGTGTACTGCATGTGTGCGTATGGTATAATGTGTACTTTTTTAGATGAACTACGGTTTGTACGAATTGTGGCAGTGTCAGTTGTAGACTACTGCGTGCTTCTAGGTGCTGATGAGGGAAAGTGAAATTTTGTCAATATTTGTTTTGCCTGCAGAAAGGGCTGAGGGGTGGCTAGGTGGGTGATTGGTTAGGTGACGGGGCTGAAAAATACGAAACCTTTCGTATTGAAGTAAACAAAAGCAATCAGTACCCTCGGACTGCATGCGCCCGTGTGCATGTGTGTGTGTGTGTGTGTGTGTGTGTGTGTGTGTGTGTGTGTGTGTGTGTGTGTGTGTGTGTGTGTGTGCGCGCGCGCGCGCGTGTGTGTGTTTGCAGGTTTGCTATTGCCGGCTCTGATGAGGCATGGGATGAAGCTCTCAGCAGCAAGTCCAAATCTGGCAATGTCACAATCAAGAGGTGAGAACATGTGGTAGCTAGTTGTTACTTTGCAGTACTCTGCTCTCTGTCATTGCTGCTTGTGATGTCATGTACTTGTATTGAATGTGATACTAGCACTCAGCTTTGCTTCATATCTAAGGCTGCGTTTACACGACAACGCTGGGGGTGAAAACGCAACAAAATCCTTTCGGATGCATGGTTCATTTACACGGTACGCGGAGCAAAACGTAAAAGTTGTACACCAAAACGGAAGAAAACCAAAACGCTGGCCAAGGTGGAAGAATTTGAAAACGGAAATGTTCTGCCGGATAAATTTGAATGTGTAAACAGTCGAAGCGGTATGCTGGCCTCGTTTCCCGTCACGTTTGTTCCGTTTTCGGCCGTTTACACGGATCCGGCAATCCAAAAAAATTGTTTTTTACAATTTTCGTCGTGTGACGAGTGTTGTTTTGTGGCCTGTTTTCAACTATTCCTTGAGTGTGATTGGTGCTTCCACGACAACACGTGGCACATGACGAACTTTTGCGGATCCTTTGCTCCCGTGTAGACGCGCGAAAACGATACAAACGGAGACCACTTTGGATCAGCTTTGATCATGTAAACGCACGAAAACGAAAGAAGAAATGCGTGACTGAAAACGGAAAACTGGCCATGCATTGTCGTGTAAACGCAGCCTCAAATACCTAGCTTCCAACTGTCCATGCATGTATATCCGTGTGGCATCCAGCATCTAACTGTTATTTGTATCCAGGCGCCATGGGCTAGCTGCTTGTTAGTAGAATATGCCAATACAACAACGCTGTATTGTTATCCCGCTTCCATCTCCCCCCCCCCCCTCTCTCTCTCTCTCTCTCTCTCTCTCCCCTCCTCCCCTCTTTCTCTCGTCATTCTTACAATTACAGTGTGAAGAAGCGTAAAGCAGAGGACATTCCTGAAGAGCCTGATACGCAGAGAAGAAAGAAGAAGCAGCACCGTCGCTCCAGATAAATTAAGTTCTGTAATAGTATAGTTCACATAGCTGAGAGACCAATATCGATGGTCGAATTGTACATAAATCTCTAGAATACTTCGTTGCACATACAATACTTGGAGGTCCTGGAGGAACAGGTATTTTTCATAGCTGGTTTCTTTTCGCTTTCCATTGAAGTGACTTCTTTTCTTTTGCTGCTGTTCTAGCAGCAGTGCTCTAACCCTTCTGCGCCTTCTCGCCGTGCCCGGATGAACTGCTATTTGTTTTTTTTACTACAGTTCTACGTTTTGTGCCCGCTTTTTTTGCGATTTCACACCCATCGCGAAAGCCTGAGGGATTCCAGATCGCAAATGTTTCCCGGTTCACAGTATACAATCATGGAGAACTGATGCTCAAATTTATTATTATTATTATTATTATTGTTCTAGGTGTACATGTATGTGAGTAACCGTCTGTACTGGGGACAAATTTCAGGTTTGCACCATAGAATCATCAAAAATGAATGCCATCCTAGATCCTGCGACAGCCTGACAGCTACGGCTACAGTACAGGTACTGCTAGCATATTGTTAGATTGACAGCATGAAACAAGGTGGAGGACACCGTGTTCGTAAACAGTGACCTTACTACAACCTTCCGCGGTTGGCAGAGCCCCGGTCCCTGCGGACCATTTGAACCATTATTATGGGTGTTGAACCCGGTTCTGACCCTCATTATGCTAGAGGGTTGGAGACTACTCCTTACGTCCATGGACAGAAGTTGGAAGAAAAGAAGTTGAGGTTTATAAAGTAGCTACATGACTACCAGGACGACATCCAGGAGCAATCAAAGAATACACGACGGACGTAAGGAGTAGTCTCCAACCCCCTACAATTGTAGGTCTATTAAGTATTAGTATTACCAAGAGTCCATAAACAATGTTTATGCACTCTTGGTATTACTACTGACAGTGGACATGGTGTAGGTACGACGATTCTATTCACGATCACGTGATCGGCTGAGTATGAGATCGCGATATCGAGACAAAAAACAAAAACAAAAAAGCAGGTGCACGTGGTTTGAAAGATTTGAAAATTTCAATGTTCAAGAATCAAGGTGCAAAATGTGAAAGCACTTCATTCCTGGATCCTCCCCTGTCCCAGGCGCTAGGCTCTAACAAGGAAGCAGTTTGTTGATAAGCGCAGTACCAGTCCTGCTTTTTCGTTCTAGTGTTCTACTACTGCATCCATGAGCAGTTTGAATAGCTTTGTGAAAAAAATTAATCACTGCTGCGTAATTGTCTAGCACTCTGATGATCACACAACAATACTTCGAGGTAGGAGAGGTTATGTCAGTGAGACTGTTGTCTGTGCGGGATAAACGCACTTTATATCAAGTATCTGCTGGTGCACTGGGAATATACAAGTCTCTACACGGATCTGGGCTGTGAGATTTGTTTCTTGGCTCTGGGATTGGAGGAGTGGGACATGTCGCTCAACTGCCGCGTCTTTTTGGAGGTGAAACGGCTTATTCAAGCTGCTCAGCTCATTGTGGACGTGACGTCATGCACGTGTGATCGAGCTGGTCCCAGTGATGGCAGTGATCTGGAGCTGAGCGTGGAAGATGGGAGCATCACGCTAAGCCGTGCCTGCGGCTGTGTGCGGTGTATAGATCTGCAGTGTGACGTCATGGTGAATGGGTGCAGTGCCGTACGCTGGGTCGACGGCGATGGGTTGCATCTGAGGCTGCCGGTGACCAGGCTGCCTGTGAAGCTGGCGTATGATGATGTTCTGAGTGCGCGGGAAGGATGCGACATGGTGCTGGTGTGTGCACAATGTACATCGACTATTACACGACGGTAGGTAGCCATACTGACTTTTAGGTTATTCAGTTGAACTTTACACGTCCACAACATGCAGCAGGGAGTAGTATTGTACCGTTCCCCACAGTCCCCAGCCCACACTGTACGCTTATCATATGACCAGACTGATGAAGGTTTCTGGTGCTGGGAAGTTGCTTACGAGTACCGTATTATCTCCATCACTAGCGCAGTCTCTTGTAGAAGCCCAGCCTCTATTATAAGCGCACTCCAAGAGGGCTTCGAAGATGTACAAGCGCAGTCTCCAATATAAGCGCAGGGCTTATAATGGAGAACTGTATGGATCATGTCCATGCATGTTTGACGTCCACAGTATCACATACACACATGTTATGGCGCAAGTCTGTGATCCCTGAGATAAAAAAATATACAGACTCAGTGTACCAGGAAGTGCAAAACTGCATTCACGGTACCTGGTGGGAAATTGTGTGCTACTTGTACTTCAAAGTATACCGTATGTCAGCGCCTTTAAAGCCATGGCCTTATATTCGAAACACCGCTGCTTTCTTAGCTATTTAAGATGCGAAATGACTCGCCCACTACGCCATGCCATAAAAGTCAAAGTCCACATAGAAATTTCAATCTAAATCCATTTTTTCACCCTACTTGCTGGGTTGTAAGTTTGTTAGTATACAGTAGTACGTAATCCTTCATATTTACAAAACATGCTTCAAATGTTATTTCATTCAGGAAGCCCATGGTTTTATAACTGAGACTGGCTTTATAATCTAATATCTCCACGGCTTTAAAGGTGCAGACTTACGGTAAGAAAAAAATACTTGTACCAGATGGATGAAAAATTATAAGCCCAGTCTCTAGTAGCAGCCCAGTCTTCAATATAAGCCCAGGGTCAGGACTGGTTGAAAAGATATAAGCCCACGGTTTATAATGGAGATAGTACGGTATGTCAAACTCAATCCATAGCGGTTCATACATCGATCCAACTATCTCTTTTCTGACGTCCGATTCACACTCATGATAGCATGTTTTCCTCCTCTTGAATAATCCTGGAGGGATTTATCTAGGAGGGGTATTGCTGTTTTCAATTGCATCTAGGAAACGGGGGAGGGGTTAACAGTACAACAGAAGCTAGCAGTTTGCGCTGCTCCCTATCTGATAACTGTTAACTGGAAACCTTCTGCATCATTTTTGTAAGGAAAAGGACCAACGAACTACAAGTTGCACTATAATGTCCACTAACACCACTAGTTACGTGACTTGCTGGAGCTGATAGCGAGTTAGTTGCAGAACATCAGTACTGTCGGTCAGTGTCGTGCAATGTTATTGCATGAGCTGATTGTCAAGTAACTGGTGGTGTTAGTGGACAATAGCGTAACTTGTAGTTCTTTGGTCCTTTTCTTCACTATAAATGAATCATTGGCTCTCCATCCGAGTCTATCATTTTTGGTACTAATTATTTTTAGCTCACTACATGTATTTGCAAGTCCTGGCAGCTTTGCGACATGCAATGATTATGTGTGCGAATAGACTTGAACATTTCCAGGTTGATACAGTACCTTACAGCACAGCCTGTGCGGGTAGAAACAGTCAGACATGCTATTTACTGTTAGCAAGAGTGCATCACCAAGAGTGTGCAACTCGACGATCCCCCAGCTCACGGCGGAATTTTCATGACATCAGTCTTCCGCGGTTGTTTGGCTCACTGATACCATCACGCGTAGCCAGAGATCAAAGTACAAAGAATCTGTACGTTGCAGCTATGGTGGTCGAGGCAACACAACAGATGATAGATCTATGTATCCTGAACCTGATGAACTATCACTGTATCTACAAAACAAATACGGGAAAGCATACGCACTTGATCATACTTCTGCCAAAGATTGATGCAATAAAAACTTTCCGCCGTGGGCGAACCCATCACAGATTGAGATAGGAGTTGCACACTCTTGGTTATGTACTCTTGCTGTTCGGTTCTATTGAACCCATCACAGTAGAACCTCCTGTAGTGGGCACTCTCAACAAAGATTACGTCCACATTCTGTCCCTCATATCCTGACCCTTTGTTAACATATTCTCTCATTGTTTTTGTGTGTCATTTTAAATCTCGCTGTTTACAGTGATGGCTGCACGATCACCCGTGTTCTTCCCTTGCCCTCGTCCAACTGGTCTGCGGCCGCTGAGCAATGGTTCTGTCCGTGTAAGCCCAATCGCCCAGCCATGCACCATGGTAACTTTGTGCCACAGCGCGAGGGAGATTGCCTACAAGGAGATGACTGCTGGATCGTGCGTTTTCGTAGTGTTGAGCAAACCAAGATTGACCAAAGTGAAGTCGAAGATGGTGTTAGTTCAAAGGTGTGTTGTTTCGTCAGTGCTCTTTTGCACGTAGGGTTTGCTGAATTCTTTCTTGAAACGCAGCTGGGTTGTGTTGAGAAATACCTCAGCCACAAGTTAGTGTTGTTCTTATTAGAAATCTTGTAGATGACTTCTGTGCCTGCGAGTTGGAGTAGAGGAACAGTTATCAATGTTGCTTGGATGTCCTTGGTCACCACAACCATGGCACTGTTGCTAACTGCTACTGGTACTTGGTATGTTTGATAAGCATTGACAGTTGTACTAAGATGTTAGCAAGAAATTCATAATATTCTCCATGTCTACTGCTTGTGTCCTGCATGTAGATCTCATGTATAACGTGCAACAGTCATCTCGGTACTGCGTTGATCTCCAGTAAGAAAGGTATGGCATCATGTAGGGACAGTTTCAAAGTACCGTATTTGCTGGAGTATAACGAGCACACCCCCCCCCCTTTTTGAGTTAATTTTTGACCAGCATTTTGGCCACTCCATGTTTGTCTGGAGTATAATGTGCAGCCTGGATTTGAGAAAATTATTTGTTTTCCTGTCCTTGTGGAAGAAATCGTGTAAGGATTTCTCAGAAAATGCAGACTGGAAAAGTGGAAATGCAGAAATGCGAGGTAGAATCTAAATATATGGCCTACCGGCATGCAAAGGCGAAGTCACGCCTCTGCCCGCATCAGCACAGGCGGCGGCAATAAGCTGCAAAGGAGCTCCCGACCTTGCGGTGAATGTAAGAGGCCCTGCAGCCCCTAAACTAAAGCATGTGACTGCCCATCGCAGCAGGCAAAACGAAACCCGGGTGAAAGTCACAAGGCAGTCGTGAATCATTATTCACCATGCATCAGGTCATCATGGTCATACAACGTCCTTGCACTACCAAGCAGCAGCTGTGTATTGTAATACACGTAGGAAAATCAGGATCATTTTCTGCATGTAGAATGCCACAAATTGTTAGGTTTCACCGAAAATTGCCGCATTTCTGCCGCAATTTCTCTAACAGCTCACACCAGGCCGGGAACGCTACAGAGATGCGACCTGCAGGGGCTTGGCCACCTGGCTTCTACAAAGCATTGTAGCTGCACACTGCATTCACTACTGAGTACACAGGGTTACTGCAGCTTTCACTGCCCAAATCATGCATTGCTGGGAATATCACAGTGATTTTTGCCAGCAACACGGTGTTTCACAAAGCATGTGAAAAGCATGGATTTTCGCGCGGCCGTGGCATATCGCAATTTTCCACGCGGACAGATTATCAAGACGAAATTATACTATTTATAGTGCAACCATTGGTAAGAAAGAAAAGGGGGTTTGTCAACTGACAGCCGCTCTATTCAGTTGCTATTCACAACTTATTAACTGAGTAGAGCGGTTGTCAGTTGGCACCCCCCCCCCCCCGTTTCTTTCAAAATGCAGTTGCGTGATGTCCACAACTTTCTTAGCGAACCACTGATACGGTTTTCATATATGTGTATAATGCATGTGCTACCCATGGGACCCATCACCATTATCTTTCTTATCTTCTTCATCTTCGACATCATCAGTACCATCGCTGCTCTCAGAATCAAGATTTGTGTGCGTGCTTGCGTGTGTTTGCATGCAGGCTCTACGATCATGACTATTCAGTTATGATCTTTTTCTCTTTTTCTTTTAAAAGACTACGATGGCATTTGGCACGTGTAATGTATAATGTCCATATTTTGTGTTGCTATGTAGGCAATCCTGAAAGTGATACTGGCAACGCTGAGAGCGATGCTGGCGACTCTGCTGGTTGCGAGGACGAATCATGCGCATCATTTCTGCGAGGCCATGTGCTATGTCTTGCAGCCAAGCATGTGGACGAAGACAAGAAAATCACATGTGCTTGGTATGCTTCCTTCTTTCCATGTACATGTGTGCATGTACTTATGTACCTGTATGTATACATGCTGTATTTGAAAAGAAAATACAAATCCATCCTGTGGTGTGTCCTCACTGATTCGAAATCGCGGCAATAGTGCGTAATGATTGCTGCGTGAAAACGAATGCCTCAGTCTGATTCCTCTCAGTCAGTAGGGCATCCTGTGTGTCTGTGTGTGCGTGCGTGCGTGCGTGTGTGTGTGCATGCACATAATGCATATCTTGCTTGGTCTCCTGCCCGCCGCACTGTAATACAGGGTGTCTCAACCAGGGAGTAGTAAAATAATGGTATAATACTATTTTACTACTACCTGGTCTCAACTGCTGTGTTTCTGTGCAGTTTTCTAGAGGATTGTCTCAGTGAGCTGTTACTGGAGGCCAGTCAAGACAGTGGCTGCTCCAAGTTTCTGCTGCAGTCGTATTGCTCACAGTCACCGGCATCGCTGGAGGACAGGGACGCTACCGACAATGTTGCACGTGTAAGTGCAGGTCAAACCTCGCTCTAACGTAATCTCTGGGGGTGGCAAATATCATGTTATAGCGAGGTTATTAATGTTATAGTGAGTTGGGCACACAAGTATGCAATATGTATGTCAAAATGACACTCTTCACTTACTGATTAGGCCATCATTTTTTATATCTATGTTTCGCGTCAGTTCAACTTCCAGAATCATATGCGAGAGGTGGAAAAAATAAAAAGTTGCAAAATAATAAAAAAGGCTTGTCAGAGGTGTATGCACTGTACATAGCACAATAGCTCGTGCATGGTGTACATTCGTAAGAAAAATCGTACATCGAAGCACAACATCTGGGTTATCAGCATGAGTAAATATTCACTTTGGACAGAGGAGGCAACCGTTGGTGCCAATGCGTCACTGGATTATTGTATTCAGACTTCAGTAGCGGTGCAAAGAGCTCCGGAACGACGCATCCTCTCAGCTTGAGGCGATCAATGCGGTCTGGTGTAAGCTCATAGAATATTGCTCCCAGATGCCGAACAAACGATTTGCCAAAGCTGGCCTAGAGGCTAGAGGCCATTTCTGAATCCCAGCTTCGCCGTATGCAACCAGTCCACACTGTTGACTCGCACGATCATATACTCACTGTGCATGTTCGATTTTTTTATATTTTTTCCGAAAAAATCAAAACGTATGCGTGCGGACGACGCGAAACATAGCTATAAAAATGATGGCCTTACAACTGTCCTGCTTGCGATGCAGTCTGGTGAACTAGGAATGTGTTTTTATGTTTTATGTTTTAGTGTGTCTACTATGTGTGTTGTCTACTATGTGTGTTGTCTACTATGTGTGTTGACTGCGGGAGTAATAGTAAGACTCGTATAACTATGCGCAGCTGTGTACTGTGGAGTGGGAGAGCTTGTAGCCACGCCCAAATAAGTATTGCTCACTCAAATTTGAAAGTGTTCCGGTTCTCGGAACGACATTGCACTTGTTTAGTTGAAAGGTGACTTGAAATCAATGCAGTCTGTCCAACCTTGTCACCATTCCAAAGCAGTACACTCACCTATATACAATGTATAGAAAAGGCAATTGTATGCCATGTAAATATATACAAATGTGTTGGTCCAAAGCAGGACGGTTGGACAGCCTGTCGATGTCACCAAAAAACCATTAGTTGAGACAAGTGAGAGCAAAAAGAAAAAGGTACAAGTAACAAGAAAGGAGCCACTGGCTCACTGCGCACACGATGCGTGCAACCATGTCAGCATGACATACACATGAACAAATAACGACATAATAACGAGTACAGTCAACTTCGCTAATAACGACTGCGGATATAACGACAATTCGCGAATAACGACTTAATTGTCATGCCCAGAGCAAAGTCCCATCCAACTGTGACACATATAACGAGACTTCGGGTATAACGACACTTCGCGAATAAGGACACTTTTCTGATGCCCCGTCGAGTGTCGTTATAAGCGAAGTTGACTGTATAACTCGGATTGGTGATATTCACGACAATAACATCCGATCAACATTATGTACATAAACTACACAATGATGATTCTAACAACACAGTCAACTGTACTGAGTACTTGAAGAAAGAATGGATATGTATGCAGAATGCCAGCCAGTGTGTGCAGAGTGAATGGGAAAGTAGTTGGCCTTCAGCAAATAAAGCGTGCAGTGGCCTCGCTATCTTTGAACCGATGTTTAGAACAAGTGAAGAAAAGTTCAAGAATACAGTGGAAAGTGATGTGGACCGAATCGAATGGGTGAGGAAACGAAACTGTCTTGGCATGAAGTAGAAACGAACAGTGCCTATTCAACGGCCCGTTTGCAAACTTCAAAACAACCGTTGCAGTGCCCATGCTCCTCTTCAAGATTCTGGCATGCATGGTGGAACAGCTCTGAGCATTGCGGGCATGTATGAAGGCATCTGCCATCTGCCATCATCCTTGCCACGATCGAAGCACTCAGAAGACTTGGAAATATCCACAACTTCAGGAGACGACTTAGGTGATGGCACAGGGGATTGCACAGGAGATTGCTGCGATGTGCAGCTGGAGCTTCCCTTTGCCAGCTCGGTTGGGGTATTCTGTGGCAGTGCTGTGATGCCTGATGGTGCTCTCCTTTACCAGTGGTTCATGCACTCTCCAGAAGTCTGTTAGACTGGACTGGTGAACCCTGACATTCTCACTTGTGAGAAAGTTCTCCACGGACACCAGGTTGCGGAGGATGTGCCGCGGGACATTGGCAATGCTGGCTAAGTCGGACTGAATGGTCCTCACAGCAATGTGTGCATCACCTCAACTTGTCACAACAGCCGGGAAAGCACTATCATCTTCACTGTCACCACTGCCAGCTTCTTTTTCTGCAGCCATCTGCTCCACGAGCTCTCCTGTGGTGATCTCATGCGAGGTGATAGCTCCGTCGGCAACTGAAATAATTATAATCTACTGGAGCACACTCAGCCATGTTTACATCGAGGCAGTGGCCAGCTTCTTGCCAAAGCCCTTCAATGTCGTCTTCATTAGCAAGTACATGCACTGCCGCATCATGAGGTTCACCTGATGGAACAAACCCAGCATACCGGATGCAGTTTGCCACCACCTCTGAGCTGACAGCTTGCCATACTGCATGCTTGAGGAAGATAGCTTTTTTCAAATCAATGAAGGAAGTGTCATCCCCCACGTGCCAGCTTTCCGTTGTCAAAGGCATGGATGATATCCAACATAACTTGCTTGCGACAATTCGCTTTAAAACTGCGGATTATGCCTTGGTCCAGAGGCTGGCTTCGTGACGTAGAGTGTGGGGGGGGGGGGGGGGGAACTGGACCTCTACGAAACTACGGAACTGAATGCCACCAAAAATAGTATGCGCACACACTTATACATGAAGGATGCACACTGTAGATGTACAGTGGCTGGGAACGACATGATTGACTGGCGCAGCACGTGTGCAGCGAACCGTTGACCTACACTAGGCTACAGTGTACGCGTACAGTTCGAGATCAAATGGCACGCCAAAGACGGGCATGCATGTGTGTGGGTACGTGGTCTACGTCTGACTCTCTGAGATTGAGATATCACTTTTCAAAGAATACCAACCGTTTTTCAAGGCTTTTCAAGGCCTTTTTCAGAAATTCAAGGACTTTTCAAGGATCTTGAAGAATTTTTCAAAATTCAAGCGCTTTCAAGGATTTCAAGGCCTTGTGCGAACCATGTGTAACCTTATAGTGAGGTTTATGCTATGGCGGGGGTCGTTATAGCGAGGTCTGATCTGTACTCTGGAGTGACTCTTGCTTTCTATTAAACTGCCTTCTTTTCCAATGCTTCATGCCGACCGTTATGGCTGTGCTGTCCTGGAATTTGATTACCGGAGAGTGTCGGTATGCCTGGCTTGCGGTTGTTTGGCATGTGCGACGCAGGCTCACTCCAATTTGATGCGGATGAAAGCGAATTTGTTTATTGCTTACCAGCCAATCAACCAGTCAGTCATTGATCATGGCTGTTGTCTTGTCTTTGTGTGAACCTCTTGTAGCTGTGGCTAATGTCAACATGTGCGGATGTGCTGTCCGTTGACACTTGGACTGACTGCACGTCACCCTCACCTGCTGACAAGCAGCAGCAGCAGCAGCAGCAGCAGCAACAACAGTGTGCTTTGCGGTGTAGCCTACATCCAAGTAAGTGTAGTGGAGCCAGCAGTAGCAGCAGCAACAGCAGCAGTAGCAGCAGCAGCAGCAGCAGCAGTAGCAGCAGTAGCAGTAGGGAGACTTGTTACGAGCATGCTATGTATAACTTCAAATCTTGTGTTTACTTGTACATGAACTGTATGGTCCCAACTCTTGCCCCGGGCTCTAGACATTTCAAATTTTCAATCGAAAAAAGATTCACATGTGTTCTTACTTGTAGTGCCCAAGTGCTCAAATAAAAGGTGATACCGCCTTTATACCAAATCTCTCTGTGAATCGAAGAGTATGTGTGTGAAGACTTCAACACCACACCTGCCTTTCCCCTGTGAATACGATCTTTAAAAGTGCACGTTTCCTTCACCTTGGCCTAGATCCTGAAGTGCTTAGCCAGTTTGGAACGGGAGATTAGCTGAGATGAGTCAGTGTGAAAAGCAAGCGTCTGCCTGTGCTTGAGTGGTAGTGTAAAGTACAGGTCTGCTCTCGATATAACAACTCTCACTTGTACATAAACCTCGCTAGTAAGTAAAAAATCAAAACCCGTGCCGAAACAGCATCATACAAATTTTGTTCTACACAACATAATCCTACATAACATAAACCTCGACATAACACACGCTACGGCACGGTTCCCGACGTGCGCACTCTCGATACAACGTAAATTCACGTGCACGGTACGATCAGGCAGTAGCTGTAGCTAGGCAGTTTAGGCCAGTTTAGTCCTACATAACGTAAACCTCGGCATAACGCACCCTATGGTGCGGTCCCCGACGTGCGCACTCTCGATACAACGTAAATTCACGTGCGTGGTACAATCAAGCTGTAGCCGTAGTTAGCCAGTTTTGTCCTATTGAGTATTGTGCATATATTCTGCAGCATTGATGGTATCTGATGTCGATGGTGGTACAGTGTGTATATGTTTGCACGGTTAAACCCGCCTTGTAATACCCTTCATTTTGAGGTACATCTTGTATTTTACACATGGTTTTCTACATAACATAACTCTCGATATAACATAATTTTTGCGTGGTCCCAGAGATTACGTTATATGGAGAGTAGACCTGTACCAGGCCCCTGGATTGTATTCTGTGCCTTTTTTTAGACAACTGTCAGGCGCGTATGCAGGGGGGGGGGGGGGTCCCGTTGCCCGGACACCCCCCCCCCCCCCGAATATTCCAAACGAGCAACGATTTTGGGCATTGGTTGGTAGGGTGCGCGTTCGATCTGACAAGAATGCAAAACTTCAACAGATCGTAACTCAGTCAAATCTCGCTCCAATCCAAGAATCCAAATATTAATTCAGGTCGAATAGAAAACTCTCAGCTGTCGGTAGAAACAATTCGCGAAGCGCTGCGATCAATGGTTCTTGAGGTAAATCATTCGTAAGTTGAGCTGCGATCTCGGCAATTTCAAAAGCGCGCAGTGCGACTTGAGTATCGAGAATTTGAGACTTTTCGTCACGCTGACTTGCTCAAATTTGCACCGGTTTCACTTGTGATATTCTGAAGAGTACACAGCGAAAAAATCGAAACTCTGCGATCAGTGGAAAGGAAAATACAGTGAAACTTGTCTAAGATGACGGCTCAAGGGACTCCTTCCAAATGTGGTCTCTGTGTACAGTTAGTCTCCTTATCCAGGGTCTTTTGACTGGAAGTGACAATCCTTCGTCCTGGTGATAGTGGTCCTCTTGGACAGTTGGTCGCCGTATCAGAGTGGTCGCCGTATCAGAGTGGTCGCCTTGACAGGTTTTACTGTAGCTGGAGCAGGACGCGTTTGGGCAAATTTGCCAAGTTTGGGGCATTTTTCGCACTGTCGCTGCGCTCTGTATACAGTGTCCTGGCTATCATGGTTGACCTCATTCTCTTCCTCTCCCAGATACCTTTCCACTTCCAGGAAGCCCAAGATTTAATATCAAGATTGAGCACGGAGTAGAACTGAAATTATGATCCAAGGAACACGAAAAAATGCAGAATTTTGAAAATTTCCTTGGGCTTTGAAAGGGTTGAAACTCATTGTTGGTGATTCGGTTGGAAACCCCCCTAGAGTTGACCCTGCGTACGCGCCCGACTCTAACTTCTCCGTCTAACGATGCAGCGTGTTCTTTGAGTCTTCCTTCTCAACTCTCTTTGCCATGCCATTGTGTCTTGGTTCTTTGTTTTGTTTCTGAACCTCTAGAGCATGAACATTTCCAACAAGGATTGAAGGTCTTGTACAAGCCATGCACTAAAGACAAGTAAGAACACTTGGTCTGCATGCTCCTCAGACGTATGTGCCCTCTAGCCTCTCGTTTGTTTTGCTGACATAATGGAGCATCATATTATGATGGTGCATGGTGCATGGACGTCGGAGCTGGACCAGTAGCCTGGCCGATTTCTTTGCTCCTCACAGTCACCCGCCGTCAACTTTCCCAACATACCAACAAGCCGCTGACCGCACTCTACTCTACTGTTCTCAAGGTGTGACTTGCACGCGGGTTACGCTAGCGTTGCAAACTTCCCACGCACGCAGACCTGCTCCCTGTCTGCCGTAGTACTTGGCACTACACTTGCGCATGCAACAATGTCGAAAACCGAATACGAAGTAATCGTTTCCGAAGCGAATACTTTGAATTGTTCTCCGAACGAATAAGTCTAGAATACTCAATGAAACCGTTCACCGCTAGTTGTGCCCCTGGCCTGGTTTGACTCTGCATACTGTTCAGTGTGTTGGACTGCTGTTCAGTGTGGTGGACTGCTGTTCAGTGTGTTGGACTACTGTTCAGTGTGGTGGACTGCTGTTCAGTGTGTTGGACTGCTGTTCAGTGTGGTGGACTGCTGTTCAGTGTATTGGACTGCTGTTCAGTGTGTTGGACTGCTGTTCAGTGTGTTGGACTGCTGTTCAGTGTGATGGACTGCTGTTCAGTGTGGTGGACTGCTGTTCAGTGTGTTGGACTGCTGTTCAGTGTGGTGGACTGCTGTTCAGTGTGGTGAACTGCTGTTCAGTGTGGTGGACTGCTGTTCTGTGTGTTGGACTGCTGTTCAGTGTGGTGGACTGCTGTTCAGTGTGGTGGACTGCTGTTCAGTGTGGTGGACTGCTGGACATGTACTACATGCACTGCCGACAAACTAACTCACTGCACAGCCAGTTAGAAGTCATGATAACCTGCACCTCTCACTCGAAAGTAGATAACACGCTTTCCGCTGCATCCTGCTGCTGCCACTGCTGCTGTGTTTCTTTATCCTCTACAGCGGGGAGGAGGAGGCATTATGGTTAGCAGACGGTAGCAGTGGTACACAGTCGATGAGTCTCACACGCTACTTAGCAGATCGGCTACTTGCGCACCTGAATAGCAGCAATGCCGTGCTGCCGCCATCTCTCCGACACTTTGACGGATACAAGGTACTTGTGTGCACATGGGTCTACGGGTGTGTTGCTGTGTGGTGTTGCCTTGGTGATACGAGGAGTCATGGAGCCATGTTACCGGTGTGAATAATGTCGGCCGGAGAGCGCATGTGCTGGAGGTGGCACTAAGTCATTTGTGGTGCCGTATGACATGAGCTCCCTATGGTGGTGCTGTTGATGCAAGGTAACGACTAATGTGTGTGTGTGTGTGTATGTACCTACCACCTTTGTTGGTTTCAGGGTTCATATACTTTCTGTTTGAAGTATACATACCTGTTAACCATGGACTGCTTCTGGCTAGATTAACTCTTGTGTGATCAATGGTGCTAGTGAAGCTTATATCAGATCCACTCTGATTTAGCCACCCACACTAGTACCAAGTATTACCTTCACTGGGGGCAGGGGTACCTGCAGTTGGATCCCGGGACGGATACCCTGATGCCGTCAATCCTTTTTCTGCACCTTGTCCTCACCCACTTACTGAGGTGTGGTGAGCCCATAAGTGGGATCATTTCAAGTCCACCCTAGTTTGGGGATTTCAGGGGGTGTCGGCCGTTGGGTGGTTCAATGGCCAATTGAGTCATCTTTCCAAGATTCCTTTTGAGTCTCTCTCCCCTCTCCCGGGGAGACCCACGTGACCAGTTTTGGCAGTGAGCAAGTACAAGTACAGTATGTGTGTGTGTATGTGTGTGTGTGTGTGTGTGTGTATCTTTGTCAGGTTGGCTACCTGTTTAGACTGAGCAAGCAAGAGGACAGCAAGCAAGACGACAGCAAACAAGAGGACAGTAGTAGACCCACACTGACAAATAGCTAGTGCTACGGCAGTGCAGTTAGTGCAGTTAGTACAGTTAGTACTGGTTGCTATGGATATTGCAGACTGTAGCACTAGACTGCTCCAGGTAAGGAAACTTACTTGACCTTCCACGGTCCAGTCTTGATTTCTTTCTAACACATTCCAACACAGCACGGTGAAGTGGGGGTACTGTAAAGTGAGAAACTTTCGCTAGAGATTTAATTTCGCTATTTTCGCGACCATCACACATTCGCGAATATAAATCGCCGCAAACTGCTCTGTACATTGATTGTAGACAGTACAAGATCCGACTGAATATATGGAATCGCGAAAGTTTCTCATCGTGAACCCGCGTAATTCTTGAAAACGCGAAATTTGTGCGCCGCGAAAGTTTATCGCATTTCAGTGATCTTGATTTCTCTTGCCACACAGCACTGTGAAGTGGGGTATTCTTGATATCTCTTTCCACACAGCACTGTGAAGTGGGCTAATTAAACGCAGCACTGGGAAGCGGGGTATTCTTCGCTGTGTTCCAGGCTGCCATCTCTGATTTAGCGTGGACGAGTTTTTTTTAGCTCCCATGGTCTCCAATCCGAGAGGAGTACAGTGTGTGCTGAGCTGAACAATACAGACTCTCCATTGGCGAACAAACTATGTTTGCTTCAAACCCTAAATTGAGACCCTTGCTGAAAATGAGTGCGCTACAGCCATTGGCTTGGTGTGTATGACCCCGGGCACTTTTGCGTGGATGCTATGGCAAGGTTTTATCAGTTGGCAGTGGTTGAGGCAAGCTGGTCACCCAGCTTTTCCATAGTGCTTTCACGTGTCATGTGTGAAAATATACCTATCGTTTCTATCAAACGCTGGTGTTAGTAGTTGTAAGATGTGGTGTGTGTGTGTGTGTGTGTGTGTGTGTGCGTGCCTGTGTGTGTGTGTGTGTCCCACTTGGAGCGCTCCTTCTCCCCTCGGGGGGAGGGGGGGGGGACGTGACCCTAGTGGCAGTGGCTCTACAGTTCAGGACAGGACAGGTGTATGTTTGTTCTTTTCTTGCCTTGTCGTTTTCGTCGCCCGCACCTACCCTGTTTCTTACAGCGCCAGACAGCTTTGTCAGTTCGGTGGCTCTCCGTTCAACAGTCGAACCATCTTCTATATCTGCGTTCATGACACTCAGGGTGCAAGAGTCTGCGCCTTGGAATGGCGATGAGGACCAACACTGTGTGTGCGTGTGTGTATGTGTGTATGGCCAATTCATCCGCCTTGCAAGCTGTTGAATGGTGTAATCCCAGCACAAGTTGCTATGTCTAACATAGCTGTTCGCTATCATCGCTTCCGCGATGGGCATGTCTGAGTCTGAGTGTGTATGTATGTGTGTGTGCGTGTGTGTGCGTGTGTTTGACCGGTATATAGACCTCATGCGCGTGCAACATGTCTCTAAAAAGTGGACAGCTCTTGACTAGAAAGATCTTTGGAGCCACATTCTGTATCTCCATGCGTGTGATTGGCTAGTTGCTGCACATGTGTGTGCGCGTGCCTTCTTGCCAAAGTGTTTGGAAGTTGGACTAGTTGTGGCTCCACAATGCAGTGTGTTGGTGCTACAATAGCTTTCATGGCTGAGGTTGCTGGTATGTTCATTGGCTCTGGATTCCCGGTACTCAGCTACCAAGCCTGGTTGATAAAGCAACTCCGATTTCACTTCAAGGTACCAGTGCATCTCGTGTCTGCTTCTATCAAAGCAGCGTGATGTCTATACTGGTTACCCAGCAAGTGTAGGGTGTGCATAGGTAACTGTCTTGGTCGTACTATTCCGGTGTGCCCCATGTGGTGTAGACCAGGTGTGCATCGGGGGTCGTTGCTACATGTATACCGGTAAGAGAAACCCCGGTGCATTTGCGGATTTGCATGCTTCTCTTGTGACGTGAGTACATGATAGATCTACATGGTACGTGGTGTGTCTGCGTGTGTGTGTGTGTGTGTGTGTGTGTGTGTTTGGCACCGTCATCTTCATGCTGTCTGTTATAGTATACTGTATTACCCGGAGGATGCACGCGGTGTGCTGACGCTACAAGACGCACCCTCTCCCGGCATATATACCGACATGGCGAGTACCATCGTCATGTCGCGTGATGATTGCAAAAGCATGAAACTCTAAGTAGCGACACACAAGCCTTGATTTCCCTGGTTGTGCTGTAGTATACTGCAGTATGTAGCAGCAAGAGTAGATGAGCTATGCAGCAGCAAGAGTAGATAAGCTCCCAAGAGAGTGCAACTCTGCATATGGGATCTCCAGCGCGAAAACTCCCATTACGCGGTGTTCCGAATAGCATGCATGTACATGTACTTCAAGTAGTACAGAGTAACAGTTACTTATACAGTGGTGTCTTGATTTAAAATCTGGCACAGCACCATGTGTGCTAGGGGATTTCTGCTGGATTAGGGAGGGTGCTGGATTAACAAACCTGGCTTACTGTTGCAATGTGCATGAAGAGGACGTTTCGGCAAGAGTACATAACCCCCCAGAGTGTGCAACGCCTGATCCAGCTCTGCATAGGGTCTTGGTCGAGCGGAATCGGATCTTTGCGTCATAATACCGTACACATCTGAGGGGAACCCGGGGAGTCGCGGGTACTCTTGGATCAAAAACAATGGTGCCCTGCCTCGAGACCGGCCTTGCGCGGGTGTGAAGTGTACGCATAACATCAGAAGATCCGATTCCGCTCGACCAAGACCCTACACAGAGCTGGATCGGCGTTGCACACTCTGGGGGGTTATGTACTCTTGGTTTCGGTTACTGAAAGTTGTGCTGGCTTACAGAGGGTGCCGGTTTATAAAAGTGCCGGGTTATAGCGGGACGACTGTAATACGTTTGGTACTATGTGCAACGTGGACCAGTGTGCACGCAGTTTGGTTATTTTGTCATGATCGTGCAGAGAACTCGAATAAGCTGAGCGGGTTTCTGCCAGGGCGTGTTAGTGTTTACTGCTCCACTGTTCACTAAATACAGGCTGGGAACACACATGTATGATGTGATGCGAGTTTTCGCCGTTGGCCAACTCCATAACAAGGGCAACCAGAGTTGCACGCACTATTGGGACCAGGGAGCTTCTTTGCTCTAGTCTTTACCAAGAAACAAGAGGCAGAGAACCCAGTGGGTGCAGTTGTACAGTGAATTGAAAATATATCAAAAAGCCCATTGTAGGTAAACGATGCGGGCGATTTTGGTCGACTATGAAATTGTTTCTTTTATCACGGACCCATCTCAGATGGATTGACAATATTAAAAATGATCTAAAGCACGCCAATATTGATATTTCTGACTGTTTGAACTGGCTCTAGACAAGAAAAAATGGCTGATGCTTTTGGAAAAATGTGCTGCGCTTGCGTAGTTGTTCTTACTGCGATACGTTCTAACAATAATGAGATGCCTTTTGTCGGCTCTTCTGCCTGGATTTCGTTGACAGATGCGTTAAGCCCATGGATCCTTCCATGAGTGACATGCGAACTGTAACTATTATTATTATTATCACGAAGGGTTAGCGTAGAGATGAGACAAAGATCTACATGTAACACTGGTTGAAAACTAGAGATTGAGTAAGATGAAAATATTTGTAGATAAAAAAAAACAAGTGGGCAGATTCATTTAAAAGAAAAAGCAGAAAAATAGATCCAGAATACCTGTAAAACATATTTTGTCAAGCGCCAATGTCGCTGCCAGCACTTTTAGTATAACTGAATAGAAACAATAATGCAAAATGCAATGCAGGTGAGTACAGAGTGATCCAAGCAAAACATCAATGCGACGACCGCCATAACAAATACATTGTTGAAAGCAACATGGGACAGATAAATACTGATTTCCCTCCTCCCCATTATCAGCAGTTGCACTTCTCCAGGTACTGACAGTAGTAGCAGAGTGTACTCAATAGTAAGTTGAAGCCTGAAACTAGAGCTCAGAAACAAAACCAAACAAAAACTCATTCTTGTTCATAAGTTTTTTGTGTAGTATCATCATAGGCTGTATGTCCGCAGTGTTTTGGGTCCACTGTCTATAGAACATTGAGCAGCTCTGGCCATCAGGTTGTGTCACTTTCAAAAACAGTGTACGCAGCAGCAGCAGCAACAACTTACCTGAACCCCAACCTTGAAGCGGTGCACTTTCCTGAAAACCCTGCAGCACTGGTACCACTATGGTTCACACGCAGTCTGGAGTGAGGACGGCGTTCACTCAGCTTTCGCATTAAATCTGTCATTCCTAGCTTGGGTCCAGTGCACACGATGTGTACGAAATTAAGCGGTGATGGACTGGAGTCGAAGAAGCGAACTAGGACACGGTCTGGGATTGTCTCTTTCGTTCGAAGGACAAGAGTTTCGAGCTGCTCAAGTTGTTCCAAGGCTTCAAAGATCCCCTGCAGTCGAAGATGGGGATCATCCACGCTGAGCGTCTTCAGCCTTGGCAGCTTACTAATGGCATCACTAAGTCTGGGTATGTATGTGAAAGGTGAAGCCTTGATACTACTCAGTTGCAGGCACTCTAGCTGTGGACAATGCACTGCAAGTGTTTGCAGATCTTTACCCGAGCTCAGCGACATGCCCTGCAGTGAGAGCGACTTCAGACCGGACAGCTTCGCTAGGGTGGCCAATGATCCAAACTGCCCGGTATGCACAATCCCACGAACCGTTTGATGAGCGCGCTCCCATAGCAATCCATAGTCAAAGAGGCTTGGCATGCCAATCGCACCGCCAATAGCTAGACGGGACAAATTGGGACAGGCGACCACTAGCATCTCAGCACTATCTTCACTGCCATCTCTGGGATGATCCGAGTTACAGTCCATCCAGTGTGAGCGATACCGGTACGAAAACTCTCGGAGCGACGGGAAACACTCCGCCATCTCCACAAACGCATTGCACGGCGCAGGTGTTTTCCAGCGAGACGTGTCCAGGAGAGTGAACTTGTTCTCTAGACGCGAGAACGTCTCGAAGAACTCAACATCATAAAATGGAAACGCGTTCAATTTGCGCGTTTCGACTCCGACACTCAGCTGCGTGATCTGCATATTGTTGCTCAGGATTTCAAGTAATGTATCTGTTGCAATGTCGAAGTAATCTACAACTAAACACTGCAGATAGGAATAACTAGACGATGGCATATTCACTTCCATGGGCAGAGACGAACGAAAGCGATTGTATAGCTGCAGGCTTTGCAACCGTCCTGCTCTCTCTCCAATTCGCCGCAGTAGCTGTTGCATGTCATTATCGAAACCGTTGTAATTATTTGCCACAATCGTGAGTCGCAGTGATGTTCTGGCTCCTAGTAGTGCTAGAGTACTCATTGCCGCACCAGTGAATGGAAATGGGCTGTCTCGTTGCGCTTGGCACAGGCTCATAGCCAAGGTTATCCAAACATCTTGTAAGTGCTGAAGCTCAAGAAGTGCGCTCAGGATTGTGATGTCGTTTCCTGAGATACACATACTGCAGTTGAACACTGCAAGGTTAGGCATGAAGTTCAAACCCTGCACTAAAACACTTGTACTTGCTGCGCTTCTTGGTTTTATGGAGGACATGAAGTATTCTCCCATCAACTGCAACTCCTTAACATGCTGTCCGCATTTCCGAGCCATTCTGCCAAAAATCCTCCTCGAACTTACACTCATGAGATCGAACGAAGTGTTTTTGCAGGTGATATTCTTCCACTCAGTAGCGACCCTTGAGAATTGACGACTGACGGTTGCAAGGTGATGAGTGTGATACCACGCATTGGGTATTTTACTAAATATCAATGCCCATATTTCATCAGGGAGGTCAATGCAGTAGGACAGTGTTGGCGATGAAGCCGACAGTTGCAATTCGTCATCTCCATTGTCTGCTTGTGGACGTTCTCCATAACGACGTTTCTTCTTCCTGCCTGCACCACTTGACAAATCTTCACTGGAATCTTGGCTGTAAGTACTCGTCGCTACAGCACTACCTTGCTCTTGGGATTCCTGCGCGGTGTCCTCCTGATCCTGTAGGTTGAACTCCATGGAGGATAAGATAACCGACGTCTGGCAAGAAGTAGGTGATCAGTCGCGTGGTCTCATTTTCATGATTTTGTCTCCGTTTGTTTGAACCAGGGAGTCCCTGTTTGAACTAAAAATTGAAGTCATTTCGAGGAAGAGTTGCTGGTTGCGTCATGCATACTACTCACTGACGTCATGTGTTCGAAGACGATCGTCGATCGACGCGACGCTGATGAAGCTTCAAAAGTTCAAATCAGGGAGTACTACGTGTACTACTAGTACTAGTAAAAGTAGTACCGTACTGGCAATATATGTTGCCGCGTAACGCAGGGGGGTGCGGCGTAACGCGCGACCAGGCTAGTGCGACAAATTTTCGTTGAGTTCGTAACGCGCGTCCGGCGGGGTGCGGCGATCTTTTCATTGCATGCAGTAAGTAAGTTCAGGGCTCACAGCACAGCCGGCATGCCAAATCACGAAAAGCGTGGACTGCTCGCGTGAACCGCGCGCGCTGCGGCCTCGGCGGCTCAGTTCCCGTTCTCACGCGATCGGCGTCTTTTCGACTTTTCCTATTTCCTCTTGCACTTTCCCCTTGCGCTAGCGCTGGCGTTCGCATCGTCCGAGCCTTGGGACTCGGAGTTTTCGATGGCATCAAGGAACCGTACAGCTTATGGATTGTTGGAGCTCGACTATCCGAAA